AATATTTGGGTATTTATGCTGTAATTGCTTAATAACAAACAGAGCCTTACCAGCTTTTGAAACAAATGTAATTGTACACACTGTCCATGACAACTTAGTAGAAAAGATAATACCTAAATAATTATAATAAGTTGATCTTTTAGTAGCTCTCTGTCAAAATACCACTTCTCGTTATGTCATAAATGACCACCATTTCGAAAAAATAATATTTCTGTCTTATCCCTATTTATTTGCAAGCCCCATGATTTGCAATATTTACATAAAATGTCATTCTTTCTATGCAAACCAATAACACTGTCATCCAAAATACATAGATCATCAGCATACAATAATAACAGTAGTTCCAAATATTCTACACCTATAAATATACCTCTTACGTCTACAGCTTCTATCATGTATTGAAATTCTTGAAAAAACATTGAAAATAAAAACAGGCTGATAACACAACCTTGTCTGACTCCACTTGAACTATCAAAATAATCAGTGATAGTAGTGTTGGATATTCTTACAGCTGCTATATTTGAAAACATATTTCTCAGTACAGAGAATAATTTACCAAGAACACCTTTATTCATTATTGAATACCTTAGTAATTTCCTATTAACAGAATCAAATGCTTTCTTAAAGTCTACATAAATACAGTAAAAACATCCACCACTTTTAGATAAATACTTTTGTCCAAGACATTGCAAAGTGAAAGCATTATCCGTTGTGCAATAGCCTTTCCTTAATCTTGCCTGGGCCTCAGCCTATACTGTTATTAGTGTTAAAGAGATCAGAAAAACGTTTAAGATGGCATTTAGAATAGAGGAAAATAACTTCCCCAAAATATCCATCAATGATTTACCTCTATGATTATTAACACAGTCTAAGCTTCCTTCATATGGAGTGGTACAATAACACTCTTAGCCCATTCAGATGGAAAATTACCCATTGACAAAATATTGTTATACATTACTAACAGATATGGAATTAAAACAGTACTGCAACATTGGATCATCTCATTGGTATATTATTGTCAGTTCCTGAGGTATGCTACAGGTGTGAAAATTTATATTTACATGTTCCTTCACAAATCCTACCAATTAATTGCATTTGTGTCAATGGTCAAGGTCACCATTGAGGTAATTATGAAATAGACGTGTTATACATTCTCCTGAATATGAAGCACAGATCATTGACTTTAGAGGATATCCTACTGTGGATTTATTCCACATGGACCAAGGGAATTTCTTTTGGTACATGCTATTAGAATGTCAAAGGTTATGGGCACGAGATAGAAAACTCTCACTAAAAGTTTGTGGTTACTCTTTCTTAAAAAATGCATTTACCATTAAACTTTTAACAGTATATATACCTTCTTTAGAATGGAGCCCTGCATTAAAAAGGTTTTGGCAAAATAAGGTCAAAAGTCCTGGTCATTATTTCCAGTTTTTCTGTTATTGTCAGCTTCCTCTGCAAGCATTTATCTTTCCAAACCAGCATGTCTGTTAAAGGTCAAGGTCATCTGTGAGATTATTGTGAAACATGGTTGTATTATTCATTGCATGAAACTGCTGCACTTTAAACCTGAGACTGAGTCGTTGGATCTAAGAAGCTGTCTTGATTAATTAAGGTCAAGGTATGAAAGGTATGTGTTTGGATTGAAAGTACAGTATGTTACGTTTTGGGAGCTTTTAGGAAATGGTGATGAAGGGTTGCTTCTGGTTTTTGCTTATTTCATATAATGGGCATATATAGAACAATACTTGTTCATGGCTTCAAACTTCGCTGTAATGTCTTTTTGTTTATGATATTTCTGATACACTGTAGACTTTCGTCAGTAATATGAAACACCATTTTGCACTACATCCAGTTTTTCAAAACGTAATGTATATTTCTATTGTTTTTCAAAGTTTAAACCAACATTTCTTTGTCTGCAAGTATCAGCTTCATTATGATTTGTAAGACTACAAATATGCAAGCAAGGAATTCAATGAAAATATTTCTCTAACTGATGTTAGAATGGAAGTCCTTGCACGTTGTTTCCCTTTCATATACACCATGGTTAGTTGTGGTGATTCTGTATGACACATGCAGCTCAGCGAAAGAATAATATACTGCTGTGGTCAGACAATGCTTTTACCTCAATAACATAGAAAACTTCATTTATGTACAGAGTTATATATGTAATACAAAGAGTTATGTAAACTGTATTGTTCTCAGTGGTCACCTTTGCTATTCTTTTCTTTCCTTCTGTTCTGTTCATGTTTGTATTAGTTGTAAATCAATTGGGTAAATATATAGGAGGAGGTGTCCAAGTTTGAGAACTTGTACCCAATCCCATTCACTTTTAGTGGATAAAATTTATTTAATCCAAAAGGTTAGACTGACATTTAGTCCCAGAAATAAAGTTATCTTATTTAAAAATATATACATGTATCTACAAAATAAACAAAATAAACTCCAAATGGAGCCCAGAACAATCCTAAATTTCAGGCTGAGCTGAGGCAATCTAGACTTGCCAAATCATTCTAGACTTGAGTTGGCCTGCTTTTTAAAACTTTTTGCTTGAATCTAGGAGACAGACTACCAAAAGGTATTACTATATTTTTATCAGACACAGGGACCATAGACCAAGTGCATATTTTGAAGCTCTATAACTGGTAAAGAACAAACGTTCTGACATCTGTACATGGATTTATTGGCACCTCCCTAATTAGTAAAGAGGTGGTTACAGGGTGTATATGAGTCAGAGATGACAAGGTGCTGAGAGTAACTACTTGCCCTGCACAACACGATCCAGGGTGTGGTGGAGAATCTACAGAGAATGTGTTGTACTGCATGCCTCTGTAGATGGTCACTAAACAGACTAGAAGCAGCAGTGGTGTGGTGATCTCAAAACATGCTGATATTGGCATTAACCAGATAGCTAGAATTGAGTTCCAATAAGTAGAAAAGAACATGCAAGTAAAACATCTCCCTTGTTGGCTCCCCTTGGTCATTTTATAGAGGCAGATTTTACAGGAAACGACATAATTATTTGTCGGTACAATGTACGTTGTATTTATTTGTTTGTTGAATAAATTATTGAACTTGTTTTAAAACATGTATAGTTGTTATGTATCTTCACTTTGTGTCTATGTAGTAATCATAATGTGATTAGAAGTGATATCTATCAGAACATTATGTTTGAAACATCATTGTCGGACAAGTGGCAGGTCCGGTAAGTAGGTATATGTGCTCAGTCTCCTGGTTGGGCATGTAACGAGAGTCGACTGTATAACATTACTGGTACATGAGTAAGTAGTCATTCCGAGCAGGGAGAATATTAGTTCAGTCTGCTGTGAGATACATCCTGCTCAGTGTGAAAGGTATGTTGGGAGAATAGAAATGTCTTATGTTTGGACATTTTGCCTTGATGTTAATTACTATTCAGAGTAACATTTGAATTGATGCACAGCCTGCTTAGTGATTTGAAATTGTATTGGTGGAAGATTTGCTTAGGCAGTTTGAAGGTCTGACTGCCAAATTGGATAGCTTTTCAAGCTGGTGCGAATCTTGCACTACTACTATTTCAAGGCTTTGGTTTTAATAAAGTGCCATGGAAAGGCCTTTGATTTGGCAGACATTGTTGACTGCTGTTAAGAAATGTTACAATTATTTTCTCCAATAATGTTAAGACATGATGATGATGATGATGATGATGATGATGATAATAATGAAGATGACGACGACGATGATGATGAGTCTGGACCAGACAATCCAGTGATTGATGTCATGGGCATTGATCCACACATTTGGGATAAGACGACATGCATCAACCAAGTCAGCGAGCCTGACCACCCGATCCCGTTAGTCGCCTCTTACAACAAACATGGGTTGCTGAAGGCCTATTCTAACCCGGGTCTTCACAGGGCCTTTTATAAATGTAAGTTTGGTGGCTCTGCTATGATCCATGAATGTAGACCTAATGAGATACAGTTTTGTAATGGGGTTCACAGCTGTTGTAATAAAAAATATGTTGACAGCAGGTGCTGTATTGTGTTACGTATTGTATTATCATGATAGTATGTATCATTTATTGTATTGCCAGGTCTATCAGAATGATAAATAACATTGTCTGCATTTAATGTTGAATTAAAATGTATACCATATTTGATATAATAATCTCCCTGGGTATTTAGAAAATTGATCAAGGGGGTCCACTTCTTTAAACCATAAACAAGTTAAAAACATTTTCAGAGACTGAGTGGTAGTAAACAAATTAGTTCAGATGTGGTTATACAGCTGCCAAATATGTAACTGTTAATATGCTGATAGCTGTTTAGCAGGCATGACTGTCCAGAGCATTTTTATGATCACAATATTATTACCATAGTTTGCTTTGTATCTTTACTGGCCTACAACGTAGATTTCATTTATTATATAACATGACAGAGTAAAATGCGTCCGCCAAGTCCTCGATTTGTCAGATTGCTTGGGAAGTTGTTTGGGAATTTAGGGAGGTTTATTTTGATTATTATCCCCTGCCCAACAAAGTTGGCGGGGGATATAGAAACGGGCTCCGTCCGTCCGTCCGTCCGTCCGTCACGTTTCATTTCTGGAGTATAACTCATAAACCGTTCAATATTTTTTCATCAAACTTTGCAGGTCTGTCAGGTACATGCTGAACTTGTGCCTTTTGCTATTTAGAAATTTTAGAAATTTTTATTTTTTACGTTTCCATGGCAACAAGATGGACTTAGGTTCTGTGAGGGTAGGGTTCGTTTCCGGAGCATAACTTCTTTTTTTTACAATTTCCATGACAAGTTCCATCTCGGTTAAAAAAGGTTAGGGTTTGTTTAGATTTAATTATGTCATAAATTCTGCAACAGAGGCGGGGGATATAGCAACAGGGGCGGGGGATATAGCCACATTAGTGGCAAACTCTTGTTTTCTGATGTAAATGTATTAACTCTCCTGAACACATATGTCTTCAGATAAGATGTATTGATGATGTTCTTATTGGATTGTTACAGTGTGACCATGCCTGTGACACAGGCCCGTGTGCTGACTCTCAACAGGGGAGAGAACAGGGAGACAACTCTGTACCGACTGGAGAAAGGTAGGGTTTTGTTGACCAGATTAAGCAGAATAGGTCCCCACTTTTCACTAACTACGGCTTATGTTCAAAATAGGTCTGAAAACACAGAGTCCTTGTCATACCCCCGTGTTGAAACTTTAGGGACATTAAAATATCTTGCAGCAAATGCTCATGGTCCCCAGAATACCTTTGATTTTAAACACGTTAAGCCAACTAACGAGGATTGAACAGTTTGTGTGACTTTGCTGGCTGAGAACAAACTATTCATTGTTCACCTGCTCTCTTTAGACCACAGTAAATCAATTATTACATTTCCTTCCTTCCACTGTTATCAAAAGATTTCATGGCTCAAATTAACAGCTTTCAAGGATAGCTGTCTGGTAGGAAATGTCAATATTTCAACTGTGTATTTTTTTACTGAATGGCAGCCCATAGATAAAGTCATGTCAAAATCTATTTCAGTAAATTGTTGGGTAAAACAATAAATTCCATCATTGGTTATTGCCATATTTTTCCACATTATAAAGAATTGACATTAAGGAACTTGATATGCCGTTATAAAACTGACATACTGTTAAGTATTGGAGAAAACACGCTTATGAGGTTTTGGTAGACAGAGCATGCCCCTGGGAGAGGGAAAAACCAAGGGGGTGAAGCCCCCGCGGTTTTTCCAGACCCCCAGGGCATGCTCTGTCTACCAAAACCGAGGGAAAGTGTTTTTCCATACTTATAAACCCAAAAAAGAAACTTAAAACAACATTTATCCACATTTTTATGTTTCAAACTTACTTTCCATGAACCTTAGGAAACGCGCGTAAAGTATCTGTTGCTGGCGTACGGATCTTGAAAAGGACATTCTAAAAACCAGTGTGGCTTATCAACACCTCTGTAGCCTCGTGGTAGACTCACTGGGCTACAGATATGAAGGTTGTGAGTTCGATCCTCGGGAATATAAAGAAAACATTTCTCATTTGATTTTACATTTCACTACATGTTACAATCTGAATGGAAGTTATATTAATAAAATACCCAGGATATTATATAAAATCCCTGGGATATTATATAAAATCCCAGGGACATTACAATGTCCCTGTTTATGAGATTTAACCCGACTGGAAAGTAAAACCTCACAATAGGTTTTAATGCCTATAGAAAGAAGTCTCTTACTTAATAGCGATCCCAATGAATAGGTTTAAAAAGTGATGTAAAACCAAACTCACTCACTAGAAAACTGCTTGGTCAATATCCCCAAACGAAAGGAGGCAACAAAACCTTAATTAGAAAACTTTTCAATGTGCATAAAACAAGGAATTAAATTTGTTTGGCCTCATGTAATTGTGGTGGGTTACTCACTCACACATAGCTGACCCGTGAAGATCCAGGTAGAGGATAGGTCTTCAGCAACCCATGCTTGTCGTAAGGGGCAACTAGAGGGATCGGATGGTCAGTCTCGATGACTTGGTACATATCATCATATTCCAATTGCATTGATCAATGCTCATGATGTCAATCACTGGGTTGTCTGGTCTAGTCTCAATTAATTACAGACCACCCTCATATAGCTGGAATATTGCTGAGTGCGGCTTTGAACAACAAACAAATAAACAAAAATCATACATTGCCTTAATAATAATTTGTACAATTTGCTTCAGAAGACCACAATGTACCATTCTTTCAGGATGGACTCTCCGATTTGCCCTCGGTCCCTCGCTGTTGTCTGCTTCTGTGCGCCTGTACTGCAACCACCCTCCGTCTAGCGACAAGACCTTCAAGCGCACCACCTACTATGAGCTGCCATGGAGGAGTCCCAGCGGGATGAGTAGTGATCGCCATGATGTCTTTGCTGAAGTCAACATGGGCATAGCTGGGTCATTCAACTACTTCTTTACAGTTGATGGCAGGTGAGAGCTGCATACTTTTCTTTTGCATTACGTGAGTCGTAGCAGTATCACTCAGTGTATATGTGTTTTGATGCATCCCGACTTAGGTTTTATACCACTCGCCTCAGGCGACATTGGACACATAAAACCACATATACCCAGAGTGATACTGCAACAATGAATTTATTTTGCCAACTTGTTTCAATCTGCCATTGTAAAAGAATTAAAATAAATTGAAAATTGATAGAAAACAGCTGTTTTATTAAACTTAGGTTAACTTGTGCTGTGTCACGTGACCATCATTAACTCACACAGAAATCCACATGAAGTTTGGATTGTTTTCTTGATGTGGGATAAGGGATTTATTTTCCCACTCAGAAATTGATTTCCCTCCCAGATGGGATACATAGTATTTTATCAAGATGATATGAACCAATCAGATCTGAACATTTCTGACATGGCGGTGAGATAAGACTTTTGTATGAAGGTAGCTAGAGGCATGGGATTTTCTGTTTATGGTTATCAGGACATAACTCAGTTTCCTCAAACCTCAAGTAATGCATTGAGGTTCTTCGTTATGTTCACTAGAGGCAAGGCACTTTCATTCAGTTTGAGGTTGTAGTAGGCACGTGTGGGTATGTCCCAACACCAAAGGTAATAGTTTGTTTGTTTATTTGTTTGTTTGCTGTTGAATGCCGCACTCAGCAATATTCAAGCTTCATGATGGCAGTTTGTAAATAATCAAGTCTGAACCAGAAAATCCAATCTTTGACATCATGATCATCCATCTATGCAATTCGGATACGATGACATGGATCAACCAAGACAGTGAGCCTGACCATGGGTTGCTATAGACGTATTCTCCCCCAATCTTAACGGGTCCATAGGTAATGGTATCTGCCTTGCCACCATGGTGAAGGGACTACTTCTGCTTCAAGTACGGGAAAACACTTTTCGCTTTTATGTACAGTTGACAGCATACACAGATGTTGGGTGGATATGGATGACATTGTCTGGCTGTTTAATATGACTGCAACATTGCAAGCAAGCTTACATCAACTTTTGAGAAAGAAATATTTCTAATTTTACTTGATTTCAGTGATGTCCCTTCAAGTGCCGATGGCCAGGGTTACTTTCTGGTTGACCCGACCCTCCATGTTGGATCAGACAATGTGGAGATAACTCTCGACTGCATCCAGTGTCAAACCGTCATCACCAAACTCCTCGGACCTTTCTCCCAGTGGGAGAACAGACTGCGAGTTGCCAAGGAAACGGGGTACAATCTCATACACTTCACTCCAATACAAGAACTTGGCATTTCTAATTCTGCTTACTCCATACGAGATCAACGAATTTTGAGCCCAGTGTACAACGATCATCAACAATATTCATATAAAGATGTCAAAACTCTTGTAGAGACTATGCAAAATGACTGGCAAGTTCTGGCGTTGACAGATTTAGTATTTAATCACACATCCAAGGACAGCCCTTGGGTTCTAGAGCATCCAGAATGTGCCTATAATTTGGAGAATGCAGCCCATCTGATGCCAGCATATGTGATGGACCGTATCTTAAGCGAGTTTAGTGATGAGGTAGCTAAGAAAAAGTGGGTTTCTAAAGGTGTCCCTTCCAGCATTGACGACGAGAGTCAACTCCAGGTAAGGATTTGAAAATATTTGTAAGAAAAAAATAAGAACGTCGAAGGTTTAAAAAAAATAAATTGATTCTCAGGCAATGTTTTTTGAAAATATAGTGCAGGTGGGTGGTGTCTTTTTTCGGGGGGTGGGATGGGGAGTGGGGTTGTCCAAACTAGTATGTAACCAAATGAACTATTGTGTACAGTCAACCTGGGAAAGAGCCTCCCTACATAAATGTACTCCTTGATGAGTAAAATACAGTATTTGACTACCATTGGAATTGGAATATTTAAGGATTTGGTTGTTTTTTTAAAAGTGGAAATGAAAACAAATCATACAGCAAACTTTATAATGATGCAGGTGGTGCCTGAGAACAAAGACTATTACCGTATTCGACGTAATAAGCGCCCACGGCGATATTTGCTAATATATTGGCTACTGAACAATCCCAATTAGCACACCTTCCGATTGATCAGTGTACACAAGACTTATTTATTCGTGTATAATACATGTGTTATATGCATTCTTAATCGTGGGAAATTAAATTCTGGAAAAATATATCTGAACATATATAAACATTTCAGGCTGTCAGCATAAACCACAATATTTATGATCTTTCAACTCTGTTGTTTTTCTCCAAAATAATATTCTAATAAGAGCCCCCTATTTCTAATTTTGAGAGCGCACTGGGCGCTTATTATGTCAAATACGGTATTTGTTTTAGCCTAAAGTGAAAGTTATTTGTAGGCACCAAACAGATGGAACACCTAATGTAACCTATGACCTTCCATAGTATCTCGGCTAACTGTTTACCAATACTTCACATAAGTTCTTTTATGTAGAAAAACTCTGTGGCAATAAAAATAGCATGAAAATAGAAACTTCTTGTCATGCTTATTGGTATCAGGTTACCAGAATTATACCATGAATTTGGTAAATTCTTGATTAGGATTTGTCAATCGGAGGTATGAAATCACAAACAGCCCCTTGTGATTGAAACAGCCGATTTGATGGCCCCATGACAGTGTAAGCTAATATTTTTAGAATAGTACTTCTTTTACAGGCATTGTCAGTGGGCATATTCAAATAATTGTATGTACAGTTATATGCTACAAAATGCTACGGTATTTAAAGGATGTGGGGCAATATTTTCATGCAAAAAACATGATAGAAATCTGCAAAGAGAATGTATTTCAAGCTTTTAGGACAACAGAGAGCTTGGTATTTGGCGCTTCTCTTTGTATGACTAAGATGTCACAATGAGCAATATGAGGTCATAATAGTGATATGCGGTGTAGAACGAAAGCTGCACATTTGGTTCCAAATTCAATTTAGCTCTGTTAAATCTACAGGTAACCTAGCTCTACATTCAAGACACAGTATGTTTATCTCCTAAATATGCCGGGGATGTCTAACTTTACCTGTCCATGTTATAGAGTAATTAAGTATCACAAAAATGTGATGACTGTCTTAGAATTAAAACCTTTTCTTCTTTTTCTTTGCTAATTCTTTCTAATAACAGATGAATGAGATAAAACATTGTCTTCAAAATTCTTTGTATCATTGATGTTTTTTTCTATTAATAGTTGAAATGACCCATGGTACAATACAAATTTGTGAAGGGTTGCACTTATTGAAGAATAACACACTAAATAGTTTCTTCATGACAGCTGTTACCTTGCCTGATGAACTGGCTGGCTGTTCGTGGCTCACCCTTTATTCCTAATGGAACTCAAGAATATGTTTTGTTTATATAACAGTGGTCTGTAAATAATTGAGTTTGGACCATCAATCCAGTGATTGACATCATGAGCATCCATCTACGCAATTGGGCATGCATCAACCAAGTCATCGAGTCTGACCATCCGATTCCGTTAGTCGCCTCTTACTTACTGACTCTTGAGGGGTGGCTGATTTGTTAAAGTGGTGCAAACTTTCATAGTTGTGTCCCTTGGTCATGTCAGGATCCAATATTCTTGGGTTCATATTCCAGATTTGACCTGATTGTCATTTTTGGTTGTGGGCACAATAAATGTGCTAGTGAATGTCTCTAAATTGGTAAACGTCGAGGAATTGTATTACTTTGTTCTTTCCTACCACATTCTGTCCTAGATGCACTGTTATATAACTGAAATACGGTCCATAATGGTCACAATGGTTCGATTGTGTGTTATAAACTGGTGTCAAGAAAGGGTGGGAATAAACAATTGGCGAAAGTCAATTGAAATTTGTTTTGAAAATAATATGTATATTTGTGTTAAATGATAAGAGCACTTAGCACATCAAATATGGTATGTGGCATTGCAGGCTATTCGCCATGTGCTGCTCACTGAGGTGTTTCCTCGCTACAGACTTCAGGAGTTCTACACTGTTTCTGTGGATGGGACACTGAAGGAATTCAAGAGAGGTATTGAAGGTGAGTTTCACAATTTTTAAACTTTGAGGGATGTTTACTGTTTCTTTCTTTTGAGGAATTGTAACCTAGCTTTATTGTGACTTCAGTGTGATGTATCAAATTCATCACTTGCACCTTTAGCATGTTCTGTACCTCACACCTAATGTGTGATTTGTTGCTCATGCTATCGGCCACTGGTTTGCCTGGTCCAGACTTGATCATTCTCAGTCTGAGGTGATGTTAATTGGGTAAGCCCCCCATCTCCACTTTTGAAAATTGATCGTCACCCTTTAAAAAAATCATGTATCTGTCTTTTGATGCACTGAAGGGCAAATTCACCTCAGCCTATTCAAGAGTGCCAGATCCATGAGATTGAATGAAGAAAAATACCGGAACCCTCATTTATGATAAGTGAATATGATGGAAGTATATATGACATTTACTGAAATGGGGATCAAAATCATTGCTCTGTCAAAGATGGTTGCCCAAGCTCAGTATGCTTGAACATGTTTTTATCTATGCAGAGAACCGTCACATCTCAGAGAGCAAGGAAGCCTTGGACATAATTCAGGACCCCCAGTATCGTCGACTCAAGTCCAAGGTGGACCCTGACACTGTCCTCAAGCTCTACAACGTAGATAGGTACATAATCATGGATGCATCATCTCACTGTGGAGGACATGGTATCAAAAGTGTAGGAAGAGTTGTCTTTAAAGCAAACAGACTAAAACAATTGCAAACTTATTTGTGTGGAAATAACATCTTTAATGTGTACCACCTGTAACTTCTAAACATTAGAGGACTCATCAGATGCTTTAACATAGATTAATAATACATATAGCTCGTGTCTGATTCTAGGGGATTGCTTGGTCACGATGGCTGCAGTGTATGAATAGCTCGTGGATGTAACCCCATTCTGGGTTGGTCCAGGGTAACCCATGCTTGTTCTAAGAGACGAGTAAACATTGGGCACTGCTTTGTCTGATGCCTTCATGTTGCTGGCATATTGCTGAGGCATAGAACAACAGAACTGGATGAACAAACATGAGAGAAACCGGACTGTTTGTGTCATCAAGACCGCCTCCATGATCTAGTGGATAGAGCATCTGCCTGGAAAGCGGAATCAGTGGTTTAATCCCGGCCAAATCATACAAAAAAGCGTTAAAAGATGCTATATGTTGTTACCCTGTCAAATGCTCGGCATTGAACAAGGACTAGTTGGTGTATGAGGAGGGTATCCATGTTAAACTGTGGCATGGTGTCACTAGTTCAAGCACACACACACGCACACACGCACACACACGAACACACAAACACACACACACACACGTCTAAAAATAGTCTTGAACTTTTTAGGGATCACTTTTAAGGGGTCAGTGTTTACACTATCAGCCACTGGTTTGTTAGCTTGCTAAAACTGTAAACCTGCTGATTCAGTCAAAATAAACTCACACAAGCACTCACTTCAGTAAAACCAGAGGCTATGTCAAGCTTCCATCAAGTTGTTGGCAGTTTGTTTTCATTAATACTATCTCTATTCACAGCGAGGACGGTAACCATGACAACAGGTACATGTATTGTGTAGTATTTCATTTTCTTTGTCAGGTTTAGATATTAGACTAACATCACTGTTTAGCAGATGGACTTTCTTTCATAAGCTCAAATGATCCTAGACCAGTAGAGCTTACTCATTTGCGCAGTGTCCGTCGTCCATCCAATTCATTTAACATTTTTGTTTTGACTTAAGTATGAGTAAGTTCAAATAAAACCATTATTTTTTGTTTATTGGATCACTGCCCACCCTATAAGAAATAATCAAATTACAAACTTTATTTTCTTCCGACATGTCAAGTACGCTAAATTGTTTTGTGATTATACAGTGTTTTTAAAAACAAAATCATCAACAACACAAATTTAATGCTCAATTTGACATTCAAATGTCCAAGTTTATTCTTTGATTTGACATGGAGATTTTGACAAACTTAACTTTTATTAGTTTTCTGAGAAATATTCATCACAAAAGAAAGAGGAAGAATTTTATATTTTTTTATTCGAGGTTCCAGATGTTAATGGACTGAGATGAAATTCAATTTGATGACAAGTCAGGGGAGTCAAACATGTGATGATTTTATACAGAGTACAATTCACAGTTGAGCATCAACCTGAAACAGTTCTAGTCTGAATGTTCTTTTTCAGTTTCCAAGTCTGCACGGTAGCATTTTGTTGACCCTGTATTCTACGCTTTCAAAATTAAAGTAGAATGAATTGGTTGTAGACTTTTGGATCAGGTTTATGTTTCTCCAGTGCTATTATTTCACTGATAATGCACACTTTATATTACTGTAGTTGTCTCTTTGTTTCACTTCGGCTTGTGACTGCAATGTAGATTGGAAGGAAATTTCATGAACTTTATCTTGATGCATGGTTTTCCTGTGGTTGATGTTCATTGTACCTGTTGCATCCTTTCAACCATCATGTTTCAACATTAGTGAATGCTATGTCTGCAGTGTTCATTCTAGTTGCCATTGAGCTGGAGGGTGGGGGAAGGGGGTGGGGTGGGGTGGGGTGGGGCATTTGGTTTGCCTGTCTGTGACAAAACTGTATGGTCACTCAGAGCCCATGTGGTGATAGCAGAGATTATAATGACTCACTTGTGGACATGTTCGTCTTGTGGACATTCGTAATCATGATTAGACTGTGGCATTTAACAAAGTTATGCTTTCTTTTTCTTTAGATTGTTAGGAAAACAAGTGTCATATTCTTACGTTAGTCTGGGTGGTGGAGTAGACTAGTTGTTGAAGCATTTGCACCACACACCAAAGGCCCGGTTTCGATTCCCCACATGGGTACAATGTTTGACGCGCCCATTTCTGGTGTCCCCTGGCGTGATAATGCTGAAATATTGCTAAAAACAGCGTAAGACCATACTCACTCTCTCTTGCTTTAGTCGGGTGAGCTTAGGCCACTCTCACCTACAGCCTGTCAAGTACTGCAACTAGCACATCTACTTTGATGCTTTGTAACCAAGCTCCTCACAGCAATAAATCATTCCTTGCACTGTAACTTGGGAAGTTAATGGAAGTGTCACACAGTGTGACAGAGCTTGCTTCATAACATATACATGCACAATGCTCACGTTTGATGTAGACACACCCGCAACATTGATGAATAGGAGATTGTTTTGTGTTGGAGGCCATGTCTGCCACACATAGCTGAGTGTTTTACTGTCATAATGCTCTAGAGTGAACACTGTGTCTGTGATTGTAATATGTCAGAAGCCGTGAGAGTAGTTACATTTTCACATTGTAGATGAAGTGTTGGGTCATTCTTCACAGATTTGTATGGACAATGTTCCTCCATCACCGTAATTGCATATGGCTGAGGTGCATTGTAGTAGTGACTCATGTTTATTATCCCCCGCCGCGCGAAAGCGCGAAGCGGGGGATATAGTATTCACGACCGTCCGTACGTCCGTCCGTACGTCCATCCGTCCGTACGTCCCACCTGTTTGTTGCCGCGATATCTCAAGAACTAAACACTGGATTGTCTTCATGTTTGGAACTATGGTGTATATACAGACACCGCAGACACCAGTCGGTTTTGGTGACCTTGACCCCATTTTCAAGGTCACAGCAGGCAAATCTGCTTTTTGAGTTTGAAAACGGTGTTGCCGCGATATCTCAAGAACTAAACACTGGATTGTTTTCATATTTGGAACTATGGTGTATATACAGACTCCGCAGACACCAGTCGGTTTTGGTGACCTTGACCCCATTTTCAAGGTCACAGCAGGTAAATCTGCTTTTGGAGTTGGAAAACGGTGTTGCCGCGATATCTCAAGAAGTAATCGCTGGATTGTCTTCATATTTGGTACTATGGTGTATATACAGGCGGGGGACATTTCGTCACTTCTGTGACAAATACTTGTTTTCAGTCATGTAATGAAATTCGTCCGAATGTAATTCATAGAAGCCCGACTCAGTGAAGGAATTTTGTGTTAACCCACAGTTGCCTGATATTGAAGCAATGTGTAGAGTGGATGCCACAAGGCCTTGACACATGCTGCAGTTTGTGCTATAGTCTGGAAGAAAATTTAAGGTACCGACGTTGACTACAATATCTGAAAAACTATTAGACCTACTCCAGTCAAAGTTGGTATGAGATTATTAAACAGTCATACATAACTGGATATTACATTTAAAGACAATCGGTGCATGAATAAAAAATCTGTCTATTTAGCTGTCACTATATTTCATCAACAACCAGACCAGGAATTACGCACGCACGAATACGGTGTTAGCGTTTGGCGTCTCAACGTGCGCCCTTTCAGGTTGAGTTGATTGGTTCAACTGTGTCATATGGCCCTGTGACGCAGGGGTAGCATTATGCAGATGGCTGTTTCAATGAATGCTCATTCCACCCGTGACGAACAGGTCTGGTTGTTGATGGAATATAGTGACAGCTAAATAAACAGATTTTTTATTCATGCACCGATTGTCTTTAAATGTAATATCCAGTTATGTATGACTGTTTGATAATCTCATACCAACTTTTACTGGAGTAGGTCCAATAGTTTTTCAGATATTGTAGTAAACGTCGGTACCTTAAATTACCTTCCAGACTATATGTTATCTGAGCCCTCATTGGTCCAAACACTCCCTGGTTTCCCTCTCGGTGGAACCAGGCCATGGCTTGGTTTGTTTGTTAAAAATTGCAAATACACCACAAATCTTGGTGTTGGAGGAACATAGGGTACACAAACCCTTGAAGTTTTGACAATGGACAGGATGCTGCACTCTAGAATAAAGCTGAATCCGTGATGGTAAAGGCATTACTGCTTTTCATTTCACTCTGTAGATGTTTGGGTCAGAATGCTTGTCTTACTAGCTGGTTATTATCATTTTAGGGGACCTCAGTGGCTGATGAGAATGATTAGTACTGGAATTGGTTTCAAGCAGTTTGGGCCAATTCCACAAACCTATTTTAGAACTACTGGCTATTGTTTGTCTTTGTTATATATCATAGCTGCAGTAATCATAATGTAATTATGTGGAACAGTGCCCTTGGACACAGGCTATTGTGTTTTAACAAGGAGTCCAATATTCGGACAAAAATGAAGTAAATTCTGGAACAAATCCCAAAATGAAATATCAAATTTCAAATTCAGGTTATTCTAATTTATGATATTGTTAAATGTTTTAGGCGAGACTTTGAGTGCAAATTTAAAGTGACTTGTATTTCACTGATATTTCACTGAAAATAGTATTTTGTTGTTCACAAGTACTTTTTAGTGACCCTGCTTTCAAATTTAATGTCAGGAGCAAATGTTTTCAAGTAGTTACAGCTTAAGGTATTAGTTGCACCAAGAACCAATGGATTTTCTTGAGTATCGAGTGCTTGCATGCTTTAGTTGTCATAATGTGAACAAGAGTTGTGAAAAAATGTGCAAGTAGACTTTATCCCTGAGTTATTTTATGAAGTCAAACACTCCAGGGATTGATGTCAGGTCATAGCAGCTGGACAGTAAATCCTGTTGTATAGAATATACCAGTTGGTCTCCAGCAACCTATGCTGGTCATAAGAGGCAATGGGACTGATCAGGTGGTCAGGCTTAATGACTTTTGTTGAACTACCCTGACAGGATGGGTCATACCTCAGCATATCAATCCAGCCTGTTTTTAAATCATTCCAAACCAAACTTTAACATGATTAAACAAATCCTATACAATGTATTTTACATTCAACTTGCCCTTTAACTATTTCACTAACCACAGGCTAGCAGGCTACTATTAATTTAAAGCATCATGGGCAATATTAGTTCTATTGTTTCGCTCTTGTTCAGAAAAGTAAAAAAAATTAATGACACAAAATTAAAATTGACAAAATAGTTGTCATGCGTTTTATAGTAGACATTTGATTTTCAGATTCTCAGTTTGATTTCCTATGTTTAAGGCCCGGTGTCCTTAACAGACAGGAAAGGATTACAAAGTGCTGTGACAGTTTGCGTGCCAGGCTGAATGAGCTAAATGGTGCAAAGGAAAGGGATATCGAGGAAATCATCAAGGTCGCTGTTGAGAACTTTGTTGCCAATGTAAGGTGGCGGTTTCTTGACCCAAATGGACCCCAGGTCGGAACCGTCACAGGAAAAAAGCCCTTGATGCACAGGTTAGTGTCACAGTTTACAGGCTTGTGTTTGTTAAGGGGAAGTCTTCGTTCGTGTGGCTACATGTGGGGATTCCAGGGTTGGAGTAGGCCGAAAGCATTCTACCTGATGCTTGTCAGAAGAATCAAAATGGTTACAGATCGGATCTGTGAGTTGACTGATTGCATGTTATTGTGCCCTGATGAGGTAGTTCACTGTTCATGCTTTCAGTCCCTGGTTTTCCTAGTCCAGACTTAATTATTGACAGGTTGCCATGATATTGATGGAATACTCCTTACTGGACAGCATTCACTCACTCATGATGATTTTGTTAATGATGTCATGTAGTGAGTGCCAACTAGGGCTGGACGAGTCCAAATTTACTTCTCGGGTAACTGATCCTATTCTCCAACACTACCCGGGTACCCACTGTAAGACTCAAGAGTTTGGTACAAAATGTCTGATTGGGAATTGTTTTACCGGAGCCCTGGCAAAAACTATTTAGACGCACATATAAAATGACCTGATCATGCATACACTGAGGTTGACTGAAACTGTATCTTTACAACAAGGGGAAGAATATGTGCTTCGTCAAAAAGAAATGCGAACATTAGTGACTTGTTCTGTTATTGTCATTTAACAATATATATCACTAACTATGGGTCCAGGTACACCTGTAGGTACCCAGGTCCTACTCGGGACCCACCTGACCTGAGTACCCGAGTTACCGTTACCAACTCCAATGCCAATCTTCATGTCCCACTGTTTCAGCTACTTTGTGTGGCCGGAGTCTCACAGCGGGACGGTCGACTGGGCGGAGCAGAAGGTCACGTCAGGGGAGGGTGCCCGTGTGATGGCAGTCAATGGATGGGTCATGGGGGATGATCCTCTGAAAAACTTTGCTGAAGAAGGTATGAGACAAAGTGTTTACAAAATAATGTAGCTCAGGCAAGCACTCTTTGATATCAACAAATCCAGTGGTCTTCTTAACTACAAATATTTAAACTTAACCCATCTCACACTATGGATTTCTTCTTCTTTCAATCCTGTGTGGAAACATACCTAAACAAAGGTTTCCAGCTTCTTAAAAAACAATCTTCTTAAAAAAATATCAGCTTCCAGGACACCCAGACCGTTTGTTGGCATCTGTCCTCAACCCAGATGACCATAATGACATCTCCTAATGCCCAGTTAGAGTGCTCTGCATCTACATAGAGGCTGCACGACCACTTCTACACACCCATGAGAAATTTTCATTCCACTTTCCACAGCAGCCACCACAGAAGTCTCAAATACCACTGTCTCTTTTTGACTGCGCTCGACAATCCTCCGAGCCCACGCCTTTACTGGATTGCCTCCTCCAGTGATGTCCAATCCCCATGAGACGAGAGCTGGCACCTCTACCTTGGCATAGCACAGCAATTGTACTCTAGGGAGGGTTGCTTTGGAAGTCTGATGACTTCCACTAAGCATCGAAAGAAGAATGTGAAATGCATAGTGTGAGATAGCATAAGTTTATAAATATACAACTTTACTCAGAATCAGAGGTGATCAGAGAGAGACAATAGAAAACCAGCCACAGAAATGCCAATGTCTGTGAAAGTCCAGGGGTTCATGTCACCCTAGTGTTAAAAGTAACAGATTTAGGGCATCCATCGATTCAAAGACCATAGGAGAAGTAACAGATTTAGGGTATCCATAGATTCAAAGACCATAGGAGAAGTAACAGATTTAGGGCATCCATACATTCAAAGACCATAGGAAAAGTAACAGGTTTAGGGCATCCATACATTCAAAGACCATAGGAAAAGTAACAGATTTAGGGCATCCATAGATTCAAAGACCATAGCAAAAGTAACAGATTTAGGGCATCCCTAGATTCAAAGACCATAGGAAAAGTAACAGATTTAGGGCATCCCTAGATTCAAAGACCATAGGAGAAGTAACAGATTTAGGGCATCCCTAGATTCAAAGACCATAGGAAAAGTAACAGATTTAGGGCATCCCTAGATTCAAAGACCATAGGAGAAGTAACAGATTTAGGGCATCCCTAGATTCAAAGACCATAGCAAAAGTAACAGATTTAGGGCATCCATAGATTCAAAGACCATAGGAAAAGTAACAGATTTAGGGCATCAATAGACTCAAAGAACATAGGAGAAGTAACAGATTTAGGGCATCCATAGATTCAAAGACCATAGGAGAAGTAACAGATTTAGGGCATCCCTAGATTCAAAGACCATAGTAAAAGTAACAGATTTAGGGCATCCATAGATTCAAAGACCATAGGAGAAGTAACAGATTTAGGGCATCCCTAGATTCAAAGACCATAGGAGAAGTAACAGATTTAGGGCATCCATAGATTCAAAGACCATAGGAGAAGTAACAGATTTAGGGCATCCCTAGATTCAAAGACCATAGGAAAAGTAACAGATTTAGGGCATCCATAGATTCAAAGACCATAGGAAAAGTAACAGGTTTAGGGCATCCATAGACTCAAAGACCATAGGAGAAGTAACAGATTTAGGGCATCCATAGATTCAAAGACCATAGGAGAAGTAACAGATTTAGGGCATCCCTAGATTCAAAGACCATAGTAAAAGTAACAGATTTAGGGCATCCATAGATTCAAAGACCATAGGAGAAGTAACAGATTTAGGGCATCCCTAGATTCAAAGACCATAGGAGAAGTAACAGATTTAGGGCATCCATAGATTCAAAGACCATAGGAGAAGTAACAGATTTAGGGCATCCCTAGATTCAAAGACCATAGGAAAAGTAACAGATTTAGGGCATCCCTAGATTCAAAGACCATAGGAAAAGTAACAGATTTAGGGCATCCCTAGATTCAAAGACCATAGGAAAAGTAACAGATTTAGGGCATCCCTAGATTCAAAGACCATAGGAAAAGTAACAGATTTAGGGCATCCATAGATTCAAAGACCATAGGAAAAGTAACAGATTTAGGGCATCCCTAGATTCAAAGACCATAGGAAAAGTAACAGATTTAGGGCATCCATAGATTCAAAGACCATAGGAGAAGTAACAGATTTAGGGCATCCATAGATTCAAAGACCATAGGAAAAGTAACAGATTTAGGGCATCCATAGATTCAAAGACCATAGGAAAAGTAACAGATTTAGGGCATCCATAGATTCAAAGACCATAGGAGAAGTAACAGATTTAGGGCATCCATAGATTCAAAGACCATAGGAGAAGAACAGATTTAGGGCATCCCTAGATTCAAAGACCATAGGAAAAGTAACAGATTTAGGGCATCAATAGACTCAAAGACCATAGGAAAAGTAACAGATTTAGGGCATCCATACATTCAAAGACCATAGGAAAAGTAACAGGTTTAGGTCATCCATAGATTCAAAGACCATAGGAGAAGTAACAGATTTAGGGCATCCATAGACTCAAAGACCATAGGAGAAGTAACAGATTTAGGGCATCCATAGACTCAAAGACCATAGGAGAAGACCTGAAACACCCCAGGACACTCCCCCCAAAATAAATTTTGTACACTGTATATTCTTTTGTATGCAAAGACATCAATTATTACTGACATTTTTCACTTTTTTATTCAATAAAAATCGGTGAAATTTCTTTAGTAGGCCTGATAATGATACCTCCAAGGGCGGAGTCTGAATTTGAAATCGTTTGAGTCAGTGTTTGATTCCAAATGTAAATCCTGTGACACTTATCTTCTTCTTATCGTAAATGAACAGGTAGCTTGGCATCACACACGGATAGGATTTATGGATGAACAACTTCTTTATTACAATTAAGAGCGACGTCTCAGTGTAGGTTCTAACACCGTTATCAAGCACATGAACAACTTCGTTATTACAATTAGGAGCAGCGTTTCGTGTAGGTTTAACACTATTATCAAGCACTTGCACTCTCACTTACTCACTCACTCACTCCTAGTGAGCCTCATTTGATGTGAAGCATATGTACAAGTTAATGCCCAACTACCATGCAGAATAGCTTTATTAGTTTTATAATGAATCCGTATTTATTTTTCACAGGGTCTAATGTTTATATACGACGAGAACTGTTAGCATGGGGAGACAGTGTGAAGCTACGCTATGGACAGAAACCAGAAGACTGTCCCTATCTATGGAATCACATGAGAGACTATGCAGAGACAACTGCTCGGATCTTCCATGGTGTGAGACTGGACAACTGTCACAGCACACCCATACATGTGGCTGAGGTATACTCTCAAACTAGTCCTAACAATGAAACAACCCAAGAGTATTATGAAGTTAAAGAATTTGTTGTTTTCAGTGCAGGACAACTAAGTTATGAGTAGACACAGTATATGTAAATACCTCTCATGTATTGTAAGAAAAAGACAGCAATGATTGTGATATGTGTGCTTATGTTAATATATTACCTGGCTTAAGGTTATGAGAATGCAAAGTTATGTTGTAGTGATACTTATTTCAACAATATTGTCACGGGACCTACATCTGAATTTCCTGGTCTGAATTATATTTTGCCCATCGCAAACTGGTCCTTACCAGTAAACTTGTCTTGTAGTACATGTTGGATGCTGCCAGAAAGGTGCAGCCTGACCTGTACGTGATTGCGGAGTTGTTCACTGGAGGCGAGCATCTTGACAATCTCTTCATCAACAGACTGGGCATCAACTCTCTCATCAGAGGTAACTATGGGGGGCACAGTTGGCCAAGTGTGCTGAGGCATCGCAATTCACTGTGCAGAGTAATATCCCTTAGCTATGCCAGGATCCGTTCATCATTTTTCTGAATCCCAGATTTTCATCACATTTCGCTGAGCAGAGTTACATCCCTTAGCTATGCCAGGATCCGTTCATCATGTTTCTGAATCCCAGATTTTCCCCAATTGTGATACTAGGTCGGCAGCACAATACTCATGCTCCTGGGTTTCACCAAAGTGGTGAACATCTATGATACACATCATTTTGGATTTTCCTCCCACGTGAAGCTGTTCCATAATTTGAAACATGATATAAAATGTAGTCCACACCTTCTTGGAAGTAAATGCATAGTCATATTCCTGTGAATATACTATACATCTTGCACTTGAAATATCACAAGCATTGGTTATGCCAACCAATCCAGACAACATAGTATAAAAAATGTTGAGCTACTCAAATATATGTTTATTCTGATTTCTGGCCTAACATTGGCACCAGATAATTTATAACAAGAATATACTCGATATTGTTTTTATCACTCCTCAGCACTACCTCACGTTATGTTTCAGAGGCGCTGATGGCCTGGGACGCCCACGAAGAAGGCAGGCTGGTTCACAGATATGGAGGTGTCCCAGTTGGGTCATTTGTCCAGCCCCGCATCCAGCCCCTAGTCCAAACCATGGCTCATGCTATCTTCTTTGATCAGACTCACGACAATCCAAGTCCAATAGCGGTGGGTTGACTTGTCTTCATTAAGGTAGAATCCAGTTTTATAAAGGGACTATTCTCAACATCTGGCTTCACAAGGTGATTGACCAATCAGAAAGTCCATAGTGATACGGAATCTGCAATGTTGTCTGTGAGGTGAGGTGTAACGTCATGTCCAGGATTATTGCACTTATATAGCGACGTGCATGCATGTGTGTGTGTGTCTGTTTGTACTAGTCCAGACTGATGCGGATTTATAGTGCTAGCCCACTGAGATACCATGTCACAGTTTAACATGCATACCCCACTCAGACACAGTATACTGACTCCGAGCCTACCTGTCCCACCACCAGACCACGGAGGCTGTCTACACTTTTGTCAAAGTGATAGATATTTTTCAGGCCAACTTTCAGGAATTGTTTGCTTTTTATAAGATATTTATACAGTGCAGTTACCCATTACATGTAGATCTAAAAATTCTGAGCATTTATCAAATGTATCTGGAACCATCGATTCACACAATGATGGGTGTTATATTTTTGGCATCGTCACTCATGGTGTGGAAAACATCATTAAATATGGAAATGTCATATGAAATGATATTTGAAGAATACAGATTAAGATATAGGTGGATATTTGATTTTGGGTTTTTATTGTTTATCTCCTCAGAAACGTTCTGCTTACGATCTCTGGCCAACTGCTGCTCTGGTGTCCATGGCCTTCTGTGCAACAGGAAGTAACAGAGGATATGACCAGTTGGTCCCTCATCATGTAAGTCTAGGAGTGTCAATACTTCCTCTGGTGATGCTGGAGAGAGTGATTGAAGTATTGTAGGACTGTAACTGTCATTACTTTCTCTGATGATGCTGGAGAGAGTGATTGAAGTATTTTAGGACTGTAACTGTCATTACCTCCTCTGATGATGCTGGAGAGAGTGATTGAAGTATTGTAGGACTGTAACTGTCATTACTTTCTCTGATGATGCTGGAGAGAGTGATTGAAGTATTGTAGGACTGTAACTGTCATTACTTTCTCTGATGATGCTGGAGAGAGTGATTGAAGTATTGTAGGACTGTAACTGTCATTACCTCCTCTGATGATGCTTGAGAGAGTGATTGAAGTATTGTAGGACTGTAACTGTCATTATTTTCTCTGATAATGCTGGAGAGAGTGATTGAAGTATTTTAGGACTGTAACTGTCAATACCTCCTCTGATGATGCTGGAGAGAGTGATTGAAGTATTGTAGGACTGTAGCTGTCATTATTTTCTCTGATGATGCTGGAGAGAGTGATTGAAGTATTGTAGGACTGTAACTGTCATTACCTCCTCTGATGATGCTGGAGAGAGTGATTGAAGTATTGTAGGACTGTGACAGTCATTACCTCCTCTCATGATACTTGAGAGAGTGATTGAAGTATTGTAGGACTGTAACTGTCATTATTTTCTCTGATAATGCTGGAGAGAGTGATTGAAGTATTTTAGGACTGTAACTGTCAATACCTCCTCTGATGATGCTGGAGAGAGTGATTGAAGTATTGTAGGACTGTAGCTGTCATTATTTTCTCTGATGATGCTGGAGAGAGTGATTGAAGTATTGTAGGACTGTAACTGTCATTACCTCCTCTGATGATGCTGGAGAGAGTGATTGAAGTATCGTAGGACTGTAACTGTCATTACTTTCTCTGATGATGCTGGAGAGAGTGATTGAAGTATTGTAGGACTGTAGCTGTCATTATTTTCTCTGATGATGCTGGAGAGAGTGATTGAAGTATTGTAGGACTGTAACTGTCATTACCTCCTCTGATGATGCTGGAGAGAGTGATTGAAGTATTGTAGGACTGTGACAGTCATTACCTCTTCTGATGATATTTTAGAGAGTGATTGAAGTATTGTAGGACTGTAACTGACATTACCTCCTCTAATGATGCTTGAGAGAGTGATTGAAGTATTGTAGGACTGTAACTGTCATTATTTTCTCTGATGATGCTGGAGAGAGTGATTGAAGTATTATAGGACTGTGACTCATTATTTTCTCTGATGATGCTGAAGAGAGTGATTGAAGTATTGTAGGACTGTAACTGTCATTACTTCCTCTGATGATGCTGGAGAGAGTGATTGAAGTATTGTAGGACTGTGACTCATTATTTTCTCTGATGATGCTGGAGAGAGTGACTGAAGTATTGTAGGACTGTAACTGTCATTACTTCCTCTGATGATGCTGGAGAGAGTGATTGAAGTATTGTGGGACTGTAACTGCAAACTCCCTCTGATGATGCTGGAGAGAGTGATTGAAGTATTGTAGGACTGTAACTGTCATTACTTTCTCTGATGATGCTGGAGAGAGTGATTGAAGTATTGTAGGACTGTAACTTCAAACTCCCTCTGATGATGCTTGAGAGAGTGATTGAAGTATTGTAGGACTGTAACTGTCATTATACTTTCTCTGATGATGCTGGAGAGAGTGATTGAAGTATTGTAGGACTGTAACTGCAAACTCCCTCTGATAATGCTTGAGAGAGTGATTGAAGTATTTTAGGACTGTAACTGCACACTCCCACTGATGATGCTGGAGAGAGTGATTGAAGTATTGTAGGACTGTAGCTGTCATTATTTTCTCTGATGATGCTTGAGAGAGTGATTGAAGTATTGTAGGACTGTAACTGTCATTACTTTCTCTGATGATGCTGGAGAGAGTGATTGAAGTATTGTATGACTGTAACTGTCATTACTTTCTCTATGATATGCAGAAAATGAGTTATTGAAGTATCATAGGAGTGTGGGGAAAATGTGCTATCCTATTTGATCCGGTTTATTAACCAATCACACAGTGACACAACATGAGTGTACTATATCTGGAATAGAGTCCTCTTTGGTCCACAGATCCATGTAGTGAAGGAAGAGAGACTGTACCCATCATGGACCGAGGCACAAAACCCAGACGCCAGCCATATCAACAAGACATTCGGCATCACGTTGGGGAAGAGGATGTTGAACCAGCTGCACTATGAGATGGGCATGAACGGATTCACACAGGTAGTGCAGCCATGTCTAGAAACGGCAACTGATGGAAGCAGCACCTACTTGTTAGGAGATAACCTGCTGTGTTTTCAGTGTAGAGCAATGTTACCTGGAGATCTTATGGCAGTAAATTAAACATCATACTGAATGCCCAGCATGAGTTTTCAGATGTAAACTTTAGCATCATCAAATCTGTTAGTCAGAGGTTGTTATTGTTAACTGACACCTTCCCCAAATCTTGGTAGAAATAAGATTGTCTGATTCAATCCACAGGACCTCTGATTAATGGTTACATAGCATTGATGGATCCAATAATCCACATGGATTGATGGATCATTTGATCAGGTTCTCCAGGTTTATTCTGTGTTCACACTTGTAATATGGCTTCAGGTATACGTAGATCAGCTCGACCCTGCCGTTGTGTCCGTGACCAGGCACAACCCACGAACACACGAGTCTATAGTCCTGGTATCCCGCACAGCATTCCAGAATCCTGACAACCCTGATGACACGGGATACATCCGACCTATCACTGTGGAAGGTGAAACTAATTGTAGTTTACTATGATAGACACCTATTACTACATTAATTAAGAATGAACTTTTGTGAGTTCATTGAAGTATTAACCTTCATAGAGTGAGGTCCTAACTGTATGAACGTTGGAGCTTGAGAAGGTGATTATAAAAATGTGTCAAATAGACACTAACATAAGTTCATAGGTTGCTGTAGATTGTCACATTGAGTCAAGACATGGATCGAGTTGATTTGACGATAGTTTGAATGTGCATTTCTTTGTTTTGTTCTCCAAAATTGGTTGTAGCGGACTGTAGTCCATCAGTGTTTTCATCATTTTTGAGAATACAGTCTCGAGAAAAACATATGAATGTCAAATTGTGTCATTCATACACTTATGAACATCAATTTTGCGGTCATTTGGCCGACTTCTCGTCCATATATCGTGGAAACTTCACATTAAAAAATTATTCAGATTTGAGAACCATGTATTGCACAATGTAACGTTCTGTCCACGCATCCTGTCTGTATCATTGCCTTCCTTGTGTGTAAAATACTGTGTCAATAATGAAAGAATACATGTTTCATATTCAAGCATCAGTAATCTGTATATCATATATCATTTTCCCATACAGGGATCATCGAGGAGATTATATTTGAGGGACGCATGCGCAGTGCAAAAGGTTACACATACGAGGAAAACAAAGAATTCATCAATGGGCTTCCAGAGTATTACCTTGAACTCCGAGAGCATGTGAAGGTTGAGGACAGTGGTATGGTGAAGGTCAAAGAGTTAGGGGACAAGATGGAGGTGTCGTTTGCATCCTTCACCCCTGGCAGTGTGGTTGCTTTCAGGTGAATCATTAATATCTTCTATCCAAACAATAGAACTTGGTTAAACAGGACTGGAGGCCTATAGCCCTGACTTGAAGTGACTGCCTTGAGCGTGCCATGCACTCAAGGACCTAGTTGTTGTCATGCTGTGGCATGGACTAACATACTGTACTGTCCATCCACATTTAGGGTGAGTGAGTATGGTTTTATGTTGCTTTTAGCAATATTCCAGCAATATCTCGGCGGGGGACACCAGAAATGGGCTTCACACATAGTACCCATGGGTAATGGAACCAAGGGTATGACGAGCAAATGCTTAAACCACTAAGCTACCTCTAGAAGGGGTGTGGCTGGTCCATGGGTGGTTCATAATGCAGACAATAAGTCGTACACCGTCCAATAGTTCTTGATGAAACTCTGAAAGCACATCAGATATCATACAACCCTGTTGGAATAGGTCCTCAGCAGCCTAGGATTGTTTTGAGAGGTGACCAGATGCATCAGATGGTTAGGGTAGGTGACTTGGTTGGTTGTGTGACATTGTACCCTGATATAGTGGGCGGTTCCTCATTATGCAGTGTTAGTTTTTAAAAAGCAATCATGGCCAGTTGCTGTATATATGCTGTATATATATGCTTAACTATGGTCATAACAAACTAAAATCAGTGGTCCACATGAGTTCATTATAGCTGTAGTTTACTGTTGGTAACTTTTGAAAAAGAATTAATTTATTTCTATTTCAATCACCAACCCTATGGTTTGGGGAAAAAATTCCTTGAACCAAGTAATTAAAAAAGAAGGCCTTCTGGATTGTACAAAAATATTTGAAACTTTTTTGATAGTGTAGATCAAATATATCTCTATTAGAATATGAAAAATAAAGAAGACCATATGAAACTTATGCTGACCTGATTGGGTTTGATTTCACTATATACAAGCTGCACCAGTGCAGGAAAAATACACTGCTAATGCAGATAACTTTTACTGTCAGGTTGCACCAAGTGCAGGCAGCTAAATAGTTAGTTTATACAATCTTGTGATGTTTCATGCATGATCAGAGGTCACTGTGTAATTCATAACTTGTAATGGTGGAAAAGTTGAATTTGCCAACAGTTTTCCTCACTGTCTCCGAATGGAAAAGACTTCAAATTTAACTTAGAATGTCAGTTAAAAAGTCTTTATATAGAAAGAAAATGTACTGAAAATAAAATACAGGAACACATTTCCATGCAAGTCTATTTTCTCTTTCAATTTATTCAATAATAAAAAGAACTGAAAATACATTAATATCCCTGTACAGATCATCACTGCGGCAACCAGCCAAGAATGCCATACTGGAGATTCGTCGAGGCCTTGGTCAGTTCGGCTACCTGATGCGGTCCTACAGTGGACACACCATGTTTGATGAGTCTTGGGACACGTCCAACTTTCGAGCAATCGTCTCCACTCTGTCTCTAGCTGATCTCAACCGGGTTCTGTATCGAGTAGACGCGGAGGAGCGCGATGATGGCAACGGGTTTGGATCCTACCACATCCCGAATCATGGTGACCTGATCTACTGTGGACTGAGAGGTGAGGGAGGGGACGAAGGGTAAGAGCTGAGGGTAATTTAATAGTGACAGTGTACATCTTAGCGTGATAAGAGTAAAAGCCAGGTAAGTCACCTCAAAATTACAATTAATCAATTTGGGAAATCTGACCAATTTAATTACACTCTTCACCGAAATTTTATCCTAAACAATACCTGAAATGCAAGAAGGAAACAAAACAAAATTATAATTAAGATTAAAAATCAGTGACTAAGTATATAAATGGTTTGATCCCTGGCCATGTCATACCAAAAGATGTTAAAAGGTAGTACTTGTTGTTACCCTGCCTGTCACTCAGCTTTAAGGGGCTAAAACAAGGACTGGTCGGCTCGGAGTCAGTATAATGTGTCTGAATGGGGTATTCATGTTAAACTGCAGCATGGCAGCTCAAGGGGATAGCACTATAAAATTGGCATTAGTCCGAACTTGTACATGTGCGTGCACATCGCTACATAAGTGCAATAATCTTGAACGCTACATTAAACTGTTTTTTTAAACATGGTTAAGAGAGTGAGAGGCAGATTTGATAAAAAGTTATTAAATTGGTCTGGACTTATGGCTATTGATACGACCTGAAACATACAGTCATCACTGATGTTTGTTACATGTCTCCCCAGGGATAATCTCACTGTTGGCTGAGATCCGACCTCAGAATGACCTTGGCCACCCTCTGTGTAAAAACTTGCGGACTGGGGATTGGCTAGCTGAGTACACTGCCAACAGACTCAAGGTGCATCATGGGACAGAAAAGGTATGCTATAATTAGATTTACATTCTGGTTGAATGTGTGACCGTGATAACTGTGTGTCCTGTACACCCAGCTGTTCAGCACAGGTTTGCCTGGCCTAGCTTGAATGATTTACATGTCCTTGTGGTATAGATAACGTTGACTATGTGTTGTAACAAAATTCCACTCTCAGACATGGTTTCAGAGACATGGCGGTACATTGTAGATTTATATGGCACTAATTGAACTTTGTGTTTCTTATATTTTGTGGAAATCTAAACTTAAGGCTTCAATGTAGAGATGGCATTGTTCATTTTAAACAGAAGTAAATGCTGTCATGCAGTGATATGTTTCTGGGCACAAGTATTCTCTTTCTCTTTGTGGTTGTGGAAGAGAGCTTAGTTCTGACATAGTTTTCTCTTGTGTCATATGTGTTCTTTATGGAGAATATTTGCTACAGCTTGTTTTGTCCAGTCAGTTTTGGTTAATGTGCTGACGCTGTAAGGATTTCTTATGACCATTATGTCTTGCTATCACAGCTGGGGGCCTGGTTCGATGCTGTGTTCAGTTACCTGAAGAAAGTGCCCCGCTACCTGGTGCCATGTTACTTTGATGCCATAGTAACCGGAGCCTATGTTGTCCTACAAACCATGGTAGTTCAACAGCTGTCAGAGTAAGTGGTAGCAAGTAGCTGCAGACTCCTTCTTCCTACTTACTGGCTTTACCAGTTTCTGACTTTACAAGACACCTACTTTCTGACTTTACCAGACACCTACTTACTGGCTTTACCAGTTTCTGACTTTACAAGCCACCTACTTTCTGACTTTACCAGACACCTACTTACTGACTTTACCAGACACCTACTTTCTGACTTTACCAGACACCTACTTACTGGCTTTACCAGCCACCTACTTTCTGACTTTACAAGACATCTACTTTCTAACTTTACCAGACACCTACTTAAGGGCTTTACAATAGACCTACTAACTGACTTTACTAGACACTTACTTACTGCCTTTACCAGACACTTACTTACTGACTTTACTAGACACTTACTTATTGGCTTTTCTAGACACCTACTTCCTGGCTTTACAAGATACCTTCCTGGCTTTACAAGAAACATACTTCTTGTCTTTACCAGACACCTTTCCATGCTTTCCTAGACAGCTTCATCCTGACTTTACCACACACCTACTTCCTGACTTTACCAGATACCTTCTTCCTGGCTTTACCAGACACCTGTTTCCTGGCTTTACTAGACAACTATTACCTGGCTTTACCAGACACCTTCCTGACTTTTCTAGACACCTACTTCCCAGCTTTACTAGACAGCTTCAGCCTGACTTTACTTCGCACCTTCCTGGCTTTATTAGATACCTTCCTGACTTTACTAGACACATACTTCCTGGCTTTACTAGACATCTTCCTCATGACTTCACTAGATACCTTCCTGACTTTACCAGACACCTACGTCCTGGCTTTACTAGACACTTCCAACAGATGGAGGTTATGGTGATGTTCTTGCCATCAGGTTTTCTAACACTAATAATTGACAAGGCACACATTCAATTTTGAAATAGCTGTTACTTATTTGTTTTTTCACAATCTTTATAAAAACAATTAAGACGTCAGATTCTCCTCTCATGTGTATAAAGTTATTTGTGATTTGGGCTGTGAAGATTTAATTTGTTTTACTTCTAGCTTTATTCGTGATGGCTCAACTTTCGTACAAGCCCTTGCCATGGGCTCTGTCCAGCTCTGTGGATTTGTCAAGACCTCCATGTTACCTCCCTTGTCTCCAGACCTTGCAGTGCCACCTGCACGAAGAGAGGTGGACCTGAAAACAGGGGAGGAGATTGAGGCAACACTGTCTTTGGCTGCAGGTATGTTGTGCGGCGTGAGCCTGTTTGTATCTGTCTACAAGCAGGACAAGTCACTGTACACACAGAAACTATACTGGAATCAGTTACATCCTATTCTGTACTGGCATAAACTGACTCTCATAATTATTCTCTACTGACGGACCCTTCAGGGATTTGGGTTGATGTAGGTTCCCAGCACTTAATCCTAGTCGTAAGAGGCCACTATATTAGATCAGGTGGTCTGGCTCAGTGACTGGGTTAATTGTGTGTCATTATGCCTCAGTGTGGGACGTTACTCAAAATAGACACTGCTTTGTGTTGATAAGATTTGACGATCTACAGGCTCCCTCCCTGGAATATTTCTTAGTGCTACATGAAACAAACAACAAACATTGAGTGTTGATTTGTGTGAGCTACATGATACGTCCTAATATATTTTTTTTATCTTTTAATTTTGTATCTGATCTCTGTAATATCTTAGTAATATACCCCCTTCATATGACCTTGTGTGATCTTTCAAACACACCTTCCAGCTGCACATCACAAGTCTGTGAAGGGGATGTGTAAGAAGTGGAAAAAAGGGAGATAATAATATATAGATATAAGTATATATATTTTGTTTTTAGGTTTGTCAGCATCATACCAAATTGGTAGATGTCTAATACCTGCATCACTTCTACTTTGCTGTGATATAACTGAAATACTGTTCAAAGTGGCCATAAACCATTCTCAATGAATCACTGTACAGTTGTGAAAATGATATATGATTTTAAAGTACTGTGTTAGTGTATTTTAAGCAAAATAGATATGCTTAGGTGAAGGCTGTGATAATTCCCTATAACAAATCCCATCTCCCAAAGCGTGGGTGGCTGTTGAACACATTGTGATATATTGCTCAGGTTTCCCACACTTCTCAAGTGGCTACATGAGGAACTGGGGCAGAGACACCTTCATTGCCCTGAGAGGGCTCCTGCTGCTGACTGGGAGATACCAGGAGGCAAGGTTGGTCCATTTAACCAGGTGGCAAGGTTGGTCCATGTAACCAGGTGGCAAGGTTGGTCCATTTAACCCTGAGGAAAGGTTGGTCCATTTAAGCAGGTGTCAAGCTCAGTCCATTTAACCCTGAGGCAAGGTTGGTCCATTTAACCCAGAGACAAGGTTGGTCCACTTAACCAGGTGTCAAGCTCAGTCCATTTAACCCTGAGGCAAGGTTGGTCCATTTAACCCTGAGGCAAGGTTGGTCCATTTACCCAGGTGGCAAGCTCACTACATTTAACCCTGAGGCAAGGTTGGTCCATTTACCCAGGTGGCAAGCTCACTACATTTAACCCTGAGGCAAGGTTGGTCCATTTAACCAGGTGCCAAGGTTGGTCCATTTAACAAGGTGGCAAGGTCAGTCCATGGAACACGAGGCAAGGTCAGTCCATGTAACCTGATTCAAGGTCAGTCCATGTAAAACCACGAGGCAAGGTCAGTCTATGTAACCACGAGGCAAGGTCAGTCCATGTAACCATGAGGCAAGGTCAGTCCATGTAACCATGAGGCAAGGTCAGTCCATGTAACCAGGATTCAAGGTCAGTCCATGTAAAACCACGAGGCAAGGTCAGTCCATGTAAAACCACGAGGCAAGATCAGTCCATGTAACCACGAGGCAAGATCAGTCCATGTAACCATGAGGCAAGGTCAGTCCATGTAACCATGAGGCAAGGTCAGTCCATGTAAAACCAAGAGGCAAGATCAGTCCATGTAACCACGAGGCAAGGTCAGTCCATGTAACCACGAGGCAAGATCAGTCCATGTAACCAGGATTCAAGGTCAGTCCATGTAACCACGAGGCAAGATCAGTCCATGTAACCATGAGGCAAGGTCAGCCTATGTAACCACGAGGCAAGATCAGTCCATGTAACCATGAGGCAAGGTCAGTCCATGTAACCATGAGGCAAGGTCAGTCCATGTAACCATGAGGCAAGGTCAGTCCATGTAACCAGGATTCAAGGTCAGTCCATGTAAAACCACGAGGCAAGGTCAGTCCATGTAAAACCACGAAGCAAGGTCAGTCCATGTAACCATGAGGCAAGGTCAGTCCATGTAACCAAGAGGCAAGGTCAGTCTATGTAACCAGGTGCTGGCTCAGGTCAGTCTTTGTTTCACCATCATGGTAAACATCTTCATTCTGTGTCAATTTGGAATTTCCTCAAACAGTAAGCTGTCATACTGTGAAATACCTTGTGGAAGGTTTGAAAAAGTGAATTCATTTCAGAGCATATTGGAATGACACCTCAATGGAGACAGCCATTATGGTAAACTGCAAAAGTACAGCTCAGTACTGGATAACACAGAAACTGGTCCTGATCCCAGTTCAACAAAATTTTAATGAAATCAGCAGAATTTAGAAAAGAAATAATACGGAAAAGTGCAACATTAAAATAATGAATAAAATTGGTTATGAAATTAAACATGGTGCTTTATTACATGGATATGCAAGCCAGATTGTTGAATGTTGTGTGGTAGTGCTGTAGATCTGGCAATGCACATGGATTGATTGCCATTTCAGGTGCTTGATACTGGCATATGGGGGAACACTGCGACACGGTCTCATCCCCAACTTACTTAACGAGGGTACAGGAGCTCGCTACAATTGCCGCGATGCCATCTGGTGGTGGCTACAGGCAATACAGGAATACACAAAACTGGTACCAGGAGGCAGTGCTATACTCCAAGATAAGGTGTCCCGACTCTACCCTACTGATGACAGTGAAGCTCTCCCTCCTGGCGCTCATGTGAGTTCCCATTACAGAAACCATGTTCAAGGCCTTATTTTATTAGTTGGTTTGCAAATTCTATTTCTTGAAACCTTTATGTCTGTGGTTGACATTAACATAAAATTAGACCCTTTAGTTTTTGTTAAAAAATAGGATCAGTAGGATGAAAAAAGATATCTCTCTGTTTCATTTAGCACTGGTACTGGTGAATCAGTCGATAGTATGTGTGGTGGCTACATTTAAAGTTTTGAGTCACCATTCACAGGTCTTTGCGCGTGTTGCTCTTGTCTGGGTCAGGCAGGGCAACAATTTGTGATTAATTATTTTCATATGTGTCAATATTATTGCACTTGATAGCTTGAATAACGTGTTTGAAATAAGCTTGAAAGTCAAAGGGAATTATTTTATACAGTGGATCACGAGATTGAAAATATGAGATGTGTGTGTCATTAAGAAGAAAAAATGGTTTCTTTCCCCCAGGATCAGCCTCTTTGTGATGTCATCCAGGAGGCCCTTCGTCGCCATGCAGAGGGAATCAAGTACAGGGAACGCAATGCTGGACACCAGATTGACAGTGAGATGACAGATCCAGGTAAACATAGAGCACCATGTTTAACAATGGTGTTATTTTATCTTTATCTGTAAAGAGAAATAAGCTTTGTGTTCATCAGGAAGTTGTTCTGCCGTGATATACCTGGAATATTGCTAAAGCAGCCTAAAACCCAACTCACTCACCCACTCACTCACTCACTCACTCACTCACTCACTCACTCAGGTTAATTTCCTGGAAAAAGGTATAAATTAAAGTTTTATTAAATATGCTCAGATGTTTTGAAAAAGCACATTTTCAGTCAAATATTAATTTCACTGCAAAATTTTTATAAGGTTTCGCAGAAAGCAAATTGTACTGACCTTGATATTATTTTATATGGAATTGTTTTCCATAATTCTCCAGATTTTGTTTGTAAGTGATATCTTATCAAGGAAAAACACTTATCAACTTTGTGATGCCATCACAGTGTTTCGTTATTTTATTTAATACTTGTTGATATCAATGCCCTTAGTCAGCCAAATGAATGTGAAGTGATGAGAGCAGTTGCTGGTTGTATACAGTCAAACCATGTTAGTCCGGACCTTGTTCATCTTGCTTTCGTGATGACAGCTATGATTGGATAATCCCCAATTTTTCTTGGAAGAGTAGGGTTCACTGAATATCCTGCTTGTACACCTGTGTTGCAGGGTTCACTGTGGAAGTGGGTGTGAGGTGGGAGACTGGGTTTGTGTATGGAGGCAATGAACACAACTGTGGGACATGGATGGACAAGATGGGCAGTTCCCTCAAGGCAGACAACAAGGGCAAGCCAGCAACTCCCAGGTAACAGGGGCCAACTCTTCCACCAGCATCCCTGAATACACATGATGGGGACCAGTGACAGCTCAGATTACATCAGCAATACTTCTGTAACATAGCCTCAGCCTTATAGTGATCTACTCTATACATTGCTTCAATATTAGGCACTCGGGCTCTCAAAGTTTTATTTGAAATCTATGAGTTATGCATGTCCTAATTTTATGACCTGACTAAATACAGACATGCATTAATATTACCCCTCATGGTGGACGTATGTATCCTTGGGGAGTGGAGAAACCTATTGTGGAGAAACCTACACACCAACAAAGTAGTGACAATGCACAAAGTACAGATCAGAAAGGGACCATATTCGGACCTTGTTTGTGGCATGTGGAAGGCAAGGGGTGATAAAGCTGCTTCCACAGATCAAGCTCTGTGAGATGTGTGAGAGCCTGTGTGTGTCTGTGTTGCAGGGACGGATCTGCCGTGGAGCTGGTGGGACTCAGTCTCTCGACCCTGAGATGGCTGGCCCAGCTACACACCGAGGGCTTGTACCCCTACAGTGAGGTGACAGCATCAGACAAAGGTGAGTGACATGAGTGAGTGTTCAAGACTAAGGTTGAACTCTTATATAAACAAGTTTGAAGTTAGGGTCTTCTCTAGATTTAAAATCTGTGGCAGCAAATCTTGCTGGCACACATGACACCCATAGTTTCTAACTATGAATAGAATATGAGATGTTTGATTTGCTGGGCATGTTCTGTTTAAGCGAAGTCTTTTTCAATTCTGCCTCTAATCTCCATAATTACAATAAGCAAATATAAAATCCACAAGGCCTATATTAAAGAAGGATAATCAGAGCAATTGTGTCACTAAATCAGAGCATTATGATGAGATTTTGTATTTTTCTAATGTCGGTTTTGCCCATTAATCAGCTATTTCTGCATGGATCTTTGTGAACTCGGTTTCCATTAGGTATGACAATGTGCAGTCATCATATTTTTTTTTACTTTGATTTTTGGCATTGATATGACATTTGACCTTCATGTGGAGATGTATTTGGTTTTACCCTATTTTCAAATCTTTTCTGAAATAAAAAATTGCAATATGTCACTTTAACAATAACTTCAACAAGAAAATAGTAAAAGAATACTTGGAAAACTTGAATTCATGTTTCCAATGCTAAATTCTCATGCTGTATTTCCAGGGCATCAATATAGTGTGTCATTTACCAAATGGGCAGACAAGATCAAGGACAACTTTGAGAAATGTTTCTGGATCAGCAAGTTCCCAGAACCCAAGGAGACCACACCCGAGCTGATCAACAGGAGGCCTATGTACAAGGACTCCTACCATGCCACACAGTTCTGGGCCAACTTCCAACTCAGGCCCAACTTTGCAGTTGCCATGGTGGTGGTGAGTGGGGCTTCAGTTGCTGGGGATTGTCATAGTTAATGTCAAGCCAGGTTGGATATATTGTTCCAATATTTGGAGCACATCCTTCCCCCAGAATATTACTAAAAGCATACAAGTGAACACTTTTGGACTTAACAGCACCAAAAGGAGCAGTTTAGGAACCTCTTTTCCCAATATGTTAGGGATGCAAGAACATTTTTGGAACACTTTTCCCAGTATATTGGGGATGCAAGAACAACTGCAGACTACTTTTCCAGTATATTAGGGATGCAAGAACAACTGGGGAACACTTTTCCCAGTATATTGGGGATGCAAGAACAACTGGGGACTACTTTTCCCAATATATTAGGGATGCAAGAACAACTGGGAAACACTTTTCCCAGTATATTGGGGATGCAAGAACAACTGGGAAACACTTTTCCCAGTATGTTTGGGATGCAAGAACAACTGGGAAACACTTTTCCCAGTATATTGGGGATGCAAGAACAACTGGGAAACACTTTTCCCAGTATATTGGGGATTCAAGAACAACTGGGAAACACTTTTCCCAGTATGTTTGGGATGCAAGAACAACTGGGGACTACTTTTCCCAATATGTTAGGGATGCATGAACAACTGGGAAACACTTTTCCCAGTATATTGGGGATGCAAGAACAACTGGGAAACACTTTTCCCAGTATGTTTGGGATGCAAGAACAACTGGGAAACACTTTTCCCAGTATATTGGGGATGCAAGAACAACTGGGAAACACTTTTCCCAGTATATTGGGGATTCAAGAACAACTGGGAAACACTTTTCCCAGTATGTTTGGGATGCAAGAACAACTGGGGACTACTTTTCCCAATATATTAGGGATGCATGAACAACTTGGAAACACTTTTCCCAGTATGTTTGGGATGCAAGAACAACTGGGGACTACTTTTCCCAATATATTAGGGATGCAAGAACAACTGGGAAACACTTTTCCCAGTATGTTTGGGATGCAAGAACAACTGGGGACTACTTTTCCCAATATATTGGGGATGCAAGAACAACTGGGGACTACTCTTCCCAGTATATTGGGGATGCAAGAACAACTGGGAAACACTTTTCCCAGTATATTGGGGATGCAAGAACAACTGGGAAACACTTTTCCCAGTATGTTTGGGATGCAAGAACAACTGGGGACTACTTTTCCCAATATATTAGGGATGCAAGAACAACTGGGAAACACTTGTCCCAGTATGTTTGGGATGCAAGAACAACTGGGGACTACTTTTCCCAATATATTAGGGATGCAAGAACAACTGGGAAACACTTTTCCAAGTATATTGGGGATATTGGGGAAGTACTTTTCCCAGTATATTAGTATTGAAAAAAGCATGATGACATGTGTCCATGGTGTCCCTTTATGCTACATTTGCACGAAGAAATTGATTTGTTGTGGCCTTGCTGAATTATTTTATGTCAGTGATTGTAATCGACACCATGTGATTTATGTAATATGACTGATCCTATGAGATTTACACTCTTCTCAGGAGTAGGCCCCTTGGAGATTAAGGGTGAGAACATGTCCCCATTTACTTATGCTTGTCATAAGAGGCATCTATATTTTGCATGTCATCATTCCCCAACAACCTGGGATTTACTCATAATATCGACCACTGGTTTGTGTGACCCAGATGATTTACATTCCATGTTGATATGCAGCTGTAATTTTTTTTACAGCTACAACAAACAAATGGCTAGTGTCTGCTGATTTGTCTCAGTCACAATTAGAAGTGCAAGATCAGATATCCAAATATTGCTCACCTCCTAATTTTGTATCTGAGTTCTATTTCCTCACCAATCTCAATAAAATTAGATCTTAGTTCTCGCTACCGCTAAACAAAGATCTGAGGACACGATCTCATTACGGGTCACGTCAGACCGACCTTGCGCGAACTTTGACCGACCAATGGAATGACTGACAAGAAGTCGACATTAGCCAATCAGAAGGCAGCTTTCTTGTGCTTTACTGCACTAATTTCAAATTGGCGACTACACTTCGAAACATATTTTGACAAATTCTCGATAAAAAATTTGAAACCTGAACAAAAGAACATTCTGGAATGGCAAATATATGGTCTAGATTGTAAGGAGTCAGTCGTTAAGCCCCTAACTATCATTTGGAATACCCCTGTTAAAGTTTTCAAGGTTGCATGATTAGAAATCACTTTCCGACTGTCACTTTCATGATCTGGTAATCGACGCTCTGATTGGTCAGATGTAAGGTCGTTCTGACATAACCCCTAATGGGATGTCCTCAGATCTTTGTTTAGCTGTGGTGAGAACTAAGATCTGATTTTAATGAGATTGATTTCCTCACATACCCCCTTGATGTAACGTATATTCTCTCGGCCGGTGTGATCTTGTGCCATGGTCATGTGGCTGGAATATTGCTGACTGCAGTGAGATGTAGCGTATATTCCCTTGGCCGGTGTGATCTTGTGCCATGGTCATGTGGCTGGAATATTGCTGACTGCAGTGAGATGTAGCGTATATTCTCTTGGCCGGTGTGATCTTGTGCCATGGTCATGTGGCTGGAATATTGCTGACTGCAGTGAGATGTAGCGTATATTCTCTTGGCCGGTGTGATCTTGTGCCATGGTCATGTGGCTGGAATATTGCTGACTGCAGTGAGATGTAGCGTATATTCCCTTGGCCGGTGTGATCTTGTGCCATGGTCATGTGGCTGGAATATTGCTGACTGCAGTGAGATGTAGCGTATATTCTCTGGGCCAGTGTGATCTTGTGCCATGGTCATGTGGCTGGAATATTGCTGACTGCAGTGTGATGTAACGTATATTCTCTCGGCCGGTGTGATCTTGTGCCATGGTCATGTGGCTGGAATATTGCTGACTGCAGTGAGATGTAGCGTATATTCCCTTGGCCGGTGTGATCTTGTGCCATGGTCATGTGGCTGGAATATTGCTGACTGCAGTGAGATGTAGCGTATATTCTCTTGGCCGGTGTGATCTTGTGCCATGGTCATGTGGCTGGAATATTGCTGACTGCAGTGAGATGTAGCGTATATTCCCTTGGCCGGTGTGATCTTGTGCCATGGTCATGTGGCTGGAATATTGCTGACTGCAGTGAGATGTAGCGTATATTCCCTTGGCCGGTGTGATCTTGTGCCATGGTCATGTGGCTGGAATATTGCTGACTGCAGTGAGATGTAGCGTATATTCTCTGGGCCAGTGTGATCTTGTGCCATGGTCATGTGGCTGGAATATTGCTGACTGCAGTGTGATGTAACGTATATTCTCTCGGCCGGTGTGATCTTGTGCCATGGTCATGTGGCTGGAATATTGCTGACTGCAGTGAGATGTAGCGTATATTCCCTTGGCCGGTGTGATCTTGTGCCATGGTCATGTGGCTGGAATATTGCTGACTGCAGTGAGATGTAGCGTATATTCTCTGGGCCAGTGTGATCTTGTGCCATGGTCATGTGGCTGGAATATTGCTGACTGCAGTGAGATGTAGCGTATATTCCCTTGGCCAGTGAGCTCTTGTGCCATGGTCATGTGGCTGGAATATTGCTGACTGCAGTGAGATGTAGCGTATATTCTCTGGGCCAGTGTGATCTTGTGCCATGGTCATGTGGCTGGAATATTGCTGACTGCAGTGAGATGTAGCGTATATTCCCTTGGCCAGTGAGCTCTTGTGCCATGGTCATGTGGCTGGAATATTGCTGACTGCAGTGAGATGTAGCGTATATTCTCTGGGCCAGTGTGATCTTGTGCCATGGTCATGTGGCTGGAATATTGCTGACTGCAGTGAGATGTAGCGTATATTCCCTTGGCCAGTGAGCTCTTGTGCCATGGTCATGTGGCTGGAATATTGCTGACTGCAGTGAGATGTAGCGTATATTCTCTGGGCCAGTGTGATCTTGTGCCATGGTCATGTGGCTGGAATATTGCTGACTGCAGTGAGATGTAGCGTATATTCCCTTGGCCAGTGAGCTCTTGTGCCATGGTCATGTGGCTGGAATATTGCTGACTGCAGTGAGATGTAGCGTATATTCTCTTGGCCGGTGTGATCTTGTGCCATGGTCATGTGGCTGGAATATTGCTGACTGCAGTGAGATGTAGCGTATATTCCCTTGGCCAGTGCGCTCTTGTGCCATGGTCATGTGGCTGGAATATTGCTGACTGCAGTGAGACAACCAGCTAGTGGAATAGTGACTGTTCAAGTGTGCAATTACTGACATCTTCTCTGCTGTGCAGGCCCCTGAGTTGTTTGATGTGGACAATGCCTGGTCGGCCCTGGAGACAGCAGGGGAGGTCCTTCTTGGACCCCTCGGGATGAAGACACTCGACTCAAGGTAGCAGTTGGGGACTTGGAACAATCTCATTAAAATCTGCTTGGATCTGTTACTCATATACAATGCCATGTCAGGTGGACTTTCTCATCAGCCAATCAGAATTGAGGCTTCAAACTTCTCGTATTCAAACATCATATCTGATTTCTGTATCTTGAAAATGAACTTAAACAACTTCTGTAAGTACAAAGTATAACGGTGCCATTTTATTGTTGTGGATATTCATATAGTTCATTGTTTTTTCACCTCCTCCAACTTCTGAATTTTCTGAAAAAATATGGCCTCAATGCAGTCTGGATGAAACATTATGCTTGGGCCTTTTTTTTTTTATTAGTTTTGGGCCATCATGTTAGAGCTTTTAATACAGTGTCTGGTGTAAAGATTTTCTCCATGGTTTTCCATTCTACACCAATCTACATAGGGACTGGGGCTATGAAGGAGATTATGACAACGCCAACGATGGAGATAACACCAAGCTGGCCCGCGGATGGAACTACCATCAAGGCCCGGTGAGTTGCACTGAAAATACAGTCCAGGGAATAATGTTTTAGGCTTCACTGCTCTCACATAATCTACATGAGTCCCTTTGTACAAGAAATTGTCACATGACATTCACCAAGATGGACACTGTATAAGTTTCAGTTGGCATGTTTGCTTTATGTGGGAGGAAGGCCCTAAGTGATGCAGGTTTTAGATGTTTACTCACGGGCACAGGTATGGTACTGACATCCTATAAACATAATCAGGAAAAACTGGGATTTGAACCCACAGTCATAGGTTCCTGGCATGCCAAAGGGAAACAACTTTTCACAGTGGATTCCAGCACCTTATGCAATGGGGCCACCCCTGGACTTTTGAAAGTGGAAAAAGTATAGAATTTATTGTCAGCACTAAAGAAAAGTGAAAAAAGTAAGCTTCCCTTGCTCTCATTAATCAAGTGATGCATTTCCCTCGACACATACTGGAGTTGATCATATATGGCTAGTGTTATCGAGTGTCAGATAAACTTGGTATCATGATCCAATAAATATGCAAATGAGGTCACCTGGTAGGAACTACTTTTATGCTACAAACATTCTACAAATGTCTACTTGCTCAGTAGTCTTGTGACCAATGTTTCCAATAAGTTTAGGTATGGGTCTCTGATGTGTGGGTGCTTCATAAATGGCTGCAATTTATTGGCACTATATGATAAATGGGGCAATTCACTCAAACATTGTATTTATATGCAGTTTCTAAAGTTTCTTCATTGAGTGAAATTTTGTCTTAAACATCGATTATTTTAAGAATTACATTACATGATAAAGAGATTAATACCCTCGTGTGTTTCCATATCATAAGGGGTCATGGGTGGCCCAGTCGTCTAAGGCAGTGTGATTCGCTGTGCAGAGTTGCGTCCCTTGGGCACGCCAGAAACTTATGATTGTGAGATCGATTCCCTGGGATAGAATAGGTCTTCAACAACCCATGCTTTCCGTAAAGGCGACTATGCTAGTCGTAAGAGGCGACTAACAGATTGTATCCCAATTGTGTAGACCAATGCTCATGGTGTCAATCACTGGATTGTCTGGTATAAACTTGATTATTTACAGACCGCCATCATATAAATGGAATATTGCTGAGTGCTGCGTTCAACAACAAACAAACGAACAAAAATGTCGAAAGTGACAAAAGTTTACAAGTATGCTTGTTGTGAAACTTAGCTGGAGTAGATAGTCAGAGTGGATGCTGAGTAGTACTTGGGTTTAAGCCAAGAAACATACACTCTTAGCTAAGGCCAGGCCCTACCTCCACAGGACGATGTGAGTGTATAGGAGTTACTAAGGGGGCACGAGTGGCCCAGTCGTCTAAGGCGCCGCTTTTGCTGTGCAGAGTAGTGTCCCTTGGGCACGCCAGAAACCTATGATTGTGGGTCCGAATCCCGGTTCACCCGATTATGTTTCTAGGTTTGTCAGCACCATACCGGTGCTCGTGGGTTACACCGAAGTAGTAAACGTCTGAGACCTGCATCACTGCGGGCTTTCCTCCCACATTAAGCTGACATGCTGTGATATAAACTGGAATACTGTTAAAAGCGGCGTTAAACCCACCTCCCTCCCTCACTCACTCACTCACTCCATATCATAAATGTCATATATTAGGAACAAAAGAGTGTATTATGTGAACCAATTTACTATAAGATACAGAAACACACTCCACTAATGATCTCTGTGTTTTGTCACATCAGATTCACTGCCAGAAACAATGACATGTATCATATCACAAAACAAGAGTCATCAACACATCCCAAATAATCAAAAGGCACTAGTTCTCCACTAGGCTGATCTGGTTCATGTAGAAATATTCTACCGTTTAGGTCTAAGAATGTTTATGAATACCGCCCCAGAACTCCTAAACTGATGACTTTTGGGTTACTATCAAAATCAGTTGTGGTTTCCTCAAGTTGATGACAACTGGTACGGACCTCATGAAAGGTCTCTATGTTCAGGTTTCACCAGGCGCATGTAACTGTCAATCATGTCTGTTGATGCCACCTTATTCAACTTAATTAGCGCCCAGGGCACTCTCAAACTTAGAAATAGGGGGTGCTTATTAGTATATAATTTTGGTGGAAAAAAACAGAATTGAAAGAACGTAAATTTCTTGATTTGGCAAACGCAGCAAACGACCGCTCTCAGTATTTTACCCCTTTAGATATATATGTCTCTTACAAATACTACTACTCATGACATCAATCACTGGATTGGCTGGTCCAGACTTGATTATTTACAGACCGCCGTCATATAGCTGGAATATTGCTGAGTGCAGCGTTAAACAACAAACAAACTAATAGCCCATAATAAAGGGTGCACATAACACAGGAGTGCGCATTATACTCGAATAAATAAGTTTTGTGTACACTGATAAATCGGAAGGGGCGCTTATTAGGATTGTTCACTTTCCAATATATTAGCAAATTTTGCCATGGGCGCATATAAGAGCGAGACGCTTATTACATCGAATACAGTTATTGGCCTTCTTTATACATATTCTGTCTCTCCCTTCAGGAGTGGGTATGGCCTATTGGGTACTTCTTGCGAGCCAAGCTGTACTTCGCATCAGTACTGGAGAAGACCACACCAGGTGTTCTGAAGGAGACAGTCAACTTCGTGGAGACAGCGCTGAGTCAGCACTACAAGGAGGTCATGACCTCGGCCTGGCAATCTCTTCCAGAACTCACCAACTCTAACGGATCGGTCAGTTCAGCTCTTACTCAGAACATCTAACAAAGAAGAAGTTGATCACATGACATAACAACTTCTTTACTCTTTGGAACAACAATTCAGGGCTATTTGACCTGATGAAAGGGCAAGAGGTAGCCCTGAAGCGTCATTACAAAGAATTAGAAAGTTGTTATGCATAAAAATAAGTGTCAGGTATTCATGTTCTCCCAACTTTTAAATGCCTACCAAAAACCTAGTTCACATGTGTAATCTTGCTGTCATAATACATTGTTGTTGCTTGAAATATACAGTCAGGGTGTAAGTTGGTTTTGATACTGCTTTGATCAGTAGGAAGCCTAAAACATCCAAGGTTAAAGATGTTTGCACTGTGGTGCCAACAGACCATGTATCACACTCAGGATAGATCTGGGATTCAAACCAGGACAAGGGACGTGTGGTAGCCTAGTGGTTAAAGCATTCGCTCATCATGCAGAAGACCTGGGTTCAATTCCCCACATGGGTACAATGTGTGAAGCCAATTTCTGGTGTCCCCCGCCATGATATTGTTGGAATATTGCTAAAAGCAGCGGAAAACAAAACTCACTCACTCACTCACTCAAGCCAGGACAAAATAGTTCAGAAAGACATTAACAACTGGACTATAAGAGAAACATTAGAAGGTTACCAGAACCACTCCAATGATACTGTGATAATACTGAAGAAGTATGATAATGATACTAGTCCTAGTATGAGTACTATGTTGTGTTTCAGTACTGTAGAGACAGCTGCAGAGCCCAGGCCTGGAGTACTGGATGTGTTCTCGAGGTCCTGTATGATCTGGAGATGTTACAGAAAGACAAAGCAGCATGATGATGGCTGGTGTAGATACTGGACACTTAGCTTACACTAAAGTTGCAGACATGCTTCAGGTTGTTGGAGAGTCAAATGTCTTACCTACTGCTACTCACTGCAGCTTCAAGTCAGGTGTTTTATGTCCTGGAATAGTGTTGCCTATGTACCTGAAAATCTAAGGTACTTACAATAGTTTGTTTGTGTAAAAGATTACCGGTCTGACAAAACTAAATATGAAATGTGTAAAAAATATATTCTGATATATGATTATTCCAATGAATGCTACGTCATTGCGTTGCTTTTTATAAATAAGGGGATACAGCTTTTTTAAAGTCACACACAAACGTCTTTCCTTCCATCTATAGGCCCAAGCCTTCTCTCACTGTTCATGTAAACATGACAAATAGTTGCTCAACTAAAAGAGTTCAAACCTATTCTGTTTTTACAGTAAGGAAAACATGCAAGTCGGGTCCCAATATTCTGAGAAGATTAAGTCACACAAATTTGTTTGATGACAATCACTGATCTCCTCGACAGCATTATGTTGCAATATGTCTCAGCCCTGCCAAACTCCTCGTCTGTTTGGGAACTGTTTGCTTGTTATGCTACTACATATATTACACAGCTTGTAGAACTCGACCTGTCGTGTATCAAGAGTCCTTTACAACTAAGTATATCCAAAAATCGATATATTGCCCATTTGGAGCAGTGCAGCTGAAATGATATGGTGTTCAGTGTCAAACAAAAAGTGAATTAATTCCCTTTATACAACATGTTGCAAATCTTCCTTTTGGGCATGGTGCTGCAACATTCTTTGTGTTATGGCATCACTGTACTGAAACCTAGATGTGAGACATCATTGCATGTTGTAATGCAATCTTAATAACAACTGCCAGGTCACAGTTGCGTCCTGACTGATTTCTGTCATATGATCACTAACTTTCAATATATCCTTGGAAGACGGTGAGAAAGACAGTTTGTTTCCTTAAAACTAGTCACGACTGACAAGAATCGATGTATTGTGACATTGCTGGCTTTATTAAATAGTTTGGTTTACAATTTTACCTAGCTATGTATAATGAAAGGGCATTCTATTACATAGACATCATATAGTGTTATTATGAACCTCTGGGCATTCATTAGTTTAAGGTAAGTCTCTTCAGTGAAAGATATAACCCTGATGATATGTTCAGTATGAAGTGATCAGTTGAGGTGTGTTCACTGCCAACCTGTAACACCTGCACTCCTATCTTAACTAGGTTTCCATGTTTATTCCCATCTTAACTATAGGTTTCCTTGTTTATTCCTATCTAAGCCGTACATTTCCATGTTTATTCCAATCTTAACTAGGTTTCCTTGTTTATTCCTATCTTAACTATAGCTTGTTTCCTTGTTTATTCCTCTTAACTTAAAGTTTCCATGTTTATTCCGATCTTAACTATAGATTTCCTTGTTTATTCCTATCTTAACTATAGGTTTCCATGTTTATTCCTACATTAACTATAGCTTTTTCCTTGTTTATTTCTATCATATCTGTAGATTTCCATGTTTATTCCTCTTAACAATAGGTTTCCTTGTTTATTCCTATCTTAACTTTAGGTTTCCTTGTTTATTCCTATCTTAACTAGGTTTCTGTGTTATTCCTATCTTAACTATATATTTCCATGTTTATTCCTTTGTGGCTATAATTGATCTCATTAGTGTAGACTAACTGACACCCCTTTGTAAAAATCCTTTACATCCGCAATTGTGGGATGGTAGTTGTAGTTATTGATTCCTTATCAGTACTGTGATAAGATGACAAAAACAACTTGGGACTGTGATCTTGCACCTGTTGCAGCCTCCTGTTAATGTATTTACTATGTTACGTATTCCCAATGTTTATTCCTGTGTTAAGTATACCCCATGTTTATTTCTATGTCAAGTATTCCTTGTTTATTCCTGTGTGATGCATTCCCCCTGTTTATTCCTATGTTAAGTATTCACCCTGTTTTTAAGTATTTCCCCCTGTATTCCCAGCAACTCCAATTCCAGTGTAAGAAAATTGGGTATTACACAGCATAGATTATTTCTTATAGTTTGTAGAACTTCTCTATGTCTGCTATAGCCCAACCGGTGTATATGTAAGCTAGCGTTGTTTTCTTGATGATGTTTATATCATACATAGATTTGTTTGCCTTGTGTTATTTGTGTTGAAGAGTTCACAAATAGGAAATAAGTGTTGAATAATGATCAGACAGAACTCATCAATGACAAAACATGTTCCTAAGGACTAATTTTCACTCTCTGTAAGGAACATATATTTTTAAAAACTGTTTGGTTAAATTGTATTTTATATTGACTTTCCAACGTGTTGTAGACTTGTGTGGGAGTTCTCTGATATGTTCCTTTCAGGGGCTGTAAACATGGAATAGGGCAGTCCTGACACTGATGTTACCTGTTATGTAATGTTGCCTTAGAACCAAACTTTATATCACTAGATCTATTCTTTTATGCCGAGTTTTTCCACTGGTTAACATATTAACAATGTACTTGTGATGTTGAGAGTTTCTTGTTTGCCCAGACTGTTGAAGCAGATTGCCACTGTGCACGACTGGGGTGTACTGTGGGAACAGCTGGTATGTCATGTTCATTCCTTAATGAAGGAGTCTATTTGTCTACTGTACAAGCGTTAAAACGTTTTCACTACAACAGTGGTCAAATTTGTTTTCGGTATCAAATTTGAAAAAGTGGAAGACTTAAGGATTTCTAATCTATAAAAAGGGATGTGTCTATGTCAAATCCATAAGGTCGAGGTCTAAGTGAGAATAGACAGAGAATCCATGCATCTCAATGTCATTGTGAAACATGCTGGACCTAAACTGAATATTCAACACTTACTTGTATATACGGATGGTGTACAGCTTTCCAGGAGATAACTATTGCAACTATTTGAGTGAGTCCAATGTATATATACATGTGTGTAGTATAAACGAAGAGGGAAGTTCATGAATTGTGGATTTGTTCTAGATGGTTTTGAAAATACAAGGTATTTCGATATGCGTCTAGTTCACATGAAACTAAGAATTCTATCCTTATGTTAGAGTATGCAAGCATATCTACAACGTTCACATATCTTTGGAAATTTCATATTGGCAAGATTTCAACTGAAATTGTTTTATACCACTCTGTTTCCATGACTACAGTTTTATATGAGGGTAAAGTTGTTTAGTTGAATGTTTTGATTTGCATGGAATAACCAAATACTTGTATCGATCATATTTGGTATAACTATCACAATGAATGTATGCTGACGGAGAGAAATCAGGCAGTGAAGTATTGATATGCCACCTGTATATATCCTTCGACGGATGTCCCTTACAACATAGTTTCACCACAGGTATTAACTTGTAATTTTGGTTGACATGAAGCATCTAATATTAACCACAGCATTCAACTTTCTTTGTCTCTATGGGTATTTGCTACCTTACTTTATCACATCAATCAGTGAGGTCACGTCAAGCAAACCCTCAACATGAGGTCATGTCAGGTGAACCCTACGCAGGAGGTCATGCCAGGTGAACTCTACACAGGAGGTCAGGTCAGGTTAACCCTACACAGGAGGTCATGTCAGGTTAACCCTACACAGGTCATGCCAGGTGAACTCTACATGGGAGGTCATGTCAGGTTAACCCTACACAGGTCATGTCAGGTTAACCCTACACAGGAGGTCATGTCAGGTTAACCCTACACAGGAGGTCATGTCAGGTTAACCCTACACAACTCATGTCAGGTTAACCCTACACAGGAGGTCATGACAGGTTAACCCTACACAGGTCATGTCAGGTTAACCCTACACAGGAGGTCATGACAGGTTAACCCTACAAAGGTCATGTCAGGTGAACCCTACACAGGAGGTCACTTCAGGCGAACCCTACACAGGTCATGTTCCTTCAGGCGAACCCTACACAGGAGGTCATGACAGGTTACCCTACACAGGTCACTTCGGGCGAACCCTACACAGGTCACGTCCCTTCAGGCGAATCCTACACAGGTCACGTCCCTTCAGGCGAATCCTACACAGGTCACGTCCCTTCAGGCGAATCCTACACAGGAGGTCATGTCAGGTTAACCCTGCATAAGTATACTCTCACTGCCCAATTGAAATAAGATGTAAACAATTGTCAGCTTTGATGATTTGGCCTCTTACAGTCATGATTTGTAATGCTTGTATCCATAGTAAGGGCCGTACTGTTACATGCACTAGACCTTGTTAAGCATTACTAAATGCTTGGTTTTACTGGATTTATAGATGCTTGTTCCATATGCAGGAGTGATATTAAATATGTTTTTGTTATAATGTATTATTTGTCTGTCATCATTGGTCCTGCTGGGACTTGTGGGAGTGAGAACATTACTTGTTTACAATGTTGAGGCTTTGAGGGGTGAATTGAGACATACCTCACAGTGGAATTCCTGCCCAAGTTCTGTTATTGTGCATTAGGTATAGGTGCAATTTGAGTGACTATACCCATGAGTGAGTGAATGTTATTTAACACTGCAGTCAACAATATTCCCCCATATCACAGCTGCCTGTAAAATAATGAGAATTGAGACGAATCAGGTGTTGATATTATGAGCAACTCCCACCTCCCACATTTAAGAGAGTTGTTTAACTCTGCTTTGAACAGTGTTTCAGTTACGTGGGAGGAAAGTGATGCAGGTCCATTTTTGTCTACCCACAATTCAGGGATGGACTGTCTTGTACTTTCATCAGCAATGACTAGGTCTGTGCAATGCTACGACAGATGTTTTCAACATCATCCACACATTACACAGTAAGAAACAAGAAAAACCCATATGGTTTTCATTACCATAAAGAACAAGCATGACAACGTATTCCATATTGTTTATTTGAGTGCATGGTATACACAAACTCGATGTCTTGCAGCAACTTGTGTCTCTACACCAGTACAGCAGTAACACAACAAAATATACATCATCACATAGTACATCAACAGACAGGTGCTACACTACAGCCAAGTACAGAGAATCTGACTCAACAATCGCACACACCGACCACACTCTTGTAATTTGGGGGTTATGGATCTGAATGAGGCTTTTGGCCCAAACAGCCACAATCAGAAAATAAAATATAAATTGTTACAATTTATTTTTATTTTCTCAACCACTCTATCATTGATAGATTACCAAAATACAAACAAAATTAAAGAAATCTAACAGAAAGAAACTTTTTTAATGAATAATACTTGATCCCGTGCACTGTACATATATATATAGACCGAAATCATAGGAACAATGCCTTCACAAAGTATGTGCATGTCATTATGCATTAAACCTGCACAACAAATAGAATTAGCATATTTTTTACCCCTATATACCAATGAACTCAAACAACTTGATGCTAAATATTGAGCTACAAAATATATTATTACTTTTATTTGTACATATCCAAGAAGACCCATAAACCGCAAACTCTACAAAAGTGTGGCTGTCAGGTCGTTTATCTATTTCATGACAGGTGAACCCTTTACTGTCAGCTACTCATTAATACAGGTTTTCACAACCTTGTATAGTTTGGTGTAACTTTGAGAAAATTATTTTATTTTGAATTAAGACCTGCAAATCACTGCATTCCAAGTGCAACGTTTTGAAATAATACCTTGGTTTCCTAGGAAGAATATCGAATGTTTGTTGTGATGTCAGTGCTGTCTAGATCAGAAAATAATTAGGATAGCATGTAAGTGTCAAAATGTGTGGTGTTGAGCCAAGATTCTCACTTGGCATAGTGGAAGTTAAAGTTCCTGGACTAGAAGAAACATTTCAATGAAACTGTCAAGCAACCATTAAGGTTTTGAACTAAGTGCAATTATTTTGTTGCTTGGAATGAATAATGACAAAGTTTTATATATATGAATATTTGACATTCACAGTTTTTGAATACAGAATCAGTCAGTACATCCTAAAAGAACAATATCTTTAACATATTAATATTCATAAATCTTTAGGTAAAAGGTAATTCTGTCATTTTCCAGGTCAAGGACATCAAACCTTTCCATCAATAGCATGCACAGATGAGATAAGCTGCTGAAACAACCCTGAACAGAAACATACAGTAGTTTTGCATAGAAATGCCAACATTACCGAACTGCTGCAGCAGAGCTATAGAAATGCCAACATTACCGAACTGCTGCAGCAGAGCTATAGAAATGCCAACATTACCGAACTGCTGCAGCAGAGCTATAGAAATGCCAACATTACCGAACTGCTACAGCAGAGCTATAGAAATGCCAACATTACCGAACTGCTGCAGCAGAGCTATAGAAATGCCAACATTACCGAACTGCTGCAGCAGAGCTATAGAAATGCCAACATTACCGAACTGCTACAGCAGAGCTATAGAAATGCAGAATCTTTTGTTCATAACTTTCATCAAAATGTTTAAGAAAAGTGAGACGGGAGGCATTTTATGTAGCTAGTTTTTAAAACCAACTGTTCAAGACATCTGTGTATATGTACTGTCGACTTTATGCACATGAAGCATAAATATCTGGTAGTACTATGAATATGGTGTAGTTCATCAAAACACACATAGTTGTCTTCTTCGCATGTACTATAAATATGAATGGGGGTGAAAATAAAATGATTAATTATTAATAACCCTAATAATAATTATTATGGCATTAACTACCAGGGTATGAATTGCTTAAAGTATATTCACCAAGCTGGTCATTAGTCCTCCATGCTACAAATCTGAAGCTGATACGACAAAAATGCAACCTAACTTTCACATGATTGTCAACCCTCATGCAATCATGTGCAGTGCAGTACAGTAGTAACTGCTAAACTGTCAAGATTCTACTCTATGTTACAGCTCTATAATATGCATGCAAATTAAAATCAAACTATTCCATTATGGAAGGATGAGAAAGCACATATTTATGCCACTTTATACATGTGCAGTGCCAATAATGTCTTTACTTCATGATATATGAAGATTCTTTTCCTAAGAATAATAAGGGATTACAGCCCTTTTCTTCACATTTTAAATAAAACATTAGTCCTGACCATGACCATGCTGCACACATCTCCAGACTGTTCTCATCCCTGGCCCTGCACCCAGCTGCACACATCTACAGACTGTTCTCATCCTTGGCCCTGCACCCATCTGCATACATCTACAGACTGTTCTCATCCCTGGTCCTGCACCCCTCTGCACACATCTACAGACTGTTCTCATCCTTGGCCCTGCACCCAGCTGCACACATCTCCAGACTGTTCTCATCCCTGGCCCTGCACCCAGCTGCACACAACTACAGACTGTTCTCATCCCTGGCCCTGTACCCAGCTGCACACAACTACAGACTGTTCTCAACCCTGCACCCAGCTGCATACATCTACAGACTGTTCTCATCCTTGGCCCTGCACCCAGCTGCACACATCTCCAGACTGTTCTCATCCCTGGCCCTGCACCCAGCTGCACACATCTACAGACTGTTCTCATCCCTGGTCCTGCACCCCTCTGCACACATCTACAGACTGTTCTCATCCTTGGCCCTGCACCCAGCTGCACACATCTCCAGACTGTTCTCATCCCTGGCCCTGCACCCAGCTGCACACAACTACAGACTGTTCTCATCCCTGGCCCTGTACCCAGCTGCATACATCTACAGACTGTTCTCATCCCTGGCCCTGCACCCATCTGCACACATCTACAGACTGTTCTCAACCCTGCACCAAGCTGCACACATCTACAGACTGTTCTCATCCCTGGCCCTGTACCCAGCTGCACACATCTACAGGCTGTTCTCATCCCTGGCCCTGTCCTCACAACCATTGGATTTATTATTGCACTTCAGCACAAACAAATAAATAAACAACATGTATATTAAATAATGACAAAGCTATTGGAAGGGGAAGCTCTTGAAGCTACTTGAATGATTTCCTTCTTGTTAATGATTCTCCTTTCATACCAAACCATATGTCTATCCCAAATCAGATTAACCAATTTAATCATAATCACACAAATAATAGCTATTGCATAACATATATATTACATGGTCACAGATTTTCAAGTGTGTACAGTATTAGTCTATAGCCCATAATGTACTGACACATTATTCAACATACTGTATTCGAAATAATAAGCAACCAGGGCGCTCTCAAAATTAGAAATATCGTAAATTTTGTGGTTAATGCTGACAGCCTGAAATGTTTATATACGACTGCTATATTTTTCCAGAATTTAATTTCCCATAATTAAGGATGCATATAACACACATATTATACATGAATAAATAAGTCTTGTGTACATTGATCAATCGAAAGGGGTGCTAATTGGGACTGTTCACTAGCCAATATATTAGCAAATATCGCCGTGGGCGCTTATTACGTCGAATACGGTAATTCAGTTTCATCCATTATATATCTGTCTCCTTCAGTTCATAAATATTAGTAATGCAACAAGTAATACAATAGAAAAATAATCATACACATCTGGTCTGCACCAATTTGAATATGTTCTATTTTGGGATAAATTCTCAGATATACAATCAATATAAGAGCTGCGTATTTGGTCCCCAATATTTCAAGTTTACAAGTTGACAAAACAAAAATAAAACCTGTCATATCCTTTGTCAGTACCAAGTGGGTAAATACAGGAACTCAAGAAACTAATAGCAAATAGGAAATCCAAGCCAATAAATGCAAGTTACTTTCTGTTATTGCACTATTTACATGGCCCATTTGTCCAGGCATTTTCTTGTCAGGAATTCCTCAGTACAGCTATACATCTTGACAAGGATAGCTTGTTAACATGATCAAACACTTAGCTCTCTCATAAAATGTTTGGTTGTTTGTTTGTTGTTTAACACCGCACTCAGCAATATTCCAGCTATATGACGGCACTCTGTAAATAATCAAGACTGGACCAGCCAATCCAGTGATTAATATCATGAGCATCGATCCACGCAATTGGGATGGATGACATATATCAACCAAGTCAGCGAGTGTGACCATCCGATCCCGTTAGACGCCTCTTACGACAAGCATAGTCACCATCATAAAATGTCAATTTAAGTCATAAAATGTCAATTTGAAACTTAAGTAATAAAAATTACAGAGCTAGTCTGGCTATCAGTGGCAATCTTGGTATTTCATTTCATTATCAGTAGAATGTGAAACCCTGATTCTAGATAAATCATCTGGATTGACAAATTTTGCTGTTAATAGATCATGTTGATACTTTGAAAACTGCATCCTGTATATCAATCAGCCTGTAGACAAGTAAACCAATGGTCGAGGGTATGAGCATGCATCACATAGGTGAGATGTGACCTTCCCATCAAGGTCATCTTCACACAGAGCAGCCACTGTGGACACCACTGTACCCACCGAAGTAGAATACATGAGGAACTACGGCCAGAGCTGTCTCTAGTTCTCCATGGGGTGTGAGCCAGTTTAGTTGTGAACAACTTTAGGCAATAATACGGAGGACACCAAGAAGGGCTTTACACATAGTACCCATGTGGAGAACGGGAAGCAGGTCTTTGGCATGACCAGGAAGCACATTTAACAAGGCTGCTCCTTCGTCCTGGTAAGTTCAAAAGAGCCTCCCCTGACGTGACGAGACAGGACGTAACATGCAGGTCATTCAAGCTGCAAAAGGTGGTGAGAACTGGACTAAAATGGAATGGTTGACTTGCCGCTGTGATACTGGACAAAATCCAAACTTTAAACAATCCCCTGACACAATGAGGCCAACAGAAGATACAGCGACAATTGAAACCTGAGAGAAATCATCTACAGTTGTCACTGTGCTGCATAATAAACTTCATTCTGCGAGTAGACCTGTTAAGTACCTGAACATTTTGAGATCACAAAGGGAACATAACATGAACCTTCATCTCAGTAAAACTGCACATTTATGTGACACACAAAACAACTGATGCAACAGTGCAAATCATAGATGTCATAAATCTGTTTATTACCAAGGAACATATATTGGCGCTATAAAGGCTAGTAAGTACCATAAAGTGACAAATAACAGCAAATCAAGTTATATTGCTTGATCTGTGAAAACAATACAGCATTAATTGGAGATTCATATTCAACTGAGCTTCTGAGAAGTTCAGACTAGAGACGTCCTGATTCAAATGCTAGGATAACGTTTCATGAGCCTAAAAAATCTTACGTTTTAATTTTATGTCTTTTTAGGCCAAATCAGTTTTTTCTTCTTCTAAAGACAAATCCACTCAAATCTTTCTAAAATAATAACAAAACAACTTCTAACTTTAAGTTTGCTTTGTAATTTTTAAATTGATGCAGTTTTGCTTGAAACTATATTTCAAGTGTTCTTTTTATTATCCCAACTCAAATCAACCTAGACAGCATTTGATAATTTCTCAATAATGCCTCGTCTCTTGTAATTATGACCAAGACAATCCTTAAAACAAGAAACTAAATTAGACCTGCCTCAACAAAATGAAAGTGGTGTCATAACCAAATCTGATCACAACTGGTAAGCCACCAACTGCAAATTACTAATTAATCTAATACACTTAGTCATGTACTTATGATGTTTTCACAGTTGCCGCTCTCGCGATGCACATAAAAATGGGGGGGGACTTGGCCGGAATTACAACAGAAATATTTTCTCTTTTGATCCTGAGTGAACAAGCTGACATGTTTGTTGACTGAGCTATTTCTTTAACAATTCAACCAGATCAGGACAGGCAGCAGGTGAAATAACGTAGGACACAACACAGAACAACAAAATGACATGTTACTACCTTCAGCCTTATTAGAGAACAATGTGATTTAATGTGCGACAACAAGACTATCAAATCTTCCAAACAAATCCTGATTAAAAACACAAAAAAACAGATTCATAACTTCATTCTGTACAACAGAAGGAAGGAGTGGTCAGTTTGTTCATGTTCAAATATCATTTCTAGAACAGACAGGCTTCATAACCATTCCAACACTTTACAAATTACTTACATCAAGGAAGGGACCTAATAACACCATTTTTCAGCCATACATTAATGACGATGATCAAACCCAGTATTAAATTGGGCAAAATGGTGTAAATAAATCAGATTCTCAAGCATAACAAACAAACAATACAATAACCTAGCAGGTGGCCTATAGATTGTGGAGTAAATTTATGGACCTAGCAGTCAGAATATTCGTAATTACATTTCCCTTTCTCAGCAGAAACAACTTTCCATTACAATGAAATGTGTAATTACATCAGATGGGTATGGAATGTTTTCATTTAAATTTTTCTCAGTACCAATGAAACAATTTTATCTGGTCCCTTTGATCAATCAAGCAGTGAGGAATTGACTAAATCCACGTAACATCTAACACAAATCTCACAGTGCATATCACATTGCATGAACCTCTGACTGAATCTTCCAATATCAACCAGGCAGTGACTCTATATATACTTGGTGCAAATGTTCTAGCCAATGATAACATACAATATTTAATTTTCACAATGGTCCACATTCATGTTTTGTACCGAGGACCACATTCCACAAGTGACCTTAGCTACGACTTTTGTATGTCTATGTTAGAGTATGAGAGTCTGATATTTTTATCGAAAGGGGTCAAGGATGATGTTTCTTAGGTTACTAAATGCTAGGTTCTCAGGCTCTGTTAAGTAAAACCATTTTATTTGATGATAAACAAACATGGAAACATTAACTTCAGGGAGCAAAAACAATAAAAACCCATCAAAACATCCTCCCAACAAAAATGGAATTTTTCTTATAAATTGTACATTTATATGCTTATCCCATCTCACACTATGCATTTCTTCTTTCTTCTTCGATCATTTACAAGCTTGAACAAAGTTTCCAGCTTCTAAATACCAATTCACCCAAACACATCCCAGCATCACCATGGTTCCCGTCCAACAGCTGGGCCATGTACGTGATCCCGTGCACCTTACACGACCTGATCACATGTCTATCTCTGCCACATTATCCTCTTTCGTCAGACCTAACAGGAATTGCGATGCAGGGATAGTAGGGTGGGCATATAGTGTGTGAGATAGGATAAGTATATAAATATACAATTTATAAGAAAATTTCCAAATGATTAAACTTATCCTATCTCACACTATGCATTTATCCACTAGTTGGAAGGTGGGCGCAGTTACCCTGGCCTGAAAGACTTAAGAACTAGACTGTGTTCTAAATTATTTTTTTATTTCACTGTTTAGAACCAGTTCCATCGTGTTGTCTAACGGTTGTAGTCTTTCAGGCTAGGGTTCTGCGCCCCACAGTCCAACCATGGGTTAAATGCATAGTGTGAGAAAGGATAAGTTTTCAAAAATTAGTTTCTGTTTTAGCTTCATACATGTATATAATTTAACATAGTGAAACCAGCATCCACAGATATAACAACATCATATATAACATAATATATAACATATGATACAGATAAGACAACTATGTACAATGTTCAAGGGCAAGTAGGGTATGTCAAATAAACAAATATATAACAAGAATGACTAGATATCAAATCACAGAATAAAGAAATATGAAGAAACTGCACTGAAGAGATAAGTAGACATTTGTTACAAGACACACATACAACTAAATGGGTAATAAAATTCAGACCACTTCCGTTTTCTATACGCAGACTTACCCTAGACAAGGTTCTTGTAAAATGCTACTAGCCTCTCCACTGTTTATATAGTAAGGACCCTCATCATCAAACAGAGGAAATATACATTGAGCATTTGAAGACAAGAACCCTGTCCAGGCTTGCTTGTAAAGCTAACCCTGTTTGTCCAGACAACTCTGTTATACACATACATATACACAGGACATCAGTCAGCGAAGTTACTTAAAGGGTTTCACAGAACTATTATCTGCTGGTAAGTGGGGGTCTTCAGGCAGGGACTGAGTGAGACTTGATGTGATTGTATGAATAGTATTTTATACTGCCATGGAACTGAGAAACAACATCACTACATGTTTCCATAAGTTTTCTTACTGTCACTATCAAAGGTTGTAGTATATTTCATATTAATGTCATGTTTAACCTCATGGTAACAGACTTGCTTCTTCCCTTTGGCAAGTAATTTTAGCATATTGTACTAATAATGTAAGATAGCTTCGCAATAAATCGCAAAAGACAATGAAGAACGAAGCATGGTTTATTTCACGATAAAACATTGTTCTATCATGACGTCATTTCTGGAGATTCGAACTAGCTCTCGCAACTTGATGACGTTGTATATTGGACGTTATTTTTGAGAGAGGAGTGTCTAGTGAGTTGTTCCCCAGGAAGTATTTTTTATATTTTAACAACCTTACATATTTACTCATTGTAGAAGTACACCTTGCACAAAGTCAAGACCAAGGTTTATTGGTATGTCTCTCTGTGGCCATCTTCTTTGGCCTACAGTACAGTCAAGCTACAAAGTAGTTAGTTCCAGTACAGTTGCTCTACAATCAGCATAGTGCTCATTTACTCGTATATAAACCAGTCAAATGGTCTAACAAAAAAAACGTATAGTTAGGAAGGAAAAGAAAAAATATTTTGCATTTAAATCTAAATAAATACCAACATTTGACCATGATCTTTCATTCTTGAATAAAGCATTGCACACCTGGTAAACAATACCATAACATAATAACAATAGATACATTAGCATAAAAAAGAAACAATGATTTAAAAAAAAGCAATAATGATGAGCCAGTCAAAAACACCATGATCCCAGGTATATACTTGTGTGTGTAAGTGCCTTCGTGAAATGATTGTTGTATTCAACATACATCCAATTTCCTGGTATCTAATATAACTGTTAATCTGAAACTACAATGTTTATCGCCTAGTGTTACTTTTTGCATTTAATATTGAATTTTACTGCTCCGTGCACAAGCTGAGACCTTATACAAAACACTACAAGACGATGATGAAGGTAGCATTTCCAGATTCAAAAGATCTGTTCTACCAGCCATTATAATCATATGACTAGCAGATTAATCCCCTCCTTATAATACCCTGCAACCACTTTGATTTAGTGCATGAAACAAACAACATTTATAAAACATAGGGTAAATAAATATTACAAAAAACATCCTACACATCCATTAAGTAGGTACATCAAGTAACACTGAACCTAGGTGTCATGTTGCTAAGATAAGACTTTGCATACTTTCTAAAAATATGAGCAAGACCATTCGTTGTTTTCTATGTCAAAACGCCAAAATGCTATTTCAAATAAAAGTTGATAGTGATTTTAGGTTCCCCACAATATTTCTTGAAAATGTAACAAAACACAAACAAACAAAAAGATGTTCAAAACTGCCATGTTTCCAAGCAAACATTTTTACTTCTTTTTGAAACACTTCTGCCAGGCTCTCCAGTAACACCAAAAGCAAATCGGTCTGGTTTTGATGAAACCCAAGATACTTCATTAATTAGTGTTTACTTTCAATACTAACATGTTCCTCAACTTATCCTCATTATTCCTTCAACATGTATCAAACAGTCAGCCATGCCAGAGTAATAAAACCTAGACCCTACACAGCCCAGTAGGTTATACAATCACCAGGACTATAGTAAGGCTTGACAGCCATCATGCAGGTCAATAAGTAGACCGTCTTTAATATCTGGACCAACACAAGTCAGTGTCAGGACTCACAGTTTTGGGGAACCTTTCTGAGAGTTCAATGTACTTTGTTTCATCACATACAAAAAAGCTTCTTCTTTCCTGGACTTCAGAATGAAAAATGCTTATTTTCCCAAACAGTCCATACCAAAGAATAACTTATAGATAATAAAATAAATTCATTTACAATATTTACATTAGGCCAAAGCATATATTTACTTATGTAATGTATTTTAATCAATTTGAGATGAATAAACCTATTACATATACAGTGCACATTTTTTGTTATTTATCGAGTAACATGATATGGTCACATGACTTGATCCAAGATGTCTGACAGTCAAAATGCTTATAACAAACTACAGATATAACAACTAGGGCTGCGACGGGTAACTCGGGTACTAGGTTCGGGTGGGTACTGAGTAGGACCCGGGTACCCACAGGAATATACCCGGTCCCGTGGTTAATCACGTGATATATTGTTTAATTACAAAAATTATCTAGAACTTTATGGCTACACTATAACTAATGTTTGCATTCCTTCTGACTTTAAAGGTTTGATTAAAGACAAAACTTCAGTCAATTTCAGTTTATGCATGACCAGATCGTTTTTTATTCGTGTATCTAAATACATTTTGCCATGGCTACGGTCAAACTATTCCCAGTCAGACATTTGGACCTATCTCTTGAGACCTACAGTGGGTACCCAGGTACCCAGGTAGGGTCGGGTAATAGGGGTGTGGGTACCCGGGTAGTAAATTTGGACTCATCCCAGCCCTAATAATCTAAACTTAGTGGTCCCTTTGAGTTTGTTATAACCATAGCTTAAGAATGAAAAGTAAGAATGTTCACCCCAGGGTACTCCACTTTTTCATTATGGCACACACATTCTGAAACTTAACCAGATCTTATTTACATTATTTGTTATAGCAATGTGATGATGATAACTTCCCTGAACTGTTGCACACCTAACAACATGGCACCTACAGTAAGGACAAAGTACTGAACACACATACAGTGTTCAAAACTAAGCATGAAAGACAAGGGGTCCTTGTCATTAAACCTTATTTCAAAAACTTAAGACTTAGGGAGTCCTTAGTTTCAAATACCATAGCAGCAAACTTCAAGGACACTGGGACCCCTTTATATTTCAACACTACACATACCGTACAACTCTCTGAAAGTTTAAACAAAGAATAGAGATATCATATTAGACTCACATGTACTAACATATCACAACTACAATACAAGCAAGTGTACATCACCAAACTCCTTTCACTACAAACACCACAGAACAAACAGGACTCTTTCAATCGCACTGCTTCAGGATCTCTGACAAAAAGACTGCTACACAGAGTAAGTCAAAATAGATAATGAAAACAACAGCTTTTACCCGCCTACAATGTTCAAAGTTAAAATATTTAAGAAAGCAATCATGCATGTGATATGCAGAAGGTTTTACAAAAAGGCCGGATTTCACTATCTCACGTCTATAAACATCTACTGGATGGAAGATTAATATGTAAATTGATGACCATGATAAATATGAGAAATGCTGAAAGATCGACTATGCATCATCCTTTGTGATGTGGTCTACTTAGCATGAAGGTAAGAGTTAGGGAAGTAAATCTGGGAGTATATAACGGGAATGTTAAACATCATCAAATATTCCCTTTAGTGGGCGTGATGTAGGTCTACTGGAGGAGAATCGGGAGGGCGTCGGTCGGGATTGGTAGCCGAGAGGCTCGGTGGCAGGACTGCGGGTATACTCTGCCAGAGGGTCTGACCGGTCGTCGGTGTAGTCAATAGGTTCGGCTTGACGGAGGAGCTCCGTGCGGTCGTTGTCATCGGGGCTTCTTGGCACAGTGTATGCAGCTGTAGAAGAGATGATAGGTTAGCCCCTCCTATCAGAGATTTGAAACCCTTATTCTTAATACCTTATATAAATCTTAGTAAAATCTAAATATTTTTTACATTTGTATACTTATCCTGCATTACTCCTTAATGCATTCACTGCTTACTTACGACAACTAGAAGGACAGCGCTGCGAAGGTCCTGGGTGAAGAAATAAACTTGTTGTTCTCAAGTCCCAATAAGTGGCCTTCCGTCGCTGTCCTGTGACCTTGATGACACCTAAGGTCATCTTCACATCACTGCCTGTCGCCCAAGCTCTTAGAAAAACATACTTTTGAGGTTTCTGAAGCCAAAGTGGGGAGGCAAGTCTTAAGACGGATGGGCCTTAAGCGTAGTAATGCAGGATAAGTATACAAATGTAAAAAATATTTAGATTTTACTAAATTTTTTACTTATCCTGCATTTCTCCTTAATGCATCTGTATCGGACGGTTTGGAGGTGGGTAAACCTTCAGAATACAGAAACCTCAATAATTCACACCCTGCAATACGACACCAGTTGGTCGATAAACCGTGAAGTGGAAAAGTTCAGACAAAAACGCCATTACGGTAGGGTTGTTCAAAAATCAAAAAGATTGAACATAGGAATTAAAGAGAAGTTCCCTATACACGCTTAGTAATAAAGAAAATAATAGCTATTCAGCTAATTCTTTACTTACTGCGTCATAGAGCCATCGCTGACAAACAAGATTGTCTAATATTCTTCCACTGGTGGCGACTGAGTGACTGCACATGGAAGTTGACTGGCTCTGTATAGGGCGAGTTCATTATTTGCGTCAGGGGTTGGCAATCTGCAGGATAACAACCAGAGGGCCAAACTTCGAACGTCTTCGACATCCTCGAGAGCCCCAACGCGAAGGTTATGACTAATGAAAATATGTGTCGAATCTCCAGAAATATCCTTCCGTGATTGTTCCAAAACCAAAATTTGCTGTGTTGAGCCCTGGTAAGGCTGACACCTTGGTAATTCGCTCTCGGCGAGTTCTGTTTGATGATCTCGTAGGCCTGAAGGATTACTGCGCGTAACCATAGAGATATGGTGTTTGCGATTATGCGACTAACTTCTGTCGTGGACGAACCACGCCTAGTCTTGGAGCGTCGAATGAAAACTCGAACTGCTCGCACCGAGCCCAGGAGAACTTCACCATGTACGATTCCCACAATAGTCGATATCGGTGGGATGGTGAAGGAATGGTCAGGTTGGCCTGGTAGTAGATTTTAGCAATAAAATCCCAGCATAACCCTAGATGTCCCGTTCCGTGCGTCCCATGCTCAAAACGGATCCAGGTTGAGTCGATCACATGTAGTTCGCTCACCCGTACCACCATTGCTAATGCCAAGAGAAACCATTGTTTCCTTGGTGAGGTCCAAGCTCCTCACAGCGATAGCCCGTTCGCGGAGCTCTCTATACTATGCCGAGAGTGTAACGAAGGTGTCACGCGCTGGGAAGGAGCTTGAAAATGAGGATGCAATGAGGGGCTCGAAGGGGGCCCTCGCAAACCTCGAAGTTCCACGTTCAAGTCCCAATCAGGTGGGTGGAACTTGGCCTTCTGATCCTCAAGCCTGAATGAGCATAATATGGCCTGTAGTTCCGTGGGTACGCAATGTAGGAGGTATTCCTCTAGGAATTGTGACGCAATCGGAGGGTCTTGATTCTTTTCTTCCCTGTAAAAAGTCTCAAGTGATCCCCACTTGTCATCGTCGTCTCTGGGAGAGTAACGTTGAACTAAAGCTATAGCTTTGCTGCCCGTGTCGAAATAACACTTCGCACCTAAATGCCTTTTAAAGATGAACCATGCGTGCAGACGTTGGGTGAGGCAATTTTCTGTTGAGGGTGGACCACTGTGAGAGGGGTAGTGAATCATTTTAGATTTTTCCAAGCTTGACAAACTACCCTCTCGCCGGTTACCAGGGTGCGACCAAAGGAGAGATCGAGATACCTTGTCTCCTTGATCCCCTGTATCACCTTGGGAAGTAAAAGTGGTGGCAGAAAAGTGTTAGTTTTTTGCCCTTCCCAAGTGATACTGAACTCGTCCACCGCCCAAGTCTGCGGATCCGGCAACGGGGAGATATACGTCATGAGTTGGTGGCCTAGGCAAGTAATAAACAAGTCAATGTTTGGTTGCCTGAATTCCTGAAGCAGTAACTGGAATGCTTCTGTGAGATATTTCCACTCGGTGGGAGCCACCCTGTCTGGAAGTGATAAAGTATCGGCCAGTATGTTTCTACATCTGGGGATGTGCTGAACTATGAACTTTAGTCACAGCCGATCTACTAGATGGAACAAATCTGAATGTCCTTAGAAGTAGAGAGTGGGAGTGTGTTGTTCCCTGATTGCACAGGCACCACACCGCAGTGCTGTTGTCTGTGGATATTGCGAGTCGGGCTAACTGTAGTTGATTCTGCCAATGTGATATAGCCAGAATTAAAGCTTCCAACTCCAAGTTGTTTATGTGCCACTTCCATTGAGCGCCGGGCCATAGCCCTGAGCTTATCTGGTCTTGTAAGTGAAGACCCCACCCCTGAAAGGGGACGTCCACAAACAGGTGTGTATTCGGGGAAAACCCGAATAAAGAGACTCCGCAGACATTCAACGCCACAAATTGAGGCAAGGCTCTAGCTTAGTCGGCAGAGTGATGGCTTTGAGTGGATCCTGACTCCTGATGTAAGGGTTCAGGAAAAAATTGAATTGGTCGCAGTTGTAGAGCGGCCCATGCTAGTGCCGAGGTGATTAACCCTAGCAACACTTGCCACTGGCGAAGTGTGTGTGGTTGGTGTAGAGTAGATGACAAAAGAAGTAGAAACTTGTGCCATCTGTCCCTCGGTACAGATAGGATATCCTGGTCTGTCTTGAACAGGTCTCCTATGAACTGAAGTCAATAGGAAGGAGAATACTCCCGACTTCGCCTCGTTGATTGTCTATCCCAGTTATTGACATGTGTTGATGATACAGTAGATCGCCCTCCATCTACGACTCGAACCAAGTGTTCGTCACGTGTAGATAGTTATTGGCTTCATTACTCCTGTAAATAGCCATAAGTGTCACTGACATGTCAAATGGGAAATACTACCATTGGAAGTGAACCCCAATGAACTGGACCTGAAAAGTCTACGGTTGGGATGGATAGTCGAGACTGATCAAGAGTTCGTTGAACACAGAGATTGTGGATCATTCTCATCTTGTCTGGGTCCTTCATGAGTACCAGGTAGGTGTGAGGATAAAACCCTGGTGTAAAGACTGGGTTGTGAACCCACTCTACAGCTCTTCTTACCAACAGTATGTCTATGTTGGATTTTCCCAATCAAACTGTGGTCAACGGTGGGGTTATCTCTACCCGTATACAGACACCATGATATAGTGCGATAAGTACGAAATCGTCCTTGAGACTTGTCTCTGCCACTCCCTTTCTCAGTAAGGGAATGCTGGTCTTCCCTGAGAAACGCGCGTCTAGGTTTATAATTCCCTGACTTGCCAGCCCGCTTGGACTTTCCAAGCTTTTTGGGAACTTGACGTGGGTGTCTGCGATCTGTTCGTTGAACAGGGGAGTATATGACCAAGGTTGACGTAATAGACTGCCCTTGAAACCAGCATCTCAGTTGGAAACGCTATAAAGTCTTGGGTGTAACGGTAATCTCCGTCAGAGCGGTCTCAAGATGAATTTTCCTGTGGTCAAACTGACGCTGTAGGAAAAACACCATAGTTTGGAAGTGATCTAATCAGATAGGGTTATCCTCTAATAGATTCTGATCCACTGCAAACATTGACAATATTGGTCGCTTAAATGACGGAGCAAATGTGAGTTTTGGAGAAGTCTTCCTCCAATGACCTCGTGGTGTCCCTCTTATTTACCCTGTTATCAGGGGAGGGCGTTACTGACACGAGATGGTCTGCTTCCCAATCCGGGAAAATGTGCTAAGCTGATCATGTGCCGGTTACGTAACCGAGTACACTGTAAGCCATGGGCTAACGTCATTGTAGAGACCTTGATTGGTACGCAGACGCTGCGCTCAGCGCAGGTCTGGAATGTTGGAACAGCGCTAAGCTGATCGTGCAACGTTTGCGTAATAGGAGCGCTTTGGGTAGCAGTCAGACGCTGCGCTCAGCGCAGGTCTATGCTGGATATGTTTGAACAGCGCTAAGCTGATCCTGCGTCGCTTGCGTGATAGGAGCGCTTGGGTAGCAGTCAGACGCTGCGCTCGGCGCAGGTCTATGCTGGATATGTTGGAACAGCGCTAAGCTGATCGTGCGTCGCTTGCGTAATAGAAGTGCTTGGGTTGTAGTCAAGTGCTGCGCTCGGCGCAGATAAATCAGACACAAAGCTCAAAAGTATTGACTGGCTCAAGGCTTGCGTCTAATCTACCCCCATCATAGCATCTTGATACGCTGTTGCTGTCGCCGACGTCACAGATTAACATACATGTATCTGGAAGTGTCCGGCGGCTGAAAAAATAGGAGCAGTTACGATACTCACAAAATCCTCCGGTATTGTTGATTTCGGTGGATGGTGTACTTCTGCAGTCACAGGCGTCATAATACCTGCCAATAATAACGGTTGGGTGGTAATGACCGAACCCTGCCATCTGTCGCTATTCTGCGATAGTGACATTCCTCTCGTCTCACGACGGAATAACTGCAAAATATGATTGTGAGTAATCTGCTTTTATATAGTAAACTCGTTGGATTAGAGATTTACACAAAAATTACATTTTGAATTTTGGCGAGCACATCTACGTGCATGCCTAGGACTGTGGATAAAGAGCTTTGGGCGATTATTCCACGACAATATGTACACCACGCAAACATAAGTTACGCAATTAAACCATTGAAGAAATGGTACTGGAAGAATGCCATAGAATTGAACAATAATCTATCGGCAAAACTACGAGTTGCAAGAGTATACAATAGTTCATATACGCAACTCAATGTAAACCAAAAAGACCAACAAAAACTATTTAATCACATAAACATAGGTACGCAATAAAAGAATTGTTGATGAAGCGGGACTGGAAGAAAGCCGTAGATTTGATATTAATCTATCGGCAACCATATTTTTAACGAGTTGAAAAAGTATACAATAATTTGAGTATACGCAACTCACTGTTACGCCAAAGCTAGTAGTATTTAAGAACATAAGAATATGTTATACATACGTACCTGAGAATTGTTAACAATATGACTACCTTGGCAGGCAAACGATTGTAACACAATTCAAAATGGCGGCGAACAACAATATTTTGGCGGGAAAAAAGACAAGAGTCTTTTCACACCTAATTAATTCACATAAAACTACACAACATGGTGAAAGTAATATGAAAAGAATACATCACCCATCGCAGATCAATTTGGAAGATTGTAGACAAACTGAAGGTCTAAAATTAATCCAAAAGGAGAGCTCCGCTTGGACACGTCCTAGCTGTGCTGCGACAAGCAGTGATGTGAAGATGACCTTAGGTGTCATCAAGGTCACAGGACAGCGACGGAAGGCCACTGATTGGGACTTGAGAACAACAACTTTATTTCTTCACCCAGGACCTTCGCAGCGCTGTCCTTCTAGTTGTCGTAACTAAGCAGTGAATGCATTAAGGAGTAATGCAGGATAAGTAAAAAATAAATGAGTTAGCACATGAAGTTACAAATTTGCATGTATTATTTAGGCCAAATTGCTGCTACACTTTTGTGAGACATAAAATGGACTCAAACATGGTTGTCAATATTTTCTAAATCTTAAGGGACATAGACTACTATTATCATCATCGTTATTATTATTATAGAGAGTGAGCAAATGAACAATGAATTTTTTTAAATGAAATTTTAATTTCTTTTCTCAGTACAGGCCAAACACTCAGATTGCTATATGTCAATAATATTCATGAACTACCGGCCTTTATCAGCCTCAGCAAGCATGAGTGAGAAAATACTGTTTGAAGCTGAAGTAACAAGACAGAACCAAAGTCACAAGTTCAGCTCTCGCCTAATGTCTATACAAAGTTTCATGAAGATGTAAGACACGGATTGAGTGAGTGAGTTGGGTTTAACGTCGCTTTTTAACAGTATTACAGTTATATCACAGCGTGTCAGTTTAATGTGGGAAGAAAGCCCGAAGTGATGCAGGTCTCAGACGTTTACCACTTTGGTGAAACCCACGAGCACATGTATGGTGCTGATAAACCTGGAAACATTATCGGGGTGAACCAGGATTCGAACTCACAATCACAGGTTTCTGGCATGCCTAAGGGATGCAACTCTGCACACCGAATTGCGGCGCTTTAGACGACTGGGCCTACCGTGCCCCCAACACGAATTGAAGTAATGCTCTTAAAATGAACGCAACTCTCATTTGAGCAAATGCATTTTAAATTGTTTTGTACAAAACTCTTGATGGTGGTTTTCAAACTTGATAGGGGTAGAATAGGTCTTCAGCAACCCATGCTTGCCTGCAAAATTTCATTTTATCTGAATGTCAGAACCAGCATCTATTTATCACACCAACACAATGAACTTAATTAAAAATATATTAAAAAATACCGAGTTACCTTAACTTTCTTATTTCGACATACCTATGCTATGGGTTATAAAAAACTTGTAAACCATAAAATATCAAAACCAAAAAATAAAAACATAAAAATAAATAAACAAAACGTAGAAACTGTGACCTTACCCCTCTTGTCGGAGCTGGGGGGGATCCGCCTTGGAGGTGTGACTGGACTCGCCCCACTGTCCAGCCTACCAGTCTCATGCCAGTGTTTACGTTTGTGGTCCACATTCACCTGCCGTTCTCTTTTCCGCTTCTCTGGAATTAGAGTTACAAACTTAATAGTGGTAAAATACTGGTGCAGGGTACATTTCTCCACTCCTTATGTCAAAACACTTATTTCAAGTCCCATGTAATACTGTATTGTCAATGAATTCAGCCAAAGTCTTACACTATCATACATAACCAAACTGGTTCAACAGACCTCTCTTCACCATCTCCCTGCCCTCGTCAATGAGTTCCTGCGTCATATCGTCGTCGCCTATGAACTGCTGGAAGCCAAGGAGGCTGAGGATGCGACTGCCGAGGGAGAAGTAGGTGCAGATGCACAGCAGCACGATGAGGATGGGGAAGTAGATGTTGAACCCGTCTGAGATGAACGATATCACATCCATGTGGCCCATGATCTGGACAGAACATGAAACAAATTACACTAGCTCTCCCCACTTTTACACTATAATAAGTTCATACCTGGAATTTGTCATCTTCTAAATTATTAACATCCCAAATTTAACTTCAATTATTTTATTTCATATGGTTGGTTGGTTTGTTGTTTCACGCCACACTCAGCAATATTACAGCTATATGACGGCGGTCGTAAATAATCAAGTCTGGACCAGACAATCCAGTGATTAATATCATGAGCATCGATCCATGCATTTGGGACTTTGATTTGTTTTTCCCCATAATCTTTGATAATATACAAATTATATCATGGTGTGTCATCTGAAAGTGGGAAGAAAACCAAAGTGGTGTAAGTCTAAGATGTTTACACAAACACGGGTACAGTGCAAGCAAACCTAGAAACATAATCACGTCAAATCTGTGATTTAAACCCACGAGCATGTGTTTGGCAAGGGAGACAATCCAGGATTTAAAAAAATGGACAGTACACTACACAACCAAATTGTAAGTCATAAAATAAGCAATAACTTAAATTAACTGTCACAGGTTGGTTTTGCTCTGAGGCTATAAGAGGGGTTAATGCACACTCTCTGCACCTACTTCTGGATACACCAGTATTGACTATACATGTATCATGCATATACGAACAGCCGTCTGTTTAATGATATTTAAGATAATTATTTCAATTGGCTGACACTAGACTACGATATATGGGGCAAGACAACACTGTGGCACGTACATGTGTATAGGATGTCTCCTCCATGTTTCCGGAGGTCACATGACTGTCCAGGTGGATCAAGCCGAGGAAGTTGAGACACATGGGAGGCGTCAGTCGGCACAACATCCTGGAAATGGTTAACGTCCATCAAAGTCAATATTTACAAACATGTTTTTGTTTTTTGTAATACTTTTTTTATCCATGGTTCAGGATACATTGTACACGATATAATGCATATTAATACATTAACTGTTTGCACATCATTTGTAATGTGAGATTGATATTACTAGTGATAATAAATGATTTAATACATAATATATATGTATCACATGACGGAATCCCCTTTTTTTATCATAAAAACAACAGCCATTCACACTTCTCATACAAACACCATTTACACGTTTTCACACAGGGACGCCACAAGCACTCTCATACACAAACACACATTATATTCTCAAATAGAGATCTCAAATCTCAAGTCAGTGGTTCCTACAAACATGTTTTTGTCCTAATAAGACTAACAAGAATCATTACATGATGACACATATCCCATCTATTCCATGAAAGGGGGCGGTCGGGTAGCCTAGTGGTTAAAGCGTTCGCTCGTCACCCGAAGACCTGGGTTCGATTCCCGACATGGGTACAATGTGTGAAGCCCATTTCTGGTGTCCCCCGCCGTGATAAGTCTGGAATATTTCTAAAAGCGGCGTAAAACCATACTCTGCTTGTACTAGTCTGGACTGATGCCGATTTATAGTGCTAGCTCACTGAGATACCACGCCGCAGTTTAACATGAATACCCCACTCAGACACAGTATACTGATTCTGAGCCAACAAGTCCTTGTTTTAGCCCCTTAATGCCGGACAGGTTAACAATAAGTACCATCTTTTAACGTCTTTTGGTATGACACGGCTTGGGATTGAACCCCAGACCTTCCGCTTTCCAGGCGGACGCTCTACCACTAGACCACGGAGGGGGTCCTGTACATAATCACGAGCAGACAAACCAGTGATTGATATTATGAGCAATGACTCATGAAATCAGGGTACAAAGACATTCAATCACCCAAGTCATCAAGTTCTATTTGTCGCCTTGTATGACAAGCATAGCTAGCTTTGGACATTTTCTCACCCTGAATTCTCACAGGTGTATAAACATTCTTTTTTCGGTCTTTAATATTTTTTTCATTTTGACAATCTAGCGTGTGGTCATACATGTTCACTACTTGAAAGTCAACCTGTGTTGACATGACATAAATGCCCTACTCTTGTTACCGATTTACATGCAGTGAAACTGGTCAAGGGGAGGAAACTCAACACTAAATCCTTATATCATCCAAACTGATCTATAAATCCAGCTGACAATAAACAGTGAATGAATCAGGTGCTATTAGTTTCAGCAGGTGCTTACATTCCAGTGAAGATGAGGCTGTATTCATCAGTCTGGTGATGAGGTGCTATGTAATAGTAGTTGAAGATCCGGATCTGGAACACACTGTAGTAGGCACAGCAACACAGGTATGCAATCGTCAAGATTGAAGCAATCTGAAGAAAAGGAACCAAAAGTAGCATGGACCATTAACTAAAATTCTAACTCATCAACAGTGGATAATGGCACGGCTGACAACAAGCAATCTAAGGCAGGTGAGTTAATGAGAAGTGATATATTGCAATTATTTCTAACAAACAAATGCAAGGTTAATGTCAACATAAGACATATTCTTTGACTTATTTCCCAATTCACCGAGACAGTGCATTAAACCATGTTCAGATGTACAGCCAAAGTGTGAATTGAGTTCCACAAAGAAGTTTGAAATGACATTATAGGCCAGATCAAGTCATTTTTTTGTTAAAACACCTGTTTGTTTTCATTTTCATTTTATTGGAAACTTTCTTTGAAATTTCCTTCTTAAAGGAAATTAACCTCAATCATTCCTAACACCATTACTAATTTGACCTTTCGGAATACTGACCCAACAAATCTGTTAAACAGGCAAATACATGAAGAGTTGCAACATATTTACCTATCTGCAAAGTTTTACATGATTACCAGACTGCCAAGTATGAGTCTGTTTCCAACCTGTGCCAAGCTTAATCAGCCCTAATACCATTGTTAACTTTCCCCACTGCCTCCTGGAGTACTGAGCAAAACTCTGTAAGACAAGGAAATACACTGATGTGACCAAATGATGGCTTTACCTCTATGTAGACGTAGTCATAGTTCTGCTTGGCCAGGTTGATGAAGACAGCAAACAGGGACAGGACAGGGTCCTTGACGAAGAAGAGGCACTCTGACCACACAACCATAAAGGAAAAGACCATCAGGGCAATGGCCGTTATCATCATCACCCACGGACGGACTCGGCACTTCCAGTACCACTCTGCAACAGACACACAAGCACTGCTTCCTACAGTTTCCACCTGGACTGTGTCGCCTCAGAAAGTCTGTTTTGAATTACCTGTTACACTTAAGTGAATCAGAATATGTATGCTAGGTTGGTTGGTTTGTTGTTTGAGGCCGCACTCAGCAAAATTCCAGCTATATGACGGTGGTCTGTAAATAATCGAGTCTGAACCAGACAATCCAGTGATTAATATCATGAGCATCGATTAACGCAATTGGGACCAATGACATGCATCAACCAAGTCAGCTAGCCTGACCACCTGATCCCGTTAGTCGCCTCCTACAACAAGCCTTGTCGCCTTTTACGGCAAGCATGGGCTGCTGAAGACCTATTCTACCCCGGATCTTCACGGGTCTGTTAAAGAATGTCACTATCAACCTAAATGGATGTTCTAAGGCAACCGTTCAACATTTGGATAGAAATCTAAACTATTTGAACTTAGGGGTGGGACTCCTAAGGTCTGCAAGTTTTCCTTCCAGCAACTTTTCATTGTTTTAAGAGATAGAGTCAAAGGTAGACACAATTTTATGGATAACAACTTCTTTAATACTGTAAAAAGCTATATCATACTGTTATCCATAAAATTGTGTCTACCTTGTCATCCGTCAAATTCTAAGTTAATGCCTATCAAACAATTCAGCTAAAGTCAACACAAAAATTTGAATCATCATGTATTTGTGTGAAAATGAACAGCTACACTATCATAGGTACAACAAGTAGAAAATTGTGCCAGTTGATCACATTTCATCTTCCCGAGGCAAGAGAGTTAACTGACTATAAAAGTCCAGTTTCCACCCTTGCCGAACTAGGCTGGTATTATGGAGTTACCTTTTGGCTGGACTAACGCGTCTATGCATAGTCAAATCAAAATCGTGCACCGAAATCAAAATCCGGTTCGTAAGATTTGCAAAACATGTGCACCGCTAACTCATTGTCAACAGATATTTTCTAAATCTTTTTATGTTTTTAATCAAGGTGCTCACGTGATTTGATGAACTTCGCGATGTAAGACTCGTTTTATCACAATATAGACATTGATTATCGATCAGATCTTCTTGACTGGGCGCCACCGTTTTGTTTGAAGCAAATGCAAGTGATACGAGAGGTTGAATCTGATTGGTCAATAGGAGAGGCATAGAAAGGACATAACTCGTAATAGCCACTGGTGGCGCTACGATCGAGCCCAGGAATTCCAGCCTAGTTCGGCAAGGGTGGAAACTGGACTTTTAAAGTCAGTTTACTCTCTTGCCTTGGGAAGATGATCACATTTATGCTACAATGATTTTTTCTTATTGAAAGTCTCTTCTAGGGTGTCGCCAGTAAGTTTAAGAGGCTGAAGGGGAATGAATCATTTTAACTGACATTGCACTTTTGAAAAGTTTACTAACAAGGCAGGGAAATCCTAATTACAGATGTGATCAGTTTGGTGGAATCAGCATTAGTTCAAAATAACAAGGAAATGAAATTAGGAGCATCCAAGTTCAAGATTGATGACGTCTTGGTGATAGTATCCGAATCTAACATCACAAACTGTGATATCAGGATTCACAGAAAATAGATTGACACAAGTGCATATCACATTAGGAGGAAATATAGCTATTGGTCAACAACATGTCTTTGTTGATTCACTGCTGTTTGAACAGGTACATGTCGGACAAAGTCACTTGCCTAAGGAGATACCACATGTCCTACATGTGCATGTGCATGTTTCATTTCATTACATTTCAGTGTTTAGTTTGTCATGGTGCAAGGTCAAAGGGAGGAAACTCCCATCCCGCTAACAATGGAGGTGGAATGTGGCAAGTATGTTGCAGAACATCAGTAACAGAGGCACGCCAGAAGCATCACCATCTCCCAGCCAAGGAGATAATTCAGAGTGACAAACTATAGACACTCTGGCTGGCCCCCACAAACATTTTTTTACTTTGTTTCCCCTTCTCCACCCTATGAGCTGTGTGCTACTCTTTTTACAAGCATCTGCCTGAACTCAGAATCCAGCAATCTGGGAACATGCTCGTACCTACAGTGGGGGTGTACAGACCCCTCAGAAGACCCTTATACTGGCCATACACCCGATGGAAGCGTTTGTCAGTGCTGCTCTCATTCGTCTGACAGTCCTCCAGATCCAACACCTTTTCAATCAGGTTGTTCCATTGGATCTGGGTACGTTTGTTGATTTGGGAACAGCGAATCACTTTCTGATGAAGGCGAACCAGGGACTTCTCTGTGATCGAGTCCACAGTTTTATCAAAATCCTCATAATCATCCATGTTCGGCTGCATTGATTTCTGTATATGATCTGGACACTGCAAACAAGCCGAGAAGTCATCACTAATGATATCAAAACTAAGAGAAAAATGCTTCCTTGCAGACAGATCTTAATCATGTCACCATAAACTCAGGAAATAAACTATGAGAATTAAACACAGAAGGTGAAACATTGAGCAAGTTGGATTTCGGTTATTTCACGGCTTGTTAGCTTAACAAGGTGGGAAGAGGTCATAGCCATTTACCACAAAGAATAATCTGAGATTAAATCCCACGATCAGCAAATCCTGACATGTCAAAGGGACACAACTCTGCACAGTGAATCGTAGTATCTTAGAACACTTGTCCATACTCCATGACAAGAGTGAATGTTGATTTCTTAGCAGTGTTATAGCTATCTCATCATGGAATGAAAAGCAAGCATGTGAGCCAGTTATACCATGTTGAAGGTGTGAGCAATGAACCATAGGCGTTACCTCAACAACTCCTATACTCTCACATAGTCTTGTGCAGGTAGGACCTGGCCATAGCTAAGAGTTTATGCTTCTTGGCCTAAACCCATGTACTATAATCAGCATCCACTCTGACTATCTACTCCAAGTCTAATCTTAGTTTTACAACAAGCACACTGGGAACCTGTTCTGGCCTTGGACATGTTTGTTTGTTTGTTAAACACAGCACTCAGTATTATTCCAGCTGTATGACAGCGGGCTGTAAATAATCGTGTCTGGACCAGACAATACAGTGATTGACATCATGACCATCGATCTATGCAATTGGGATACAATAACATGCATCACCCAAGTCAGCGAACCTGACTTCCCGTTAGTCGCCTCTTACAAGCATAGTTGCCTTTTACAGCAAGCATGGGTTGCTGAAGACCTATTCTATCCCGGATCTTCACAGGCTCAAGCTTGAGATATAAATATTCCAAAACCTCATCCCAATTTCTTGCTTAACAAGAGTCCCCCCTCGATCTGGTGCAATTCAGAAATTTGGCTACTTATATCCCACTTTTGATTTATTTCCATTCGATACCTTTAGTTCAGTGAAGAAAAGTATAATCCTGTTCAGTAGTTTTCAACATACCAAATTATTAAAGTCCAACTTGTCATCATGAAAACATGAACATTTATTTTTTAAAATCGATCGATATAAATCACATCACATCTTCTAAGATGTTAGTGTTTCAATGTCATGTGAAAGGATCTAAGTATTGGTAAAGAGCTTTAAGAACATATGTACATAAGGCCTGAAGTAAAATAAAAACACTTACCTTAGAGAGAATAGTCTCCATGTTTTTGCTCATCGGATGGTTGTACCTAATTCTGTCAGCATATCTTTTGATCTCCTGCACAATAACGTGATGTGTGTCAACAATTTAAGAAACATTGTAGAGGTCAATGAGGAAGACATCAACTGGTTATATATCAACTGATAACTTTATCATACAAATATGTTTAACATGTCTAACCACAGACAAGGGAATCCAACAAACGAGTCATCCCTTCTAGAACAATTCCTCATTCCAGCATCAATCTCATTAAAATCAGATCTAAGTTCTCGCTGCTGCTAAACAAAGATCTGAGGACATCCCATTACAGGTCACGTCAGAACGACCTTTCTCGAACTTTGACAGACCACTGAAATGACTAACAAGAAGTCGACATCAGCCAATTAGAAAGCAGCTTTCTCGAGCTTTACGGCACTCATTTCAACCTGGTGACTTCCATTTCAGACTACGCTTGAAACATATGTTGACACAGTTCTCAATTAAAATTTTGAAAACTGAACAAACGAACATTCCGGAATGTTTTATATATGGTTGAGATTGTATAGCAGTGCTTCCCACTTACTGTGCAATGCCTCCTCCGTTCAAATGTTTATCCCACAGAAGCGAGAGATAGACGATAATTTTGACAGAATCAGTTGTACGGGCCGTTACTGTCGTTCGGAATACCCAGTGTTAACATTTTCGAGGTTTCATGATCAGAAACACATTCCAACTGTCACTTTCATGAACTGGTAAGCGACACTTTGATTGGTGGGATGAAAAGTCGTTCTGACGAGACCCGTAATGGGATGTCCTCAGATCTTTGTTTAGCAATAGCGAGAACTAAGATATGATTTTAATGAGATTGTTCCAGCATGGAAATATACCAAGACATGGGTCCAGGGCTGAAAATGAAAAATGTTTTGTTAAGTTTATTTCTTGGGTTAATAAATTCACATAAACTACTATAGGGATTTTGGAACCATGGTAGAAATCCACATTAAATTCAAACATATAACAACACCTAAAGACATCCACTGTTAATTAACACTTACATCAGCACATTGTATTTTTGACAAAATGAGGGAGACTATGCTCATTGTGTCCAATGTAGGTCTAGATGTTGTAGTTTTTGTGCTTTAGGTGACACAAGCCACTGTCTCGGTTCGAATTGGGTAATCATAAAATGATGATATACATAATAAAATTTGTGTTACCAGACAAAGTGGTGTTTGGGTGACTTCAGGCAGCAAAAGAACCCTTGGCCTCTAGCATGCTGGGAAAATGTCAGGAAGGACCATATTCTTAAGCAATGGTACACGTCACAGCTCTCAGAATGAATGACTGTTGTTATACGCCACTGTCTGCAATATTCCAGCCATATTCTGGCAGCCTGTATACAGTCTGGCCCTGTTTTGGACAGATGTCTGTGTTGTGCTCGAAATGTTTAAAGTTCAATAATATTTCAATATTTCATGAAACAGATTCTATAGTAAACTACACACCTCTAGAATATCTTCAAGAGATTCTTCGGCCTCTGACTTGTCAGTGCTGAGTTTGGCAATCTTAAAGTAAGTTCGGGAGAGTTGGTAGCCTCTCTTTGAGCTGTTCCAGAAATTGCGTGGAACCTCCACCAGTCCGTAACCCAGCATGAGCACCAGGACAAACAAACCCCACGTGTTGCTGGCCGTGGCGCCGATCACCTTCAACTTCTCACTGTCGACCAAACACAACAGTGATCATCTTACATTCCACATCGTTCATAGATGATGAACATAATTAAAGTCCATGATGCAGTTGATTTTCTTCTCTTCATTTATCATGCAAGAATTATCTAGGATTTCAGCTTTGCGCCATTTGTAAGCATATATACTAACCAAAATTGGGAATCTTTCGATATAAATTCAGAGCTATTCTACCATTTCATTTGATGCAATGATCATGCAAAACAAAGCCTTTTCTCTTTATTGGTCCTGTTATCAGTGATATCAATACAAGTTAATGTTTCAAAATTTAACACTTACATTCAAATATAAATGTCATAACCTGAATTGAGAAAAACTTAATTCAAATTATGGAATTTCTACTGACATATTGCTGAGACCTTGGTTTGAATAAGAACCAGTGAGAACACCTATGCAAATTCCTTATCATATCTGAAGTATTTCTCTTTTCTAGAACTTCATAAATTCTGTTCAGTTATCAATAGTTTAAAGCTGACACTTTGCCTAGGTTTCTACGTACATTTTCCAGTATGATTATTAGTAATAGACAAAAAAAAAAAAAAAGTAAATATTGGCAAGAAAAATGCTTGTTTCTCCAAAACAGTCCACATAGGTAAAACATCCCATTTGACAGCATCATATTTCTGATTTAGGAAGCCAGCCTGTTCTTCCATATTCAACAAAATGAAAGGCACTATGCTTACATTTCAAGTAATCCCCGAAATTGTTTTGTTGTCTTTGTTAGAGGATTTGACAAATTACTCACGCATCAATGTCAATGTCCGGCCTGATGGCCACGTAGATAAGACAGACTCCGAAGATGAGGAGGTAGGTGCCGTAGTAGATGGCGTTGGCGATGAGAGCCGACTTGATCTTCCCCAAGACTGTGAAGTCTCCAGCGTTGGAGTAGGACTGCATCATGGGTAGGATGAGCCTGAAGCACACGAGATCCCCAGGGAAAAAGTGTTCAACATTACCGTTATGTATAAAGGTCACTGAACCAAATGTTAAAAGTTCAAGATTTTGAGGTTCCCTACACTTAAATACTATAGCAGCCAACTTTAATAACCCTATTATGACATTCGAATTTTCTTTCACCCCAGTATATAGTTGCATTATTGTAACACTTGCAGTGACATAGCTAAATATTGCAACACTCACCCCGTGAGTGAGTGAGATTATTGCACTTATATAGCGATGTGCATGCACGTGTATGTGTGTGTGTGGCTGCTTGTACTAGTCCGGACTGATGCCGATTTATAGTGCTAGCTCACTGAGATACCATGCCGCAGTTTAACATGAATACCCCACTCAGACACAGTATACTGACTCCGAGCCGACCAGTCCTTGTTTTAGCCCCTTAATGCCGAGCGCCAGACAGGGTAACAACAAGTACAATCTTTAAACGTCTTTTTGTATGACGCGGCCCGGGATCGAACCCTGGACCTTCCGCTCTCCGGGCGGACGCTCTACCACAAGACCACGGAGGCGGTCGAGCGAGTGAGTGAGTGAGTGAGTGAGTGAGTGAGTGAGTGAGTGAGTGAGTGAGTGAGTGAGTGAGTGAGTGAGTGAGTGAGTGAGTGAGTGAGTGAGTGAGTGGTTTTAACGCCGCTTTTAACAGTGATCCAGTTATATCGCGGTGTGTCAGCTTAATATGGCGGAAAGCTCGAAGTGATGCAAGTTTCAGACGTTTACCACTTCAGTGAAACCCACGAGCACGGGTATGGTGCTGACAAACCTGGGAACATAATCGGGGCGAACCAGGATTCGAACCCCAATCATAGGTTTCTGGCGTGAACAGGGGACACAACTCTGCAAAGCGTATTACAGCGCCTTAGATGACTGGGCCACCCATGCCCCCTACTCACCCCATGATATAGCTGCAATATTGCAACACTCACCCCATGATATAGCTGCAATATTGCAACACTTGCAGTGATATAGCTGCAATATTGCAACACACACCCCATGATATAGCTGCAATACTGCAACAATTGCAGTGATATAGCTGCAATATTGCAACACACCCCATGATATTGCTGCAATATTGCAACACTTGCAGTGATATAGCTGCAATATTGCAACACTCACCCCATGATATTGCTGCAATATTGCAACACTTGCAGTGATATAGCTGCAATATTGCAACACTTGCAGTGATATTGCTGCAATATTGCAACACACACCCCATGATATAGCTGCAATATTGCAACACTTGCAGTGATATAGCTACAATATTGCAACTCACCCCATGATATTGCTGCAATACTGCAACACTCACCCCATGATATAGCTGCAATATTGCAACACTCACCTATTTCATCAAACACAGCGGGCAACTTGAATCAGGAGTTAAGTGAGTGAGTGAGTGAGTATGGTTTTACGCCGCTTTTAGCAATACTCTAGCAATATCACGGCGGGGGTCACCAGAAATGGGCTTCACACATTGTACCCATGTCGGGAATCGAACCCAGGTCTTCGGCGTGACGAGTGAACGCCTTGACCACTAGGCTACCCGACCGCCCCAGGAGTTAAGTGACACTTTCATTAGTCTATTCACTAATCACTGACATACATAGTTGACGCTTGTCAAGTGGCAAAACAAGGGACTGGGACAAAAGCATCTATTTTCCACTGTATCTGACAAGGGTATTTCCAAGTTGTGTTTATCATTTCCTCGACTTCTAACATCACACTAACACACAGCTATGAAACAACCAACAGCTCTGTCAAGATGATGATACACAGTCAACCAAGTCACCGAGACATTTGTAGTAGTCACTCTTGCAAGCCTAGGTTAATAGGAACCAATTCTATCAAGGAATCCTCACTACTGGACTAACGTCTCCTGGTTATATTTGATGCTCCTACCATGTGAGAACCTGAGATGTCCAGTAAACCACCCGCCACAGAGCTGGGAGAACGTGGTCGGGAACATGGCTGAGTGGCGCCCGACAGTGTACCAGCGGAGGTGTGGATGTCGATGACCCATCTGACAGAGACATATTTGTGCCATTCCCGGAGGCAGTTGTCGCTGCTGTTGCTGTTGTCACTGCCACTGATGTTGTTGACACATTGTTTGTTTCTGTTGTTGTTGTTGTTGTTGTTAACACAGCTGGTGTGTTTTGATGGACACATTGTCGGTAAAACGTCTAAAACAGACACAAAGAAATCATCAAATAATTCTAAAACTAAGCCAGTTGTTACATTCAGCCAAAATAAAAATGCTGCAGTAGACATAATATTGTATTTCTCAGAGGTAGACATTAATGCTAGCCAACCCGGGTTAGTGAGGTTTACAAACAAATGAAGAAACAAATAATGCCTTGTCACCATAGCTCACCTGAATATGTAATCAACATTTGAAAATGTCAACAAAGACTGACACTTGAAAAAAATTGATGTCAGCATCGATACTCAAAAGACTTTTGTTTAGATACTGAAGACTAAAAACTAACACTGAACTCTAATAATTTGAATAAATATGATATCATCATCAGGATAAACATGACACTGTAGCTCACCTGGAGATATAGTCAACAGTTTAAAATGTCAATGTCAGTTAATATCAGTGCCGATGTTCAAATACTTTTCCTTTGTGGTTGTGAAATCCAAAGGTCAAATCAAGGTCAAAATTTTAAATATAACAACTACACATTTACCAAATTTCATTACATTTTGAACAGAAATGGCCAAGTAAGGTAATGTTTTGTTTGTTTGGTTTGTTTGTTGTTTAACGCCGCACTCGGCAATATTCCAGCCATATGATGGTGGTCTGTAAATAATCGAGTCTGGACCAGACAATCCAGTGATTGACATCATGAACATCAATCCACGCAATTGGGATCGATGACATGCATCAACCAAGTCAGTGAGACTGACCACCCGATCCTGTTAGTCGCCTTTTACGACAAGCATAGTCGCCTTTTACGGCAAGCATGGGTTGCTGAAGACCCATTCTACCCCGGATCTTCACAGGTTATGGCTATAAATAGGTGTTTCAATATGTCTTCCTTGGCACCTATATTGAAGATCAGATTCAAACCTCTTTGGGTGTCATCATTGGTGGGAACAAGCATGTGAAGTTTCAGCTTCATTGTAATTTGATCTAGTGCTTTCTGAGGAGAAGACGTTTAGAGCACACGACAGACGAAAAAGAGGCCTCGACTTTCAGTCAGGTGAGCTAAAAACTAGCCCCTGAAGGCTAAGTAAATTTTAAAGAAAAACAAATTTTACCTCTCAGAGAAAAGACCCATTCCCCACCATGTTTTCGTTTTGGAAGTGATGTCACTAGATCCATCCCTCTAATCACTAACTCAGCACATATTTTCTGTCACTCATGAGCTTAAAACAAAACAACCAATCAAAATGCCTCTTTGAGATCATGAGTTGAGCATAGATCTACATTCAAAATCATATTCAAAACAAAGGTGTGGTGTTGAATGGGTCCAGGGTATTTATCATATTAGAATGGAGATATAATACCCTGGAGAATAAAGGAAGTGACCCACTGCCAAGAGTGAGTCTTTGTAACAAAGTGAGTGAGTGAATGAGTGAGATGGGTTTATCGCCGTTTTTAACAGTATTCCAGTTATATCACACTCACAGCGTGTCAGCTTAATGTGGAAAGAAAGCCCGAAGTGATGCAGGTCTCAGAGTTTACCACTTCGAAGAAACCCACCAGCACAGGTATGGTGCTGACAAACCTAGAAACATAATTGGGGTGAACCGGGATTTGAACCCACAATCATAGGTTTCTGGCATGCCCAAGGGACACAACTCTGCACAGCGAATCGCGGCACCTTAGATGACTGACCCACCTGTGTCCCCCTTTGTAACAAAACCAACACTAGTTACATTATAATACTTAGAAGCACTGATAGGAAAGGTACTTACTGATGATACATCCAGTGGTATGATAAATATTATCATGAATGAAAAGTACCAGGCAATGAATGTTGCCAAGGTGACCAACACATGCTGTTTTCTCAGGTCACCATAGCGATGAAGCACAAATGCTGCAAGCAGACATGTGCAGATAATCTCCACCACCAGAGGGCCTGCACTCATTGTGGTAGTGGGTTCCACTCAACTCATTCTGTGATGAATCTGAAAATGCATTAATAATCGTTATACGCAATAAAGAACCAGTAATATACCAAAGTGATACACTGGCAATTGTGTTTACTATCAACATATATAGTAGATATAGTAATTAAAAACAAAGATATTAGAATATATTTTTCCTGGTACAATAATACTTTCACATTTCATCTCTTCCAATCACTGCATGAACATTCTGTTGAGTCATAATATTGGTTACTGTTTTACAGATCACGAGAGACAATTCCAAGTAATAATCTTAATCTCTGTATATAAAAAATGTCTAGCGTACAGGGTGCAATTTCCCAATCACAAGACTGCACTGGTTCACTAAGTTCATAAGCAGACTGCTGCCTGCAGTTGGTAAAATAATATTCCACAAACAGGCTAATAAATTTCACTACTTTCAAATTTATACTACATATACAAAATCTGAACATATTGAAATAGAATTACTTTCATTTCGCACAAAATTTATGTTTACATCCCGTTTGTGTACACTAGAGATCACCAATCTTCTCAATATACATGCTTAATGTTCTATTAAGGCATGTGGTGCAGCTTGTTTCATACATGTGCATAGTACTGCATACCAGTGAACCAGCACACCAAAATGGCTCATCTCGTAAAAAAAAACAACTGTTATTCAATGGTACCAGTGCAATATCACATGGAAAACAAAGACAAGTTTCCTCGCATCCTACTCATTTCATATTCATTATCCTTTTGACTACAGTGATACACATAAATACATAAATCTACACAAATGTGTTTATAATTATGAATATACATTCACACACATGCACACATATGTACACGCATTCACATCTGTTAATATCAGTTCTGATATTAACTCATAATAAAATATCTATTGTCTGTTGGCATACAAACACATTTTGTATACAGTCATGACGATCTATAACTAGACATTCAGACATATACATAATCAAATACCCATATACACTCAGGCACAGGGAAACAACATTCATTTATTCATATTCATTGTAAACATTGATTCTTTCTAGATAGCCTTATGCCACACAGGCTGATGCATCCCTCCATAGCATTGGTGCCTATTTGTCACATGACAAAGCTTCTTGGCTCTCTCACACTTGCGGAGTACAAAGACACATGATCTCAGTCATCACAATGCATGTGAAATCCCTAACTGGTCCTTCGTTTTCTTCCAGAAAGGGGGAAATTTGACCAGCACATGAACAAATATTGAGAATACACTGATTCAATGCTTGTAGTGTATATATCTTACAGTCAATGCATAAAATCAGTCAACGTGTAAAATGTGATTCACTTAGGCAATTTACAAAATGCATAACTTTTTCAGTCATTTACAATAATTGACTGAAAAATCTGTCCATTTATGTGACAGATTAGCTGAAAATTATTAAGAAGTTCAAAAGGGCTTAAAGGGACAGGACGTCGACCGTGCTGAAGCTTTGTTTGTAACACAGTAGCCGAAAGCCCCGAGCTACTCTTATTCCGTTTCTGCTCCAGTGACCACACTGGCGTAGGCTTATCATGTGACCAGATTTTTTCTCTGGTTTGAAAACAAATGCACTTATCCTGAAAAAAGAACAGACAGGCCTAATGCTAGCCTTTCGGTGCACTATATATACTGTTTTGCATAATCATATAGATATACTACTACAGCTCCAAACGTGAGGTTCATGACAAAATAGCTTTACACATCAAAGTGACCATATCAGATGGCTGCAAGGAACCCTGGATAGGAGAGTGATTGGCTTAAAATGACCAAGACATATTTATATGGTAATCTAGGCTTTGATAGACACTGGCTTCTAACAAAAATTAATCAAGTTGTCAATTAGTATTTTATAACTCAGCCGAAAAAACATAGAAGCTTTTTCTCCAGCCTGTTGACTCTGCACAGCGCTTCTTTTGTTGGCTTCACAGTGCGGAGCTCTATTGCTTTGGTTTGACAAATGAAACAGGTATGTAACGTCACACTTGGAAATTAATTCATGCATGATTTAAAAACACACAGAACCGACGACATACTGTCCCTTTAAAAACATCACAACAGACTAATTATGAGAGGATTAGAAGCCAGAAACATATAGAGTATATATCCCTGTGTTATGGGTTTTCGGACACTTAAGAAACATTCATAGTTTTCTCTCTAATCACATGAACAACTGTAAAACATCTCATTCACTTATAAAAGACAATTTTCTCTTAAAAAAAAGCCATCATCTGAGTATTTACAATGTCTGTGTGATTCTCCATCCCCGTTACCGCATGAGTAATCGCAATAAACATGATTGTCCGAAAACGTATGATGTCTGAAAAACTATGATCCAATCTTGGGGTATCGCAGTACTTGTTATGTACGCTAAATGAACAAAATGCACTCACTAACCATTATAATTATTCATGTTCGCTATATCAGATGTCATATATACTAAATATGCATATTTTACTGATAAAAGTTCATTATTTACATGAGTCATGCCGGTTGAAAGCCACTAAGTAGACAAGGGGGAGAACTCCAGTGTATCACGGTACAGGGAAAAGTTGTGTATGAAAATCCAAATTAGACAAAAACAGGACATAATTCTACCTACCACTAAACATGAAGATGCCAGACCTCAATGATTTATCAGACAAGTGCAACGACAGCACAAGTAAAATTCAGTATGTGTATTAACTAATAGGTAACCAATGCATATTTACCAAAAAGTAAGAAAAAAATATTTTAACACCGGCGAGACAATGTCCAGTGACGTCAGGGGTCATCGAGTATGCATAAGGTCCTCCCAGTGATCTATCATCTCTACACGCAATGTCATTGAATACGCCCTGCGGTGTTGAGAGTTTTGAGTATTTGTTTACTAATTATAGCCTGCGGTGGCACATTTTAGAGCAAGTGCTAGTTTACGAAAGCACTTTTATTTATTTTTTATTTCGTTTTTCTCGTAATTGAAGTGGATAAAATGGTTATAAATGGGAACTAATATACATAAATTATTTTTTCGGTTCACTTAACCCTTGGATCCCCTTTACGATCAATCACCCCTTTACGATCATTAGGGTTAGGTACTCGTTTAGTGGCTATTATCATGATTATAGATTATATAGCGGCTCCTAATATTCTTCACACAAAAACGTCGAGTAAAAAGGATAATTGGTTTTGTGTCGAATATTTTGGCTACTGGAAACTGTCCTGGAACATTCACACAAGCCACTTTCACCGTCTACATTTTTTCAGTACTGATTCAAAAGCGAACTCACCGTTGTGTTGTCACTAGTCATGCTTATTCCTCCATTGCTTCTTACTATTATCCACATCATCCTTACAGTATTCCCTACCACACTTTTCTGTCACAAAAAATCACCCGACGAATTATTAAATACCATATCATTCATGCGTACTCGCGAGTTCGACGTCTGACGTCTGACACCTGGAGCCGTTTTCAGTTCACGGCATATCGGCTCATTCCCCACCACTCGGTATCTTGTAGATTACGGAATGGGACGAGTGTGCCAAATGGCATCGGGATCATTGGTAAGTGTCCGTAGACTAAAGTCGCAAGACACCATGCCTACCCGTAACCTTCGTAAGTGTCTGTCACCTATTCGACCCTTTTCGTTCAGTTCCGTAACGTCATAGGCATGACTAGGTAAATTTGCACTAAGTTTAACAGTGTGGACGTAGCTCAGTCGGTTAGCTGTCAGGCTAACAATCCGAAGGTCACGGGTTCGAGTCCGACGGATTCTCACAATAAACTGGTTGCTTGTCTTGAGACATGTGACCTACGGCAGAGATCGTCCTCACGAGAAGTTGTGGTACTGTATTCTAAAGGTGCTCCTTATAAATATATAACAAGCACTCCTAATATGCCAACAGTATGCATTTATCATTTGGCTACCAGTGAAGAACATACTGCTAAGTAAGATCATATGAGCTCCTAATAGATTCTGGCCACTTAGCGCGAAAAATGTGTGGACTACCTAACTTTCGTTACCATATTATAACGTTGTATATTGATAGATTGGGGGAAGGCAATATTAGCCAATTTTAAAAAAGAAGCCAGAAGTAGTATCAACTTATTAATAAATGCTTACTTACAGTAGACGGAACAATCCGAGGAAATAGAAATTGTTTATGAAGCGAACACTTCCTGGTTACTGATTTGCATTAGTAGACAGCCGCTTGGATGCGTGTCACCCGTAAACTACCGGAAATCACAAATGCTGTGATACGATCAATGCCGATGTACCACAGGGTTTGTTTTCTTTTAATCCTATCAATTTCAATAACTAGGTGACGAAGAATAACATCAAAATTTTTGGAATTCGTTATCATAATGAATAAATGGACAGAATCTTCAGCCAATTTGTAAAATGACTAAAATATTCAGGCGATTTGTAAATTGCCTAAATGAAATTTCAGTCAATTTACACATTGACTGGAACATATAACCATAAAGAAATTATCAATTCATGGACATTATTTATGTACAAGTCATTCAGTATAACGTCTCGCCAATGTTTTGCCAATTTCTTGCTGGTTATTTTTAACAGCGTAATTAACGGTTACCCAGGGAACATAACATGAAGATTGACATTTCTATTTACCTATTTTTAACACTGGTGACATGTCAATTGTCACCTGCTGTTTCCATCTTATTCACGTAAATTTAATCATAAGATACTAAATATGATCATTATTAAATAAATCTTCAGAAAACATATTTACGCGGACATAGAAAGTCCCTAGAAGCAGCATACAACCATACCTGACAATGATTTGGTTTTCTAAACGAAGCTGTCTGCAACATGTAAATGGTTACGTCAATGACTCATGGAGTTGTCTCCCTTGATGATATTATTTTCTAAGCAACAGCTTGGTATATCACATGCCACTGACATTTGTGCAAGAAACAAATTCAGAAAACTTGCCTTTTTCAATAAAATAAACCTTTTAACCGTACAATTTTTAAAGATTTTACTGTAAAAAGTCCATGATTATACAAACTGTTATTTTCAAATGGATAATATTTATTTACTGACATTTGAAGTGTTCACGAAGATAATATTCATGTCAATAAAATGACGGAATATATGGGTCTCAAGAGAATAGCGTGATGATACTCATGTGTCTTCTAATGTGCAAAATGTTCTTTCTCCATCATAAGATCATTTCCATGATGTTATAATTGCATATCCACGTTATTTAAACGGTGCAACATACACAATATCGACTCGCTTCTATAGTTACTATTAAAAGTTGGCACGGTATTCGAAACGAGATTCTCGTTAATGTCTAATTTCTGTGATGAGCGTGCATATGTCGCCGGGAAAGAAAAAACGGAATAGCCTCTTTTAAAAAAGTCGTGAAAATGATTTTTAAGAAATGATTATAATAATCAAATATGAATTCACTTTATTTGACATTATTTGGTTGTTGTTATAAGTGTTACTATAACCTCAAAGAAATGTGGAAGAATAAATGAATTAATTATTATATCTGTAAATGCCAGTGCTAATATAATTGTTTGAAAGATAAAATTATTCTAAACAGTTTCTTGTTAACTGACTGGCTCAGTAATTGGTTTTGATCAATGTAAGCAGCCTATTGGTCGTTTCGATTTCAGAAAGAAATTTTTCTGTATCTAAACATAAATATATAATTTCGATATTAGGGTTTATGCGGCGGTTTTGTTTTGGTCAAGCTATTTCCACATTGCTTTACGATCGTTGTTGCTGAAATAACGAAAAGTACCCCTTTTATGTTGTAGAGTATTTAAAGTGTGAAATAGTTAACACATAGTCAGAGAGACAGGGCCTAGGGCCGAAGCCATGTCTTCTTCCATCATACATGCCGAATTTCTGCCTTCAGACTCGCTGTTCATTTCAAATATAAAAGTCCATATGATCAAATAAGAAAACTAGTTACCATCACACTAAAAACATGCAAGATCTGATTTCTATATAGTCGATGTTAGAAAACATATTCCATCTGATCTTGTACCGTTGTATGATCATCTAGCTTGGTAAAAAGATCGAACGACTGTTTTCTAAACTAAATTATTTGTTTTCAGGCATTGGTGTAAACAAAGCAAACTTATGGTTACCTGACATATTCGACCTTGCTCCGTTTGTTTTCGCATTGTGTTTCTACTTTTGTACAATATGTCCGGATAAAAGATTCCAGGTTCTTTGTTACTTCCTGTAGACGGAGCTTTACTTCCGCTTCCAAGGAGGCAAATTTCACAAATTATGATTACTGTTGCACACTGACTAGTTATCGAAATGTCTTTTATGACGGCAGGAAATTACCAGTTTAGCAAGAAAACAGCAGCAACAATTCTAAATCTTGTAAGTTATCGACATCGAGCGTGTAGCAGGTTCCCACAGCTTTTAACAGTTGACAGTAGTTAGAATGCATGTTCAAACAGGTAATAGGCTGACGAGCAGAAAATAGGGATCTTAGTTTGAAAAAAACAAGTGCATTGTTCCTCCTTGTCTGTCGGATGTGTCTGAGGTGTTATTAATGTTTAAACAAGTTACCACAGTTTTATTCGTTAAAAGTGTTTCAAAAACAAAGATCTTGAATGAAAGAGCCTGTTTCAATTAGTGATCAGTTGGCATGTTGGCTGTGAAAAATGCTCCGTGGAATGTTTCTACCAGCACCCTCTTATCCATCTTTTTTGCAAGAAGAAAGGATGGATTAATTTTGTTATGTCTTGTAATTTATTTTCGAAAGTTTAATTTTATGTCTCAAGTTTGCTGAAAATTCTTTTTTTTAATTAAATTCGAGACATAAAATACATCGACTTCATCATGTTCATAGTATCACAAGTTGTGCTTTAAATATTCATCAAGTAATACTTACCTGATGATAAGTATTACTTGTTATACTATAATTATATGAAATGATGTATAAATAATACACCATGATAACTCCTAAAAACACTTGATGTGGAACTAATTATTATAGGATAACTTAGTATAAATGTTATACCATGATGGCATGATCAAAACTGGCCCCAGTCTAACAAACTTTCATGTCTTTTTATCATCTTTATGTCCTTTCATTCATCTCTTTTGTTGTTTCAGGTATTATTTCTGATAGTTGCACTAGCCTGGACCTATGTGATCATTGCAGGACGGCATGCATCAATTCAGTACTTGAGACAGTTGAGGTGAAATGTGAACAAGCCATCAGAAAGCATGGAAGTGATTAACGAGAGCAAGTCTATGCTCAGTAACTTTGAGGTTCTGAGTTTACTTACAGACATTCAAACTGGCAAAGGACAGCGCAAGCCCAACAAGCACCAGCAGAATCTGGCAACAATAACATACGAAGCAGTGAAATATTTAGAAGGGACACCATGTAAACTTCAAGATTCTGAAAGTATTCAGAAGTTCATGGACGCCATAAAGCCCTATAAATTAACAAGAGCTGAAAAGCTTCAGTTGCTTAATCACCGTCCATCAACAGCCGTTGAGATTCAGATTATGATAGAAGAAAGTGAGGAGAGATTGACGGAGGACCAGATCTATGAATTGTTAGACCTTCTTTCCAAATATCTGCCGGTTGACAAAGAGGAAGAAATGGAGCAGGATGAAGAAGATGGGGAGGGAGAAGGGGAAGAAGAAGAAGAAAGTTAGCGATGGGAGGGTTTAGGTTCGAACACTGCTTTTAACATTGCTGGTGTAGATATTTATAACTTAGTAGTTTTAAGTACGTTCATGAAATACACTGTATCTATGTAGATTGTGTGATTTTCTTACAAAATGATTATTTATTGATAAAGAAGTACAGTTGTCACCCCAAAGCTGGAATAGTTAAAGTCAAGTGGATACGCAATGGTTGAAATAGCAGTAATTATTACGTAGTTTCCCATCATCACTGTGCAGGTTCAAGCTTATTTTTGAAACAGTCTGTCTGTGATGTTATTTCCTAAACCTAGCAATTTATCGACTTTGTCTTAAAATGAACGTTTCTGAAACTATAGTTTCTGTATCAAATTTTGTTACCATGGTAAACATTAGTATTATTTTCCAGTTTGCCAGTTTATGATTTAATCATCATTATCAATTATGAAAATTTTTACAAATGACTTTTAGTGTTATCCAAATGTTGATGTTGAGTTTTAAGACTTTGTCACATGTTATTTAGAAAGTGTTATGAGTTTTGAGGAAAGCAGTACATATCATATATATTCAGTCATCGTCAGGCATCAGGCTCATTCCAGGGCTAGGAATCTACTATAAATCCTTAACTAAAAACTAAATGTGTGTATTTCAGCAGTTCCCCAGGCTGTATTTGTTCAAGGCAGACCTGTTCACAGTGTCCAAATTCAGTCTCATTTAAATCAGATCTTTTACTCCTCCCTGCATGAAGATCTGACAAAAGCTCTCAGTAGGAGGTTGCTTCAGGTGAATTTTCTCATCAGCAACTTTGCATTGAGGTTTCTAATTTCTCAGAGTGAGCGAAGCTGCATCATGCTACTTTGTGGATGTTTTTTTACCCACACATCCTTTATTTTGATTAGCTGTAGGGGGTGGAGATCAAAGTTCGCTAAATATTCACCTGGCAAGACCTATTGATGGTTGTCAGATCTTTATGCAGAGAGGTATCCCACTGAAGTAAAAGACCTGATTTTAATGAGATTTGGTCCAAGTTAGCGTGACAGTTTCTCGTTAATTTATCATTGAGTAGTAGTAAGATGTGGACTGTTTGTTTGATCGCTATAAGCTCTGCTTCCAATTATTATTGAAGGAAGATATCCAAGGCACACATTTAAAACAAATTTATGTTCTTGTTTTATGAACTTTCTTGGTCAGAATACCTGCTTTGATATTGATGGAATATTGCTAAAAGCGGCGTAAAACCATACACACTCACTCGCTTGGTCAGAATGCCAAGAGGTAGGTGGCAAAGTGAAACAAATGTATACATGTTTTCAAGATGTTGTCAGGGATCTTTTTCGATAAATTTTCCCCAATAAAACTTCTTGCAATAGATATTTACTCTATTTGCAAATGAATTTGCAATAAGTTCTGTATACAGTATTCAGAACACTATACCAGTTTACTCAAACTTGCCGTTCAAGGCTACAAGAATTTGAATTGTTCAACAACTTCCTAAACCCAACTCCGACCAGACTGAATTTGTGAGAATGCATTTATCAATGTGTTTGATTTAAGATAGACAGAAAGCATGATAAGCATTAAACTTTAATGTGATCTAATAGAAACATGATTGTTAAACCAGTTTTATAAGACTTAATGTTAGGGTAATTTGATAGTAGCTGAAATTGCTGTCTAAGAAGAAATGTTTGAAGTTGATGTAATTGTCATGCTTGATTCATTGCTCATTGTTTCCAAGTTCATTGATTTGTATTTTCATTAAATGCATAAATTTGGATATTTGTTGTCTCCTGTTGTGCCCCTTTGTCGATTCATAGTCTTATTACCACAGTATGTGTCTGTATTGTGCAGATTGGAAATGCTGACAGTGCCCTCAAATAAGTGGGAAGTCTCGGAAGGCATGACTACTGTGCAGGGGTTAAACATTTCTCAATGACTCCACTGGACTTCCTAGGCAGGTCAATGTCTATCCGCTTGTTCAATGCTCATGATGTCAATCACTGGATTGTCTGGTCTAGACTTGATTATTTTCAGACCGCCATCATGTAGCTGGAACATTGTTGAGTGCGACGCTCAACAACAGACCAATGACTGGCTTTTCTGGTGCCCCAAACTGATATTAACTTGCAGTACATGATTTCCTTCTGCATAGTACCGGTACCAACATACTTCGAGGTTGTTTCATTGACATGCTTAACCCTGAGGGGTCACAGAGTTGCGTCCCATAGACATGCCAGGATCATGGGATGGAAGCTGAAATTCAACCTCATTCAGGACCTTCGTTTGTCAGCACTATACCCCTGCTAGTGGATTTGACCAAAATGTCAAACATGGAAGAACGGCATCACTTAATGCATTCCTGTGGGTAGACTTGTGGTTAAAGTGTTCAATCGTCACGCTCGTCAAGACCCGGGTTCTATTCCCTACATGGGTACAAAGTGTGAAGCCCATTTCCAGTGTCCCCCACCATGATATTGCTGGAATATTGCTAAAAGCAGTGTAAATCCACACTCACTCACTCACTGACCTGACGCAATAGGCTGACTCATGGTGATATCACTGGAATACTGTTCAAAGGTGTCTGAAACATAGCTCACCATTTGGAGGACTTGACAGGATTCTGTATAGCATTGGCGCTTAGTTGCAAATGTTCAGTTTTAACACTATTCTAGTTAAACAGTAAACTCCCTAATCTCTATCAAATATAAGTGATCATGGGTTCGAATGCCAGATTTCCCCTTATTGTGATCTTTGGTTTGTCAGCACTATCCTATTGCTCGTTTATTTCACCAAATTTGGAAAAAGAATACTCCCACATTATGAGTTTACTATTTTGTAGTGTTTAAGCATTGTTGCAATTATCCCACTCATCCACTACATGAACATAATCTACCACCATATCTCATTAAGCAATTTTCGTCAAAATTGTTTTTTGGGGGTGGGGTAACATTGTATACAATATCTCAGCCCCTATGTAATATATTTTTAATTTGTTTTCTGTATAGGATAGTACAATGGTTCAGGCAGATTTTAATACCCAGTTATAGTGGTTTTATTGTCATAATTCAATGGAATTGATGTTTTACCTACTCACACGATTTGAAAATGGAGTGAAAAAATATTATTTTTATCAATGTTTCCACTGAGAATAAGGATAACAGTTAAATGAAACAAAATGATTTCCAAATTCAGATAACCGAACATATTACCTGTAATCAAAGACATAATTTGGATAGTTTTAATGACTCAATAAAAATGTTACAGCCAATTTTGTCTAATTATGCATTCTTCCTTCAATTCATGCAATTTGGACCCCATGAAAATTCACGCACACACACACTTGCAAAGTTACTACCCAATGAAAATTGTGTACAGATACCTCCTTTATGCAATAGAAAAGGTTTAAGATATACAGGAAAATGTGGGTATGAAAATCTTGTTTTTCACCCTTGGCAAACTGACTTTTACGCTGCATACCAGGACATAACAAAGAGTGAGTGAGTGAGTTGGGTTTAACGCCGCTTTTAACAGTATTCCAGTTATATCGCGGCGTGTCAGCTTAATGTGGGAGGAAAGCTCGAAGTGATGCAGGTCTCGGACGTTTACCACTTCGGTGAAACCCACGAGCACGGGAGTAGTTGAGTACAGCAGTCTGGGACCGCTCCTGGCTTCTGATTGGTGGAGAGGGTCACGTGACCTTTGTGACATCACTTCCGGTCACGTGACCTGAGCATGCGCGCAGGGCATGATGGGACCTGCGCGCGCATCCAAGATGGCGGCATCTGTTTCCGGTGGCGCGCGCCTCGAAGAGGGCTCCGTTTCCGGTGGCGTGCGCCTCCAAGATGGCATCGCATCTGTGTCCGGTGGCGTGCGCACCTCTTAGAGGGCGTCGCCTCCGTGTCCGGTGGTGCGTGCACCTCCAAGAGGACGTTGCATCCGTTTCCGGGGAGGAGGAGGGAGGGAAGGGGAAAAAAAACCCAGAGAAGCGGTCGTAAAAGGTGAACAAGAAAAGAGTTTTGTTGTTGTTGTTGTTCTAAACATAGACGTGGTGGTGGTGGTGAAGGGAGGGAGGGAGGAAGGGGGGGAAGGAGGAGGCGGGTTCATGGTTTGGGGGTTTGAGGGTCGTCAAAGCAAATGATGAAAGCGTTCTTTCGGGAGAGATGGGTGGCCCTGAAAAGGGCCGTTTTTAAGAAGATGTGTGTGTGTGTGTGACTACAAACATTGATTTAGTATTGAGATGGATAGAGAAAGATCGATAGACATACGTGACGTTTGCACACGTGATGTACTTCGTGTCGCGATGTGGACGTACTGTGACACATGTTTTCATGTACACGTGATGTTTGACGTGGTGTACTACGTGTCTCTATTTATATATTTATATATATATATATATATATTATTTTGAGACGTACCATGGTGGTGTCACGCGTAGACGTATGCCCCCAAGAGACCTAGGGGAGGGTGTGGGTTCTTTGTTTTGGATTGTTGTTGTTGTTCTAAACATAGACGTGGTGGTGGTGGTGAAGGGAGGGAGGGAGGAAGGGAGGGAAGGAGGAGGCGGGTTCATGGTTTGGGGGTTTGAGGGTCGTCAAAGCAAAGGATGAAAGCGTTCTTTCGGGAGTGATGGGTGGCCCAGAAAAGGGCCGTTTTGAAGAAGATGACTTCTTCACATACAGGTGCACGCAACGGTACAAAGGCACGGGTGGATTGTCATTTGGCGTCTTACAGGACACTTACTGGTGTGCGTTAAACGACGCATGTAGGTATCCTTCAAGATGGTCTTGCAATAAACGCATTGGAAAGTCCCATCCCATGCCCTTGTACCATGGGCGTACACTGGCAGACACCCTTGGCATCTGCCGCATTGCCACGGTGGAGACAATGGTGGTGATGTTATTATCTCAGTAGAAATCGGCTCCAGATCCCAGTTTTCTGATTTCTTTTCCATGTTGTTGCTGCTGATGATGATTTTAAAAAAAAATTTTTTTACAAGTGGCACTGATCCACTCGAATGGTTGTTCTCTTGTTTTATAGGAGAGGCACTGACACCCTGCTTCTCGGTTGGTTCGCCAGACAGCAGCTCAGATTGGTTCGTTTCGGTGCCTGGCCTGCACCTTGGTTTTCCAAAACGGATTTTACCATGGGAGAGAAAGCACAACCCCGGTTCGGCCCTTCAGAGCCCAGCATGGCCAGAGCGCAGCCTCTGATTGGTCGACAACCCAGGCTTCTGATTGGTCAGATTTCGATCCGGTTTTTTTTCTTGGGTAACCTTGGTATTTTTTTAGGTAGACGGTCGTCTGAATGCTAAAGGTGGACCTTCATAGGTAGGCATGAACGTGGGAATGCCTACGTGATGTACGTTGTGTCACTCCCATGCCAATCGGAATGTCATGTGTGTGTGTGTTTGTCTTCAAATAGACGTTGACGTTGATCCATAGAATGATGATGCCATGCCTACGCGATGTACGTCATGTTGCCCGACACACGCGGTGTTTCACGCGTGTTGTCAGGCAAAACGTGGTGACAGGTGTGTGTGTGTGTGTGTGTGTGTCTGTGTGTGTGTGTGTGACAACAAACATTGATTTAGTATTGAGATGAATAGAGAAAGATCGATAGACATACGTGATGTTTGCACACGTGATGTACTTCGTGTCGCGATGTGAACGTCAGGTACTTTGTGTGTTGCCATGCAAACGTAGTGTTATATCAGTGTGTGTCTTCAAATTATTATTATTATTTAATGATACCGAGGTGTTGACACTCGTGTAGGTCTACAGACGTACTGTGACACATGTTTTCATGTACACGTGATGTTTGACGTGGTGTACTACGTGTCTCTATTTATATATTAATATATATATATTTTATTTTGAGACGTACCATGGTGGTGTCACGCGTAGACGTATGCCTCCAAGAGACCAAGGGGAGGGTGTGGGTTCTTTGTTTTGGATTGTTGGGTTGGCAAAGCAAAGGATGAAAGTTGTCTTTTGGGTGAGATGGGTGGCCCTGAAAAGGGCCTTTTTGGGAAGAAAAAACTTTTCTGCTGCTGTCAAAGAAGAATCATCATGTCCAAGCTTATGACAAGACAAGGATCGTAGAAGTGGTACTTGTTGCCATCTGGGTATACCATCTTTGTATACCATCTGGGTGCCCTACGTGGCACCACTTGTGGGTCCAACAAATAAAATAAAATACTTTTTAACAGGAACTTGAACGGGAACTTGAACAGGAACACAGGAAATGGGAAACACCCTCCTAGACAGCCGGACGTGCTACGCCATTCGTGTTCTTCTGATTCACCGTCTCCTCGCAGAGATAGTGTAGCTGTAGCTTCTTCTTGTGTTTCACCAGGCCGGTTAGTCTGAGGTAGTCACAGTGTGGGGACCACCTGTGGTGTTCCACCCAAGGATCGTCGTGGGGCGCCCATCGTCTCAGCCACACCCCACATTGGAAACAGTACACGCCATCGGCACCCCCTGTGAAGGCAAAGCCCGCATGGGCCATCTCTTCAGCAGTCTGATTCATTTGCGTAGGCCACGCCTCAAACGAAGCAAGCCTTCTTTCAAACCGTAGAAAACAGGGCGATGGCGTGTTACTGAGCGGTGACAACGCATCCTCCACATCTGTACTCTTACTCCAACATCCACGAGTATCTGCACTATCCATCACCACATCTCGGTCACGTGTCGTCGTACCACTCTTCTTTGTCTCAGCCATTCTTGCTGCTGCTGCTGCTGCTGCTACTGATGATGATGATTTCTTTTTTATCACAAGTGACACTGATCCACTCGAATCCACTCTTGTTTTATAGGAGAAGAACCGGATAGAAAATCATTCCTTCCTGGTTGGTCCAAAACGCAAAGCACTGATTGGTTCGTTCCAGTGCCTGGCCTGCACCTCTGTTTTCTAAACGACCCGACCCTTGTGTTTCTTTTCCATAGGAAATGGATTTTACCATGGGAGAGAAAGCACAACTCGGCTCGGGTGCTGTCTTCTGATTGGTCGGTGCTGTCTTCTGATTGGTCGACAACCCAGGCTTCGGATTGGTCAGATTTCGATCCTGTTTTGAGGAAGGGTTGTCTATTAATCAGACGTTCAGTCCATCTTAGAGTACAGACGTTCATCAGACACGCATCGCTATCATGACGAGCAACCAAAGTACGCCCTATCGTTTGGAGAGGAAAGATACCACCCGCTCCAGACGATTAAGAACTGCTAATCATATCTATCGTTTGACTTTCAACCCAGACTACTTGGACACCGTACCACCGGAACGCGTTCCCATGGAACTGCCAGCTTTATTTGACAGGGTGATCGATGACTTTTATCAACAGATGTCAGGTCAGAAGGGAGATCATATTGGTCTAGGTATCGATCATCCTGCTTTGAACACCCCCATACGGATTCCCTTTCGTCGCTTTGAAGATCTCCATGGGCCTAAATATTTTGCATGCCGTGGAAAAAGTCCAACAGTCCAACAAAGACCTGAACATCGATGCCACCATGGTTGTGACTTTAGTACACATAGCAGATCCCAACAGGCTAGGATCAGGCAGTGGTCGCCACCGGCTGAAAAACGTGATTGAAGCTTTTTTAACACGCAAACAGGCCATTGTACGGATCAAGAACGAAGATCAATCCTGTTTGGCACGAGGCCCTGGTGGTGGCACAGCATTATGCCCAGAAGCCCCACTCTCTGACCCCAGAATGGTCCGCCCAGCAAAAGTGACTGACGAGAACGGATCGGGTCGACGTTCAAGGCATATGGGCACGGCACTTGGCACGCCTTGGCCTGCCTGAAGGTCCCTGTCAGGGCCTGGACGACCTAGCATGCGTGGGACGCGCCTTGGCCCACCTGAATTATCAACTGAAAGTCTACAGTCAAGAGGTGGACCAGAGACTGTTGTACAAGTGTGATGAGGCTACACCCCACGCCACCGTGCTGCATTTATATCATCATGATCAGCACTACCATGTCATCACTTCCATGCCAGCTTTTTATGCATCTAACCATTACTGCGAACACTGCGACCAACATTAAGACCATCCCGAAAAACATCGCTGCACCAAGCAATACCGCTGTCACCGCTGCCTCCACTCTAGCTATTGCGGACCCAAGGAAGAGCACGGGATCCCTTGCTTGATATGTCAACGTTGGTTCCCAAATCAACAGTGTTACACCCGACATCTCCAGTCACCGTCAGAGGGAAAACCCAGCGCCTGTAAATCGATTCACAGGTGTCTGACCTGTTTTCAGCTGGTCCGCGTCTTGGAGACCCCCATGGCTCACCATGTGTGCTCAGATGAAGAACATCCCTGCTTGGTGTGCAGAGAACCCATGACCCAGACCATCGCTGTTACATGACGCCTCTCCGTGAAGAAAACGAGGATGAGGAAGAGGTAGAGGAAGAAGGGGAAGAGGCAGAAGAGGGGGAAGAGGAACAACATCACATACGAGACAATGTCCAAGACGTCTTCTACGATTTTGTATGCATGCAAGACACGGGGGAACACATTCCAAATTTGTGCGTGGTGCAGTTGGGATGTGGACGGTGCATCAGTGAAGTGAGCAAGGACTTGTGCGAACACTGTCCATGGAGAGAGGAAGGGTATGGTCCCAGCCTGAGTTCACGTGTGGAGAGGGCCAACATCAGTACAGTGTGGATGGCTACGATCCAGCAACAGGCACCATCTACGAATTCCTGGGCTGTTTCTGGCATGGGTGCCAGACCTGTCGCAAGACCCAACGTGGAGAACCTCATCCCGTCCTGGGCACGTCGTTGGGAGCCCGTTACACCGACACCCACTACCGCTTGAGTCTCTTGAATCAACACCCTGAGGTGAAATGGATCGTTACCCTGTGGGAGCACGAGTTTACAAAAATGCAACAGGAGGACTCCGCTCTGCGTGCTTTCTTGCAGGGACCCCACTGTATCCACGTCCCTGGGCCACTCAACCCTTGCGACGCCTTCTATGGAGGACGCTTCAATGCCACGCGATTATGCTACGAAGCCCAAGAAGGTGAAACCATCAAGTACATCGATATTTGTTCCCTTTATCCTTACATTTGTAAGACCGGAGCGTTTCCCACGGGACACCCGACCCTTCTCCATCAACCCCCTGTGGAAACGTTGTTTGAACTGAAAGGACTGATCCAATGCCGTGTCCTACTGCCCTACAGATCGGGTGGCAAACTGCTCTGTCCTGTGTGCCGTACGTTTGCCGATACCCGGTCAGACTCCCCCTGCAAGCACACGGACAAAGAGAGGTCATGGGTGGGCACGTACGCCACCGTAGAACTCCAGGAAGCCATGAAGAAGTATGACTACCAGGTGCTTCAGATCTACGACGTTTGGCATTTTGACACCTTTGCACAGCATGAGCCCGACACCCAGCAAGTAGGACTCTTTGACACTTATATCGATCATCATTTCAAGGAGAAGCTCGAAGCCAGCGAATACCCCGAAGGATGTACGGATCACGACGCTTACATCCAGGAGATCTATGACAAAGAAGGCATTGGGTTTGACAAGGACCGCATCGAAAAAAATCCAGGACGTCGCACGATTGCCAAGATGCAACTGAATTCGCTCTGGGGCAAGTTTGGACAACGGCTAGACTACAGTCAGAACATCTATAGGAACGAGTCTGTACAGTACTTTGCCTTGTGGAGGAATGAACGCAATACCATGGAGGATGTCACCGTTGTCAACGAACACATGGTGGAAGTGACCTATACCCAGCAGAATTCCAAACCCCTCATTCTCATTTCAATGTCGCCATCGCTGCTTGGGTCACCGCCCAAGCACGTCTCAAGCTGTACGAGACCCTTGCTCTGGTGGGCCGCAGGGTCTTGCACTTTGACACGGACAGCGTCATTTTCACTCATCGACCCCACGATGCGAATCCAGAGCTGGGACATTCGTTGGGTGAGTTTACAGATGAACTGGACGGAAACACCATCAAGAAGTTTTTTGTGTCAGGAGGCCCCAAAAACTATGGCTATGAGTTAATGAACCCCAGACCCGATGGAATGCGCACGACCTGCAAAGTGCGAGGGTTCACTTTGAATTACAGAAACCAACAACATCTCAACTTTGACACCATGAAAGGACTGATACTGGGCTAACGGCCTGGGAAAGAGGGAGAAAAAATCACATCATTCGAAAAGGACCTCGGTACGAAAACGCTCTTGTGACCCGACCCACCCGAAGAGACTATCGTACCGTGTACGACAAGCGACGTCTCGTCTACGACGAAACCACAAGGCTGCCTGTAGACACGCTCCCCTTTGGGTACAGAGACGACTTTCTATAAATATGTCATGCCTTTGGGGTGTCACAACGGATCGAAACTGAATCGACATGGACACCTACAGAAAAAAAACCGGATCGAAATCTGACCAATCAGAAGCCTGGGTTGTCGACCAATCAGAGGCCGCGCTCGGGCCATGGTGGGCTCTGATTGGTCGAACCGAGGTTGTGCTTTCTCTCTCACGCTACAAGCCTAACCCTATGGAAAAGAAACACAAGGGTCGGTCCAGTTTGGAAAAATTGAAGTGAAAGTCAGACACCGGAACGGACCAATCAGAAAGCAGGACCTCCGTGCCTTTTAATACGACCAACGCTTTCCGGTCATCACTTTTCACTGAACGGACCAAGCAACAACATCGTCCCTCTGATTGATGTTCCTCACGTTGTGTTGGCTGTTGGCGTTTTATCTGGAAGAAACACGTGTTTGGAGAGAGAACCATCTAGTGTTGACACACATCCGTGAAGACTTGGAAAGAAAAAACAACGAACAGAAAATCCGGACAACATCATGTCGAAACGGTTGAATGCCAAGACACGGAGCGACATGGGTGGTAAAGGAAGCAGTGGAGATGAGAACGGTGACATGACTGCTGAACTGTGGGGTGAAGTGTACGACAAAGATAAAGGCAGACGACGCGTACGCCAAGATACATTCAAAGATGAGAAAACTGACTGAACCCAAGAAAGTAGCACCGAAGAAGACGATAAAGAAGACCCAGAAGAAAAAAAAAAAAAGCAAACCAGCAGCAACAGCAGCATCCACCACAACCACCACAGTAGCTGTTGTCACCACAGCAGCAGCAACACCCACCACCACCGGACACGTAGGCGACGCCCTCTTGGAGGTGCGCACGACACCGGATACGGATGCGACGCCATCTTTGAGGCGCGCGCCACCGGAAACGGGTGTGCCGCCATATTGGATGCTCAGGTCACGTGACCGGAAGTGACGTCACAGAGGTCACGTGACCCTCTCGACCAATCAGAAGCCAGGAGCGGTCCCAGACCGCTGTACTCAACTACTCACGGGTATGGTGCTGACAAACCTAGAAACATAATCGGGGCGAACCGTGATTCGAACCCACAATCATAGGTTTCTGGCGTGCCCAAGGGACGCAACCCTGCACAGCGAATCGCGGCGCCTTAGATGACTGGGCCCCCGTGCCCCCACATAACAAGGAAAACTGAAAAACTGTTTAAAAATGTGCTAAACCTCACACCTTTTCACATGATTTATATTGAAGTCCCATTTTCAGTGTCCTCTGTCATGTTGAAACCACCTCCTTGGACTAGCGATAGAACATCTCCCCCGCGGCCACGTCATACCAAATGACGTTAAAAGATTGTACTTATTGTTACGCAGCCTGGCGCTCAGCATTAAGAGGATATAAAATAAGGTCTGGTCGGCTCGGATGAGGTGTCTGACAGACTCGAAATGAATAACATATTCTTCCCTTTACTCACTGCCTGTGCCGAGTTATTGGATATTCACTCTATTTTAACAGTACCAGGATTTCCTTTTAAAAAAAAAAGTTTTGGGAACCTGAAACACTACCATGTTCATGATACACGGTTGTTCCTAACTTTCTCTTTTCAAATGTTTGTGTCTCAGTAAGTCAAATTACAGCAATGATGTCTATGTTGAAATAACTTGTGTTCTCCGCATGCAGTTGAAATCATGTTTCTTGAGAAAAAGCAAATTGACTGTATAAAACCTTTATCTCAAAACAGGTATTCCTTTAGGTACCTAATAAAGTGATATTAAAGCCAAAGCGGTTATCATACAAAATGCAAACCACACACGTTTGTTGTGCGCCCACTCATAAAATTTATACACTTATTCCCACTATATGTTCAGGGCTCTTTATTCAAGTTACACGTCCCATCTTCATTGCCTTGAAATTTAAAGTGTTTACCGGAATTAAAGAAAAAAGACGCACGGTGTAAGACGTCCATGAAATAAATAGACGCCAGAGCGTCCATTCAAGGATTTACGGTAGGGTGATTGCCAGTCGCTATATAAGTGCAATGACTTTGAACGCGACGTTAAAACCCTACTTCACCTCACCACCCTATACTGTTGAACGTTGGATCAAACCGACTGTCCATTTTTGTTGAAACAGCCTGTTATCCTGGTCAAAACTGAAGCATCAGATTGAAAACAAAAGGACGAGTTTCTTATGTTCACTTTCCTTCTTACTGTAGTGATACACATCAACAGACAGACGTAAATATGCATGTACTGTGTGGACTGTAATCAAGGGTGTCACCGCGGCAATCTTATTCAAATAAGAGCTTTTGTTCCGATTCCATACCTCTCTCTCCGTCACGGCCCTCCATGGGAGTTACGTCAGATGAACCCTGAGCAGGCTCTGACCAACCAATCAGGGAAGGATGTGTGGGCAGTTTTACCAATCAGATGACAGCTTTCTAAATGGACGCGGCTTCAATATCCAGTTGGTGGCTATGGGCATGGCTTTACTAATGTTTGGTGTATGAGAAGTGAAACTGCAGCCGAAAGAAACACTTTTGTCGTTGATATCTCTTTCAAATATGCACAACAAAGTGCGGCCATTATTCTTCATTCGGAACTGTCCGTTTACGTATTGCGCGAGTTGACCGTAAGGATTTCCTCTCACGCAAAGATGACACGCCATTATATAACTGAAATGCTGTTCAAAGCGGCTTTAAACACAACTCACTTCACATACATTTAAAACACATCTGAAAACAAATATTAATTATTGTCAGGAAGGATATACATTTTCTGTGTAATGTTTATGAAAAGGGAAACAGAAAGAGGGAAATCTTTCTGTTTCATTTTCTCATGTTGTCTTCCGAATAAGAATATAATTGAGATCACTTTGGGTGAGTTTTGCACACACTTCAAGTCCGATGATTCTGAGGAACTAAACAGTTATATGAAACAAAAAGGGGAAGTTGAAAACGAAGAAACTATTTTGATTTTTAGCTGCATATGGTGTAAGCTTACAAGGAGGAAACATATACTGAAGAAAAATCAGAATAATTTGAATGGGCGTCCATATAAGCAATGTGAAAAAATTAAGTGATCATTTATTTTGAAAAGTTTGGATTTCACAAGGGGATCTCTCACAGGTCTGTATATTGTGCATGTCGGTGGCGGTATCTGTGTGATGCCCCGAAAATAAGATTTGATGACCATGCGCATAAATCTTTTCCTATAACGTGAAGAACAGCATTTGAGCGCAAAACGTTGAAATAAATATTTCTGTCTCAAAATTGCAGACCTGATGATAATGCAGAAAACGAGTGAGTGATTTGGGTTGAACAATACTTTAGTTATGTCACCCAGAGATGAAAGTAAATACTCCACAAGGAGTGGATGAGTTGTGTTTAACGCCGCTTTTAACTGCTACACACACTGCATACATGCACTGCTACACACACTGCATACATGAATTGCTACACACACTGCATACATGAATTGCTACACACACTGCATACATGAATTGCTACACACACTGCATACATACACTGCTACACACACTGCATACATACATTGCTACACACACTGCATACATGAATTTCTACACACACTGCATACATACAATGCTACACACACTGCATACATACAATGCTACACACACTGCATACATACACTGCTACACACACTGCATACATGCACTGCTACACACACTGCATACATACACTGCTACACACACTGCATACATACACTGCTACACACACTGCATACATACACTGCTACACACACTGCATACATACAATGCTACACACACTGCATACATACACTGCTACACACACTGCATACATGCACTGCTACAGACACTGCATACATGCACTGCTACACACACTGCATACATACACTGCTACACACACTGCATACATACACTGCTACACACACTGCATACATACACTGCTACACACACTGCATACATACAATGCTACACACACTGCATACATACAATGCTACACACACTGCATACATACACTGCTACAGACACTGCATACATGCACTGCTACACACACTGCATACATACACTGCTACACACACTGCATACATACACTGCTACACACACTGCATACATACACTGCTACACACACTGCATACATACAATGCTACACACACTGCATACATACACTGCTACACACACTGCATACATGCACTGCTACACACACTGCATACATGCACTGCTACACACACTGCATACATACACTGATACACACACTGCATACATACACTGATACACACACTGCATACATACACTGATACACACACTGCATACATACACTGCTACACACACTGCATACATACACTGCTACACACACTGCATACATACAATGCTACACACACTGCATACATACAATGCTACACACACTGCATACATGAATTGCTACACACACTGCATACATACAATGCCCACACTGCATACATACATTGCTACACACACTGCATACATACAATGCTACACACACTGCATACATACACTGCTACACACACTGCATACATACACTGCTACACACACTGCATACATACAATGCTACACACACTGCATACATACAATGCTACACACACTGCATACATACACTGCTACACACACTGCATACATGAATTGCTTCATACACTGCATACATGCATTGCTTCATACACTGCATACATACACTGCTACACACACTGCATACATGAATTGCTACACACACTGCATACATGAATTGCTACACACACTGCATACATACATTGCTTCTTATTCCAAATGTCCATCAATATCGGTGTTTCTTAGACATTTAACAAAATGAGATGTGCTCAAGAAGGAGATGTGCTTAACCTTTTTCCAGGTGTATATATTGTCAGAGTCCTGTTTGTTCAGGGACGTTGATACGGAAGCTGTTATAGTCATGTTTCACTTACATTGTAGTTAAATGTATTTCCCCATTTAGCTTCGGTTCAAGTGCTTCATATGGCGCGAGGTGCATTCACAAAGTTCATACACAATTCATACCCAAAAATGAAGAGCACAAAGTTGAATTCATTTTAATTTTCAACATAACTATCCTGCTTTTCAATGTATTTGGTCCATTTGCCCTTCAAACTTGTTTTCTCTCTATTACTTTTTTCGCTGGCCCGTATACCATACAGTTCTGTTTAACGCCGTGTCCCCCATTTTCGGTAAGAAGGTACATGTCTTGGAATGTAGTTTGCAAAGACATACCTATACATACTTTGGCAAACATTAGACCGCGCGTTAAGAGAGGTGAAAGAAGTTGCGATTGTTCTAGATACGAGTTCGTATAGTTGTTGAAGTTGATATGGATGAAATCTGCCCATATTAGTTGACAGTCAGTGTGTGTGGCCAACTTTAGTTGTGGATGTCGATTATATTATTTACATTTTCCTTTACATATACTTTGCATACATGGTACAAATTATCATGTTGGGGTTACATTAAACAATACGTACATCCCTATAAAACATTGAGTACTATGTGTTTATGATTCCGGCGCAACTGAGTCAACGAACCGGCAAAGTTTGATTTAGTTTGTTAATCCATATGGGTTGACCAGTCGTCTGAGACGCCGCGTCCCTTATGCGTCCAAGGAACCTACGATAATGGGTTCGAATCCCAGATTCGACCTGAATGTGTTTCTAGGTTTAGCAGCACCATGCCCCGCTTTTGTGTTTCACGAAAGTGGTAAACGTGAAAGGCCTGCGTCACTTCGCGATTTCCGCCCATATCACGCCATACTTGAAACATTCTTAGAGTGACTGGAATGTGTTATATCCATCAAGTCCAGTGAACAGGGTTTTTTTTTAAATTGTTGAAGAAACACATTATTGGTTTCCAGTATTTCTCGAACGATATATTTATATCTAAAGAAATCAATTACAAATCCACCCTTCATGTCAGTATATATAATACGTGCATGTTATTATTAGTTTGATATCATAGAACATATTTATGACTGAATATTTACATGTCATTGCATCATTAAAACACTATAAATACTATATATTGTCATGCTTTACAAAGTTTAAAGTATCTTTCATACGACCCGAAAGACGCCATATTGCCTAATATGGACGAGAGAGTATCATTGATGTTATGTCTGGCCGTCATCCCCATCGCTTGTCATGGTAAGTACTTACAAAATATAATCGTTAAAGTAATCACAACGTATTTCTCAGACAATCCTCAGACACTGCTCAAATAATGCTTATAAGTAAGCTTATCATAGGCCTAGATAAGTCATTCCAGAAATTTGTTGGTGGACATTCACTTAACATGACACGTCACTTGTGCTATGATGGTTGAGGTTATTCCATGGTAGGACCTTTACATGGAGTTTGCACACCTCATTTCCACTGGAAGTGAACATTGTGTGAGTGGCTGATGCCACCCATAGCGAACACATGGTGTCATCACTGATTTTCAGTAATCCATTCATAGATACTTGTAGGACTATTTGCCTTTTACGCCCGTTTGAATCTGTCTCGCTAGATATTTGAGACTTATTATTATTCTCTGAAGTTGACGTTTTATGTTAATATTACCAACATACCCATATTCTGTCACAACCTTTATCAGTAAACTAATAGTTGTTATTTCTTCCTTACAGACCTTCATAACAAACCCGTTATCATTAGGCCACGCACGAAGCGTACAGTAATGATTGCTCCGGGCACTGATGCAGATTTGATATGTGAAGCCAATGGGGTCCATAAGTTAACGTAAGTTATGACCCATGAGCAATCTTACCTGTTCAACCTTTTCTATATAAAAGCGATAAAACCATTTTAATATTCATAAGAAATCTCAGCTAAAAGCAGAGTCAATTATGTGATTACGACTATATCGTGAACATGTGTGTATTAATCACCATCACATAGTGTTAATACCAGGTGTTCCTCAAACACCCTCAATTCCTTACTAACCTATCGTTTTGAAAGTTAGGGGGCACGGGTGGCCCAGTCGTCTAAGGCGCCGCGATTCGCTGTGCAGAGTTGCGTCCCTTGGGCACTCAATTCAATTCAATTCTTTATTGTATGAAAGGCCACAGGCCCATATACAACGGAGTTACATAACATATTTTATAAAATACAAAGTCAAGGTAACAATTCACTTCGTAACAAAAAAACAGTATGTATGTACAAAGCCAGTTGATGTTGTGTTATAAGATCCTTGCAAGACAGTAATGAAGACAATCTTTTAGCATGAAAATGAGATAGAGACCACTGCGGTAAGTACTTGTCTCTTAGATTTTCGTATATAGGGCAAATAAACATGAAATGGTATTCCTCTTCGACAACAATGTCACAAAATGGGCATAATCGTATCGATTTCTCAATAGATGAAAACCTCCCTGTGTTAATTTTTAGATCATTCAGGCCAAGTCTAAAACGAATAAGGGTGTTACGAGAATTCCTGTACCGTAAATTTGATAAATAGGATTCTGGTTCAAGCAATGACTTGAATTGGCGATAAGTATCATATCTTGAACTTTCATAAATATCTGAATGCCATTTCTGATGAAACATGTCAATGGCACGCATGCGAAAGTACTTAATGAAAGCATTTGCATTACCAATTGTCTGGGACAGCCAAATGAAACCAAAGCCATATGTAAAAAGCAATGTACGAATACAAGAAGCCCATGTGTTCTTTCCAAGATTGTCGAGGTGCACGAGCATGTTGTAGGCTTTCTTGGGTAAACGGTGTTCAGGCATTATTATTATTTTACACCAATACTTCAAACAACGAGTGTAAGATCCAATGTACAATGGGAATCTCCCGCATTCTCCATAAACCATATTACTTGGTGTTGACATACCAACATTCAAAAACTTTTTACAAGCGAGGAGATGAACCATTTCAATTGTATAGAACTCTTTACAACCCCATATCTCAGACCCGTATAGTAAAATAGGTTGTATTTGAGAATCAAATAATTTAAAATACATTTTTGGTGAAATAACTCCGAGCTTAGACATAACAAAGTGGACTTGTAACAGAGCTTTCTTTGCTCTGTTTGTGAGATTAATTACTGACTTATTCAGATTCAGTGTATGGGTAAACAATATGCCAAGGTATTTGAATTCATGCACAACCTTAATACATGTACCTTTAAGAAACCATTTCTCTCTTGTGGCCACTCGACCACCTCTACGAAATATAACAATATTTGTTTTATCAAGATTAACACTAAGTTTCCATTTATCTGAATATTTCGAAAGTATGTTAAGCTGCTTCTGTAGACCAATAATAGTACTAGACATCAAAATCACATCATCTGCAAAAAGTAGCATGAAAAGTTCTATTATATCAGGGGAGAGCTGGACGCCATGTCTACCAGACTGTATGATATCAACATATAACTCATTTATAAAAAATGAGAAAAGTAGAGGACCTAAAACACATCCTTGACGTAAACCTATCGGACAATCAAAAAAGTCACTCTTAATATCACCACAGCGAACACATGATTTTACATTTGCATACATTGATTTAATAATGACAAGCATTTTGCCTCCTAAACCCTTATTTTTCAAACACCTCCACAAATAAGCTCTATTAACAGAATCAAATGACTTTTTAAAATCAACAAAGGCCACATACAACTTACGTTTCCTGTACGATAAATATTTCTCAATGACTGCATATAAAGTAAATATGTGGTCAAAAGTCGAATAGTCCTTTCTAAATCCCGCTTGTGTTTCAGGGATCAAATCTCTCATATTTGACCACTGTGTTAATCTATTATTGATGATAGATGTAAATGCTTTACTAAGGATACTCGTGAGAGATATACCCCGATAATTGTCAGGATTGTTAACGTTTCCATTCTTGAATAACGGAATAATAATAGATTTTGACCAGATAGAAGGAAAAATACCTGTATCAAAAATCCGATTGAAACATTTAACCAGAAAAGGCATAGTATCAGGTAGTGAGTACTTGAGCATTTCAGCTATAACAAACTCCAGAAACCTATGATTGTGGGTTCGAATCCCGTTTCACCCCGATTATGTTTCTAGGTTTGTCAGCACCATACCCGTGCTGGTGGGTTTCACTGAAGTGGTAAACGTCTGAGACCTGCATCACTTCAGGCTTTCTTCCCACATTAAGCTGATATGCCGTGATATAACTGGAATAATGTTAAAAGCGGCGTTAAACCCAACTCACTCACTCTTGAAAGTTAAGTTTCCCCAAGCCCTGGTCACATTTAAGCCGTTCCGTGTAAGTATGGAGTTAGAATAACTGATAGGTAAACGTTTAAAGGGGGCTATCGAGCAATACCCAAAGGCTAAAAGACCTAAAGTAACACGTGACCTAAAATACGCCCTAGTGGACTCCCCGTTCTGACACCACACTTTAAAACAGTTGTACCCATAGTTTGGGAATAAGCAGCATGTGTACGTGAAATCTGAACTGTAGTGTACTGGGGAGTTATCTATACTGTATTTTATTTATCAGTATAAACAAAACTACCCTGATCATAAAAAAGAGATATTCTTTATGTATTGGTGCGAAAAAGTACGTTCCTGCAACGCCTCGTTATAGACAGTTACATTTGTTTAAAATCAGCCATTACGTATTTTGAAAATTATAATTCACTTGTGAGAACAGTATTTTGTCCTTCCCGTTGAGGTTGTTAACTAATTGCAGGTATGAATATTTCAAAGTAGCTGAATATAAGAGTGAGTGAGTGAGTGAGTTTGGTTTTACGCCGCTTTTAGCAATATTCCAGCAATATCACGGCGGGGGACACCACAAAATGGGCTTCACACATTGTACCCATGTCGGGAATCGACCCCGGGTCTTCAGCGTGACGAGCGAACGCTTTAACCACTAGGCTACCCGACCGCCCCTGAACATAAGAAAGGAAGTAAGTTGTTGATCTCTTTAAAAAAGAACACTTTCAACATAATATTTATTATCCCAAAGGATCAATTTTTTTTAATGAGTTGACTATTGTTTAACATTTCTCTTACAAAAACAATCATTTGTTCCCAAGAGTACTACTTGTACCCCTCAAACCACTATATTAAATCAATTTATTTCTGAAAGTTGCGGGAGCGGTCGGGTAGCCTAGTGGTTAAAGCGTTCACTCGTCACACCGAAGACCCGGGTTCGATTCCCGACATGGGTACAATGTGTGAAGCCCCCGCCGTGAAATAGTGCTAAAAGCGGCGTAAAACCATACTCACTCTGAATGTTGTGCTACATTTTCAGGATCCAATGGACCTTGAATGATTCTCCAATTGACCGGTCTGAATATGCAGTGTACTCTGATCAACCTAGTACCCTCACCAGGAGCAATATCATTGTTGTGAAAGAGGGACAATATCGGTGTATAGCAGAGATGAGTGGCCATGCGACAACATCACCTGCTATCACATTGCAGTTTACGGGTATGTTCATTTTAATCCATAGAATAAGTGTATCACCTAGTTAGCGAAAATAAAGTTTAGAATATTATCATATATGTGTTGCCTTTCAGAGAAAAGGTAGAGATGACTACTCATATCTGTGAAAGAAACATGTCGTGTCGTTTTGGTCAGAAAATATGTGAAGTGTCAGTCAGTTATCTAACTGACAAACGTTGTTAATTTGTGTCCTTATGATGAGACAACGTGATGTCATGCACTGTAACATATGAGTTTACAGTCCACAAACCTAAGCGTGCTCCTTTTCACGAAATTAGGATCTAAACTTGTTGAGCTTTTGACCTTATGCCCAATTATAAGCACATTAGTATACCGTCCGTCCGTCCGCTTCTCAAAGGGAACACATTTTCTCAAAAACTATTCAAGGCAGAGAAATGAAATTTAACATACTGATGTTACTGGTCATGATCTTAAATGAGTTCGAAAATTGGTGTCGTAAATTCATTTTTTACAGAGTTATGGTCCTTGATCCGTGCTTTTCAACTTTCAACTTGCATAGTGTGTTATGGGGACAAGTTTTCTAAGAAACTATTGAAGTTACATGAATGAAAGTTTGCATGCTTATCTAAGAGAAACTTGTCAAGACTGAGTTCGAAAGGCGGTCCCGTAAATTATTTTTCTACAGAGTTACGGCCCTTGATCCATGTTATTTTACTTTTTAAGACTCTTTTTTAAAGTTACTATTGGTTTAAACATATTTAGTTTCGAAAAAAATGTGAAAATGGATTGGTAAACAAGCGAAGCGCTTCTGTTCATACCGCTCTATTACACAGAAGACATGATACAATAAATACACCAATGAAGGTTAGATGTAACAAATGAATTGTACATGCCAAGCTAGATGTGTATATATGATAAATATATTTGCAGTTTATATTAAACAATTTAAATGTCATTTAATTGAAAATCTGGCAGTTTATAATATGAAGTTTTAAATAGAATCTATTTTTTGGATTTGCTGTTCCTTACTAAATACGAATTTCCGCAAAAAAAATCGAAAAAAAATCCCGAAAATGGAAACATACAAATATTTCTTCTATCCCTCTTCTAACAAGGCTACTCCTACACCCCTTAGCAATAAATGAATTCAAAGTGTCCATACATCATTGGTTTGCAATAGTTAGCTAACCAGGGTTGTTTTATAGTTACAGGAAATGAAGATCAACCTTTTGCCTAATGGTGTTTGCATTCTCGCACCAACAGGTGACAACAGTTGGACATATGTAGCAGGGGGATGCACAGTTGCCTTGTTGATGACCGTGTTGGTTTTTGCATGGAGAAGGTGAGGCATCTGTTGACTAAGTTGGTTGGTTGGTTGGTTTGTTGTTTAACGCCGCACTCAGCAATATTCCAGCTATATGATGGCGGTCTGTAAATAATCGAGTCTGGACCAGACAATCCAGTGATTAGTATCATGAACATCGATCCATGCAATTAGGATCGATGCGTGCATCAACCAAGTCAGCGAGCCTGACCACCCGATCCCGTTAGTCTCCTTTTACGACAAGCATATGTTGACTAGAAGGTAGGACTTATGTTGACACGTATGTTAACTGTGGAAGAATTCTGCCTAAACCACGTATCAGTACTATCAACTTTCAATTTGTTTCTAAAACCTGAAAACATGTCCAATTCTCTTTTGTAATTTGTAATGCAATGTCCAGCAAATGTACTACTAAAGGAAGGACTATTTCAGGAAGGAGTTTCAGACAAGTGGAATTAATACATTGTGGATTCTCCCCGAAATTGCATTTTCGCAGTCTCAGAAAGGAATCAAGTTCCATTCTGTCAAAACATTTGATTTTTCAACTTTATACACCACTATCCGACACGACAGCCTTTAGGGAAAACTTCATTCCTTGATCCATGGGGCAATTGTCACTAGACTGGCGATCATAGCTAAAGTTACATCTCCAAAGGTTCACGACATTTTTTTAAAATTGAAAGCAAATGTCATATGAATTGAACTGAGAGAACAATATGCGACTGCTAGACTTCCTCATAGATAACACTTGTCACGTTTAGGCAAGTAGAGGCATGGCCATTAGCACCAATTTTGTTACCCTTTTTGCTGATCTGTTACTTTATGTCTACAACTCGGAATTTTCGGATTGGCAAAACGAAAACAGAGAATTTGGCAAAGAAGTTTAACTTAAAGGGAAACAACTCTCCAACTTTCTGTATTATTTCGAAAAGGCTACGATTTAAATTCAATTCTAAATGGTAATTCACATTTAACGACAGCAACAAATTTTGAAATTTTGAAATCAGTGCCCAATTTTATTCTGTCTTCTTGCCGGTTTGGAGATTTTGTCTGAGATGTTGGCTTTGCTATGTGATACTGCGATGTTGTTGTGCTGGATGTAAATAATAACGTAACTGTAGTTATGAGTGAGTGAGTGAGTATGGTTTTACGCCGCTTCTAGCAATATTCCAGCAATATCACGGCGGGGGACATCAGAATTGGGCTGTAGTTATGAAAGATAATCCAGTAATTAAACACTTGCAGAAGAATACTTATCTTTAATGTCTATTATACAATGCATGCTATTTCTCATGTCACTTCCAACACATTGTAAATTGTATATGTATCATGTTTGGGAGAGGCATTCAGATAGCAAAATTTGCTTGTTTGCCAATCCCTCCACTTTATGGAAATAAATATGTTTATATCATAACTGCATATGCTTCAGTTGAGTACAATGGCTATGTATGATAGATTACCAAAGTGACATTTCGCAGTATGGACCTGTTTAAGAACTGTATGAGTAAGAAACATTGATATAGCAATTTTGTCAGCCCATTGTAAATGTTCTTATTCAGAAACGGACTGACGCCAGTGGAAAATGATAAAGAGTCCTTGAATTTTAAGTTCTGTGCTTACGTTATGTTGTCAGACATTTTGAACAAACAATTTAAGGTTATATACTCCTTGGAAAAACTATATACACTATATACAAAAAATCATGAGTTGTTTTAAGTTCATTTTCACTTTGAAATGAAGGCTGCATCACAAGCTCGAGTGAGCACAGCAAACTGTAGGTCTTCACGGGGGTCTTCACGGGAGTCTTCACAGGGGTCTTCACATGGGTCTTCACGGGCAGTACATAATCGTCACGGACCACCCAGGTGGAGGTCATACTCACACGTGCCCAGCCTCTCAATTGGAAGACCACACACGTTCCCTCTCCATGGATATTGACATGATACCACCAGACCCCATCTTGCGATATCCCCAAGGCGTGATATACATGTATACAGTCTACTCGTAATACATCATCTGTTTTGTATCTGTTTCCACTGGATCTGTGTCTTGTCTCCTTCCACTCGGAATCGGTGTCAATGTCACGTGCAGCAGGAGGCTGCTTGTTTCTTTCAGCAGGTGATGTCTCACTGTTTTCACGCCGGCTCCAAGAATATCTGAAGTCACGACGTGAATCATTGTTGTCCTTGTAGTCATTCTTCCTTTCTCTTCTCTCCATCCTGTTTTCATCGCTGATTCTCTCCACCCTTGATCCGACTACACGAAGTCGATCGCTCCCAACTATCAGTACTCTTGTCCGTAGATTTGTTTCATATCGACGTTGTTCCGCCGACTTATATAAATGTCTTTGCAATTTCTTTCGTGATGAAGTCTTGACTTTTCTTTTAGGATTGACTGTTTATCTTCTATCTTCTGGTCGTTCACATATGACAACAATTATTCCCGGGAAGCGTGAGCCGGATGAAGTTTTTCTTTCTCCACGAACGATGCTGATATTTCGCAATTTTAGACCGTCTCTGATGATACCATTAACCTTTCTAGCGACATCTTCATTATCCGACTCTTGAACATTTTTGAACACCACATTCAGATTGCGCTTTTGACCAGTGTGACAAGCGTATTGTTGCACATGCACGCGTTCTAGTTTTTTCACACGCTCGGAAGGATTACCCACCTCGGTTTTCATTTAAGTTGTCACTTCAAGCAGTTCCTTGTGAAATTCTTTCTTCACTTTTTGTGTGATCTTTGCCTCTATATCTTGTAGTCTTGTGTCAATACTTTTATTTAGGGCTTGGATGGCCTTAAGTATTAAAGTTGTCTGTGCGTTCACATGTTGTAAGTTACAATTGTCTATTACTTCATCAAACGTAGGAAGGTCTGATTTCTGTTTTTTTCGTTCTTTGTGGACAGTTTATTGCATTCAGGCTTGGAGAAAGTGAGTGAGTGAGTTTGGTTTAACGCCACTTTTAACAGTATTCCAGTTATATCGCGGCGTGTCAGCTTAATGTGGGAGGAAAGCCCGAAATGATGCAGGTCTCAGACGTTTACCACTTCGGTGAAACCCACGAGCACGGGTATGGTGCTGACAAACCTAGAAACATTATCGGGGCGAACCGGGATTCGAACCCACAATCATAGGTTTCTGGCGTGCCCAAGGGACGCAACTCTGCACAACGAATCGCGGCGCCTTAGACGACTGGGCCACCCGTGCCCCCTTCAGGCTTGGAGAAAGTGTTATGAGAATTGACACTCATCGGTGAATGAACGTCGGCCATTACACTTTTCACGAATGATGCACTTTCTGATTCAAAGTTTTCCATTGTTTGAATTTCGTCATCAGCACAAATCATCCTCTCGGCGTCTTCGCATACGTTAGCAATAACAGAATACACCCATATCTGGGCGTGAAGTGCCGATGTAAAAACAACACTTTGTTCCAAGGATTAGCCGGTAACAGTTGAATGATTGCTTATTGTTATCTAACTCTATAGATTTTTTAAAGAACCATAGACATGAACATAGATGTCATGTGTGCAGACTTACGTGATCGGTTGAGAAAACGAACACGGGTCATGATATCCCGAAATAATTTATCTGAATTTCACATATTTATTGATCATGTTTGTCATCATCTCTTCGTTTACCTGAATTCTCTGAAGGAATACTATGTTGTTTTTTATTGTACATATTATGATGCTGACCGATAACTTCACCCTTTCAAGCCGTACGTACATGCATTAATCAACAACAAAACACATGTCAGTTTCGCCGCAGCTCTTTATTGTATACCTTTGTTATAATATACGGCTTCTCATTCTTCGGTCCTCCGATAGGTGTCGCTTCGCGCAGAATAGCACCGAACACAAATCAGTTGACATTATAGTCTATAATAAGCAATTTTTTAATCCGCGAAGAAAACGCCCATCCATATTTCGATACTTTCAAACTTGGAGTGCTGTTTCCCTTTAAACTTCAGGTTAATCCATGATCTTGTAGACCTGCATTGTTCTTCAGAGGACTATTCAAGAGACTCGTGGGGAGCTACATCACGCCTACAGTAGGTCACAGTACTAGAGCTGTTGATAACATTTCCCATGAAGACACCAGTGATGGAAACAGCTATGAAATCATCCCAGAGGGCGAAAGTGATGAAGGTGCTTCTTTGCTTATTAATCATGGATATGCATGCGTATCACCTTATTACATTATGTAATGGCTATTCCATTTATAACAGGGGGCACGGGTGGCCCAGTCGTCTAAGGCGCCGCGATACGCTGTGCAGTTTCGTCCCTTGGGCACGCCAGAAACCTATGATTGTGGGTTCGAATCCCGGTTCGCCCCAATTATGTTTCCAGGTTTGTCAGCACCATACCCGTGCTTGTGGGTTTCACCAAAGTGGTAAACGTTTTAGACCTGCATCATTTCGGGCTTTCCTCCCACATTAAGCTGACAAGCCGTGATATAACTGGAATAATGTTAAAAGCGGCGTTAAACCCACTCACTCACTCACTCCAGACAGACAGACAGAATTATTCAAACAAACAAAATTCTTTGTCATTAATTTTATTACATATGCACCTCTGTGCTGATGTGTCTTTAGCAGGAAAAAGAAGCGTCATTACTTCTTAAACTGAAACGGACTAGAAATAGTGTGAATAAATAACCAAGTGCTAGAGTAGGGGCAGCTACGTAGCGGGAGATATTGACTCTAGCACACACAGGGTAGAAGTGCAGACTTTTCCGCCTTTGAACACGGAAGAGCTCTAGTCCAATAGTGCTATTACGGGTACAACAAGTTATGTACAGTTAACAGTGAAGAGGACTTCTGTTGAAAATCTTAAAGTTTAGTTTTAGCGTGATTGCAGCCAAAATACAAGATTTATGGCAATAATTTTAAAAAGGTAGTATTCTTAGAATTATTAACAATGGTAACTATTGATTTGATATCTCCTTATCCATATTGCAGGAAATCGGTAGTACATAAAACTCAATTATCTGCCACTGTTGACCATGTTCCACATGATTTGCAGATGATGCATCAGCTGCTGCATCCAATACACCATATGAACAACTTGAACTTGAACTTTTCAAGGGTCAAGAAGATTATACGCATATCCTGCGTAGCATCAATTATGTAAGTATCGACATGTTGTCATAATTACAGACATTGACGTTTTATATAAACCTGTATAGCACAATCAGCACACTTCGATAGTCAACTTTATTTATTTTTGCCAAGAGGATTTACATTGATAAATAATTTCATTAATCTATTTAAAGAAGATCCTGACCATTGTTATCATGTTACCAGGCAAACGAAACACCATTGCACCTACAGGATGGGAGTTCGTATGCTTCTGACATGAAAAAGTTAAGGTAATCATTGGAATTTTTGTTGTTTCACGTAAAACAGGGTGCCTTCATGTCTACCAAAGTACCAGTCTATAACCTTCCCCTTACATGACTGAACCCCTCTAATTGACTATTACTTCACATTTTCGTCCAAAACAAATGTGGAGTAGATCTGTATAACAGTGTATCAGTGACTATTGTAGGGTGTTGCAGCGATGCAATAGATGAGGACGCCATAAATATAACCCAGATAATATCCATTATATACCCCAAACTGTGAGAGGAGGCTGATACCCAGGTGATACCCGTAATATACCCTAATATTTGGGAAGAGGCTGATATATTGTTTATGCGACGGTGAGAAACTAGGATAATATAATATTTTGAAGTGCAATTCTGAAATATTTCCTTTTTATGTGTCACTCTTTTATCTTAAAAGGAGCAGAATTATCGAACTACCCCAGTACTGTTAAAGATTGAAATAAATAATATCTATAGTAAAAAAAATAACATGGTCATACCTAAAGTTTATTATTGGTCTAAGTTTTGATGTGATTTATGTCTTTAGACTGAGTGTAAGCGACCTTCTTCGCCTGTGGAGGTTCAACACAGTTGATGAACTGGGAGAGGTAGAGATCACCATCAATCACACAGACATCCTTCAGATTGTCAGGACAGTCATGAGGCAACAAGACTTCGTGTTGCAGTATCCACTTACTGTCAAATTTCGAGACAAGAAACTTTTTAACAAATTTGCAGAAGACGGAACTACAAAGAGTTTTTTTATGTAAGAAACTCATCATTCATGTCATTAACCTAGTCTATCACTTTTAATTTTACATTAAGACCTTAACATGGAAGTCGCCCGGCAGGTGGGGTTTACAGATAAGTGGGGTCCAGACAAGCTTTGTTCAACTGTGTTCTGTTTTGACAGTGCTCTCAGATTATAAAGATTTTTCATATTTCCTGGTTGAACTGCTTCTGTGCCTCTAGTAGTAATGTCCCCTTCAGTTAAACCTCTAACCACTCAGAACAATTTACCCACAAACTAACATGCGCTTATTACATCACCAACCCCTTTGTAATCTAAATGCCTTCATAACTATTGACTTATAGCAAACTGATGCAAGCTCTGAAAACAGAGATATTGGAAGGTGAGGAGCCACACTTGGGATTCAGAAAGAAAAAGAAAGATTTAAAATCAGGATGCTATCGAGAAGCAGGGAAGATGATTGCATGGTCTATTCTTCATAGCGGTGTCGGATTCCCCTACTTCACCATCAGCACTTACAACTTCCTTGTGGAGAAAGATATCAAGTGCATACGTTTAGAGGACATCAACAACCCTCATATCTACAATGCTTTAGAAAGGGTAATATATTATGTCAGACAATCACGATCATGAACAATGTATACTCACACGCAAAAGAAACGCAAGTCGAGTATGCAGTATACATGTTATTTATTTTCAACAGTAAAGACAAGAAATACTAATAGGGGAAGATTGACAAAAATTTGACTGAAGACAGTTTAATGGATTAAAAGGCAGATGACATAATTGGGTTTTTTAAATGTTAAGGGCTTACACAGTTTCGGTTCAAGACCCAAAATGTCAGTCAATACCTGGTGTGACCCCCATTAGCATTGATCACTGCCACACGTCTCCTGTACATTGAGTGGATCAGACGATTTGTGAAGGCCCTAGGGATCCTCCCGTACACATCCGGAGCAGCTGTGCGTAGACCATCGGCAGTTGTAGGGACTGGGCGCACATTGTGCAGACGCCTTTGAACCTCATCCTACAAGTGTTCGATGGGATTACGATCAGGGTTGAGGGCTGGCCACGGTTGAACACGGATGTTGTGCTGTTGCAGAAAGGCCATGGTAGCTCTGGCAACATGGGGACGAGCGTTGTCCTGCTGGAAAATGTGTTGTTGATGTTGTGCAAAAAATGGAACAACGTGGGGTCTGATCACTTGGTCGATATACCGCTGAGCAGTGACGCCGTGTCCCCGACCTTGACCAACATTCAGAAAGCAGATGGGTCCAAGTCTCGCATTAAGTCCAATCCTTGCCCATAGCACGACGCTAGGTCCAACCAATAGATCCCTTTCCACAACGTTTCTGTCAGCGAAACGATCACCTCGACTCCGCAAAATTCTGACGCTTCCGTCTGCATGGGAGACACAAAAGCGACTTTCATCAGAGAAGATGACACGCCTCCACTCACGATGATGCCAATTGTGATGACCCTGTGCCCACAGAAGTCGTGCTTGACGATGCTGTGGTTGGAGAACAGGACGACGTGCTGGTCGGCGACATCTGAGGTTGTTGGAACGGAGACGTCGGATTACAGTGTCCCGGCTAATGTGTCGATTATGTGTTCCTATCGTCTGTCGAGCACTTTCATTTGCAGTTAGGAACGGATGTCGCTGGTGTTGACGGGTAATCTGCCGATCTTGTCGAGGTGTGGTGACCCTAGGACGCCCGCTCCGAGGAAGGTCATCTGTGGTCTGTGTAGCATTGTATCGATGCAGGAGACGGTAAATTGTGGTTATGTAACGTTGAAATGACGGGCAACATCTTTGACAGACTCTATAGCTTCCAAACGTCCGATAGCCTGGTTTCTCTGAATTTGAGTTAGGCGTGGCATTGTTGACCAAGGAGTGGTAGGTCCAAGAATCGGCCTTAGTTTTATACCCACTATAGTTCGTGACAGTTCGTGCATTTTCGATTTCGCGAGAAATGGGAGTACGATACCCACACATTCATTGAAATGGTGCGTTTTGGCGATTCGTTTTTTATGTTGCGTTTTTACTCGGGGCTTCCAAAATGCAACCAAAAATATTGTTAACACCATCAGGCTTCACTACATGCTAAAACTCGTATCAATTTATGGTTCCGTGTTTGTTACCTATTTGCTTAAAACCACTTGCGTTTCTTTTGCGTGTGAGTATAGATTAAAACCTGTTTCCAATTGAAATGTCCATTCTTGAAAATATTTCAACGGAGACAATTTTAATCATGAATATAAGATTGGGGATTGCTTTTGGCCTTGAAGGTGTTAGAATTGCATCACAATTCTTTAGAATGCCTTGGGTTGTGAAGTCATGGATAATCTGTGTGCTTTATATGTTACTGTAGAACATTTCAGGAATAGTTTTGTCTAAATTTAAGGCAATTCAGCGTTAAAAATATATGTAGGTAAAATATTTTGAAATGAAAGCTTCTTTGTTGAATGATACTTTTAAAACTTGGTTATTTCAAATGCAGATTATGAGTTGTTCCACCACAAAAGAGCTGAGAGGTGTATTTGACAAGGATACAATCACCTTGATAAAAGGTACAGGAAGATCCCCTAATTGCCTGGTAATAGAGGAGAAGGAAGACCTGGTGCGACATATGTGGATGTCATATATGTTCGAAAGGTGAGAAGTATACTATTCGAAGAATGAAAACAGTCTTATGATTGCCGACCTCAGAACATATCTATCATGAACGACAGTTTTTGTAGCCAGTCGCATGCTAATTGCATGGCTGGAGCTAGCCTTCTTGCTTGCATCAGAGAAGTGGCATTACTATAACTTTAAATGTAACCAGTAATATAAAGGGAAGATTGTCGAGATGAATGCAGCCATCTTAGTAGTCACTACAATGGATGTGCATGACCCTGTGAGCCCCGATATCTGATTACCAGAATGCTGTTTCTTTAAAGTGTTTGACCACAAAATGAATTCATGCTTTTGTGTCCGGAAAGGCTTAATTGAAACCTAAATCCTGATCCATATTTCACACACCTTTCCTAAAATCATCAACAAAATATTTTGCATAAGTATTTGTAATTTCGAAAATAGGATTATGGAAATGGCTCTGTCACTTTAGTTGAAGTAACGCATTGATCATAAAAGCGTCGCCGTGTTTTAAACATGTCATAACAAAGTTGGTAGTGGGTTCGCCCAGATATATTATTATCATTAAGATAATTGGTCTGTCTCCACCATTCCGGTGCTCATATGTTTTACATTGACATGCCCTGATATCACCGTCAAATGAAATCAACGTTTCACCCAACTCACTCTCTGTATCAGGGTACATATGGAAATAGAACAGTTCAAGTCAGGATTGGCTGATCTCGGTTTGATGGGGCATCTTACTGAATCCCCGGACACCCTCGAGGTGCTGTTTGTCCACAAATCAGCCCAGCAGTCTGGTACACTCACATGCAGACACCTGAAGGACTTGTTCCAAGCTGTGCTGTCACCCGCGGGAACACAGGACAGGGAGGAGGAAAACGATACTTTGGTCGCATTGGAAGATTTTTTGAAGATATGTGAAGGTATGTGTTGCAAAAAGTCTTTGGTATTCAGTTAGAGTGAGTGAGTGAGTATGGTTTTACGCAGCTTTTAGCAATATTCCAGCAATATCACGGCGGGGGACACCAGAAATGGGCTTCACACATTGTTTCCATGTCGGGAATCGAACCCGGGTCTTCTTCTTTTTTTTCGGGGGGGGGGGGGGGGGGGGGGGGGGGGGTATTGTTTGTATGTTTCCATGTTCGGGATTTTTTTTCAGATTGTTTTTGCGGAAATTCGTATTTGAGTAAGGAACAGCAAATCCAAAAGTTAGATTCTTCAGCGTGACGAGGCTAGCCGACCGCCCCGGTATTCAGCTAGAAGTTGACTGGACTTAACTGAATTTCATTACTTTAGTATTTGTCTACTATGCTCAATGCACCTCACTGACGTGACTGATATTGAAATTGCCCAGTAGATCAAGTTACTTAATATTTAATGGTCCTTTTTCAAGTTCAGTATTGGGTTCATGCATAGTCATATATCACTTGAATACCTGTTTCAGCACAATCACACCATCTTCAAATGCAAGACCTTATCATTACATCTGTCTCGTCACCTGTGTTCGATTTCTCATATGGGTACAATGTGGGATTTAATCCCTGATGTCATCTTCTGCAATGTTCTTAAAAGCGGGACCCATCTTATCCTGACACAACTCGTTGCAATTTCCTTGACGTTGACCCAATACCACAAAACCCAAAACATGCCTCTTCCTCCATGGGGCCTTTTGCCTTTTGCTATTTAGGAATTTTATAAATTTTTATTTTTTACGTTTCCATGGCAACAAGTTGGACTTAGGTTCTATAAGGGTGCTGTTCGTTTCCGGAGCATAACTCAAAAACCGTTAAATGATTTCTTACAAAACGTTGCATGTTTACCAGACACATACTGAACTGGTGCCTTTTTCTATTTAGGAGTTTTATAATTTTTTATTTTTTACGTTTCCATTGCAACAAGTTGGACTTAGGTTCTATAAGGGTGCTGTTCGTTTCCGGAGCGTAACTCAAAAACCGTTAAATGATTTCTTACAAAACTTTGCATGTCTACCCGACACATACTGAACTGGTGCCTTTTTCTATTTAGGAGTTTTATAAATGTTTATGTTTTACGTTTCCATGGCAACACGTTGGACTTAGGTTCTATGAGGGTGGTGTTCGTTTCCGGAGCGTAACTCAAAAACTATTAAATCCTTTCTTACAAAACTTTGCATGTCTACTAGGCACATACTGAACTGGTGCCTTTTGCTATTTAGGAATTTTATAAATTTTTATTTTTTACGTTTCCATTGCAACAAGTTGGACTTAGGTTCTATAGGGTAGAGTTTTTTTCCGGAGCATAACTCAAAACTCATTCAATACTTTCAAAAAAAAACTGTGCATGTTTACCAGACACATACTGGACTGGTGCCTCTTGCTATTTAGGAATTTTAGAAATTTCTATTTTTCACGTTTCCATGGCAATAAGTTGGACTTAGGTTCTACAGGGGTTGTGTTCGTTTCCAGAGTGTAACTCAAAAACTTTCTTACAAAACTTTGCATGTCTACCAGGCACATACTGAACTGGTGCCTTTTGATATATAGCACTTTTAGAAATTTTTATTGTTTATGTTTCCATGACATTAAGTTGGATTTAAGTTTTAATATAGGATTGGTTTACTTAAGTAGTATAACAAATAAACTGTTAAATATTTCCTTGCCAAACATTGCATGTCTATATATAAAGCGCATACTGAATTAGTGCCATTTGATATTAAAGAGTTTTAGAAATGTTTATTTTAGAATTTCCATTGCAGCTATTTTGACAGGGGCTAAGAGAAATGTTGGGTCAGTTACCTGGTTTGGGACCATAACGTGTTAAAATGGGCGGGGGATATAGATGACTTTGTCAACTATACGCTTGTTAAAATTGTTTTGTATACACTGTTGTATGCTTATACATGCTTATATATTTTTATAAGGTACAGCATGGCAGAAAATGTCTGTGACCATGTATGGACAGTGATGTGTGTGCAGTCCCTGTCTGCAAGTCGGTGTGCGTCTTATGTCACATGTGCACAACTGTTTTTAAATTCACTGTGGGATGTTAATACATACTTAGTTATATATTAAAAAATATATATCAGCATGGCCAAAATGTCTTTGATTATTTAGGAGGATGGTACGAGTATCGACAGTGATGTTTACAGTCTGTGTGTGCAGCTTCTCGTGTCATAGGGCAAATGTAAGAGTGGTTCGCCTGTGGAGTGTCAGGACTGTCATAAGTTTGTTTGTGACAAAGACTATATATGGGCAGCATGTAACACTTCCATCCTCCAGGAACCGCCCCCGGTCTAGTGGTAGAGCGTCCGCCCGGAGAGCGGAAGGTCCGGGGTTCGAACCCCGGCCGCGTCATACCAAAAGACGTTAAAAGATGGTACTTGTTGTTACCCTGTCTGGCGCTCGGCATTAAGGGGCTAAAACAAGGACTGGTCGGCTCGGAGTCAGTATACTGTGTCTGAGTGGGGTATTCGTGTTTAACTGCGGCATGGTATCTCAGTGGGCTAGCACTATAAATCGGCATCAGTCCGGACTAGTACAAGCAGCCACACAAACACACACACGTACATGCACGTCGCTATATAAGTGCAATAATCTTGGACGCGACGTTAAACCCAATTTCACCTCACCTCACCATCCTCCAGGATGATGATCGCTTTGGTGTCTCCTATATAGTCTTCTACCAGCAGTGGCATTGGCTGATATACTAACGCCGTCACCACACGATGCGCCTGCTTCGGTAGAAGTGGAGTGCAAGACCAGGGCACTGACTACAAGCATGTGTACCGATCAGCGTGCTGCGTGGGAAAAAAGCACTGGCGAGGACAGGGAAGGCGCTTGGTGGAATCCAAGCTCTGACTTGATTAACAGGTCGAGTTGCCATCTTTGACTTTGTCGAGCTCACCAGCGCTTGATGGGGGAAGGTGCTTTTCCATTTTACAAGCCTCATGAGCTGGTGTTTATCAGAATCAGCTGTTCTTCATCGAGTGGATCATCTGATATGGGTGGCAGATGGCCTTGGGTTGGAGCCACCTAACCCGAAGAAATCTAAAACTGTTGTTTCAAACCACCTATTTCAGAGTGTGATCCAACTGGGATAACACTCATCCTTGGATCAGCATAACCATTCTTCTCCATCTTATAACCAACCAAGGCTGCTATGGTTATTATAACCAGTCACCATGGGCGATCCCTGCATCGACGTAGATGTTTTTGCGACAGCCACAAATGTGCTCCTTGGATGAATCCCCAGCGATTTACATTCAGATACTCATCGACAAATTATTTATAAGTGACTAGCTGCCAGTAATTGACAAATAAGCATCTTGATCTCAACAGAACATCCCAATCACCTGTTGGACTTGTCAGTTCTACAGGTTGATAGGCATCGTGTATCTGGAAGTCAAGGCTCATCACATCCCAGGCGTTACAAACTAGGTCACCAGTGCCTTTCATCTTGTTTCGAATGTTGTGTCAACAGTTGGCCACCCCAAACATTGATATTTTCACAGTGAGATACAATCACCAGTTGCCAGTCTTCATGTGACCAATATGAGATTCACTGGCTTACAGCCAAGTTGCGGGGAGGTACCAAAGGCAGTTGCGACCATTAATTCAGTACTGGCAGCTTCAAAGACTGTAAAGATCAGCACAGCATTGGAGATAACAGCTATGCTAGAAGAAGACCTCCAGCTTTGGCTCTAGGGGTGGTGGTACTACCAAACCTGGTATCACAACCCAGTGAACCGATAAAGCAGCAAAAAAGAAATAGGCAGCTAGAAATAGATGTTATAAAGAATAGCATGGTGTTTTGTCTTCGGGCAACAATTCTGCAGGCGTATCAACACAGACGTATGGACCCACCCTATGCACACCATGCACTCTTGCATCCAAGATGTCACTGCAAACTAATTGTTATTGAGTAATGTCATCAAGGTGTGTTTTTGGTAATTGGATAGGATACTACCTCTCCATCAAAAACGTAGAGATGTTCATCAGTTTATACTGGCACAGCAGTTGACTGTCCCAAATTCATGTCACTGACATTGACACTGTATCTACCATGAATATTATTTTTGAATATATATTCTTTGAAATAAATTGAAAAAAAATGTTTCTGTAGTGTATTTCAACACAACAGGAGATGTCAGATCCTATTGTACTCATGGCCAAGTCATCACTGAGCATTTTCCAGATATTTCCTTGTGACACGTAAAATCACATATTAGGAGGGATGGTGGGAATTTGTTCTACAGGCCACAGTTTAGAGCCCCAATACTCTAGAAAACGCTGTAAGCAATTGCTTGGTGCATTTCTAGATATTTCTTATGCATCATATGTGGCTCAATAAATATTTTGAGGGATTGTTGGGATTAAGCTATTATGCTCTTCATCCTAGAGTCCCAATCCTCCAGGCGTCACATGTATGAAGGCACACAGGCATATCAATCCAGATGTAAACCGGCTGGTTACTTATACTGCAAATTGCAGATCCCGCAGCATTCTGTGGGATAAGCATGGCAATACCTAGTGTCAGGAAAAGACATAATCCACATACTATGATATTAGTTTACTTATCCTGACACAACAAGACTCAGCCACAACAGTCTGTCCACCGTCGGACGATCAATCTAAGCGCTGAAGACAGTGAAGGGACCAGAGACAGATAACCTAACTTGGTAGCAAGGGCAGAGGAAAGAGGCACTTTTTGGTTGGGCTCTGTGGAATAGAATCAAAGTCGAGAAGGGAATTGGGTGTGTTGTGTCAGCATAAGTATACTAATATTATAAATATCCAAATACATGTAGTTTTTACAAAGCTCTGCCTTGTTTTGCAGATAATGAATCTGAAGTGAAACTAGGTGACATCCTACGGTTCTGGACAGGATCAGATGTGGTGCAATCAGAGGGTTACACGCAGGGCCTTACTGTCAAGTTTGTCCCAAAACGCTGCTACCCTCCCTCGCCTGTAGCAAACCCCTCTGCTTTAGTACTGGAACTGATGCGTGGATACAATCTTGATCAGTTAGCAGCCAATATGTCAGCTGCAGTTCTGCGATCCTAGGAATTTGGTCATGAAACTCTTTGCAATGGTTTCTGTTAACGATAAATTGATTATCCCATGAACTTACACAATGTGAATGTGTAGCAACTAAAGATAACATTTTGAATAATTAATGATATTACATAAATACATGTGCTTGTATCATAATAGTATTATATACTGAACAGCAAAAGTTCCTGTGACACTGAATAAGATTTAATGCAAAGATATGTTTTTTACCAAATCTGAAACAATTTCGGTTTGCAACAGATAAAAGACTCCTGTAAGTGTTCAAATGGTTTAATTTGCCATACTGACTTCAGAAAATGGGTGATTTCATAAAAAAACATGAACATCCAAAATGGCAATTTACAAATCAATAGCGTGTGTGTCCACCTCTTGTTGCGATGCAAGCAACACATTTCGTCTCATGGAATGGACCAGGCGTCGCACAAAGTCCTGTGGGATATCTGTCCATATCTGCTGGAGCATGTTTCGAAGTTCCCGGAGTGTCTGTGGAACACGTGGTGGACGTCGAAGGAGCCGATCCATCTCATCCCTCAGGGGAGCGAGCCGGCCAGGGGATGACATTCGCGTTGTTTTGTTGAAGAGTGTCCTGAACAAGTCGAGCAATATGAGGCCGGGCGTTGTCATGTTGAAAGGTAATGCCTGGGCCATGACGATGCAAAAACGGTAGAACAACACGGCCGATGATCTCGTCGCGGTAGCGCTGTCCATTGAGATTTCCCTCTACCACTATCAAACGGGTCCTCTGTCTTACTGTAATCCCACCCAATACCATAACGCTGCCGCCCCCAACCGATCTTCTTCCATGACACAATGATTGACGTAACGTTCATCTCGACGTCGGTACACTCGAATCCGTCCATCGCTGTGGCTGAGGTGAAAACGAGACTGGTCAGTGAATAGAATTTGTCCCCACTGCATGGCCGTCCAGCGAAGACGCTGTCTGCACGAGTGTAGACGTGCTTGACGGTGGTTTCCTGTCAAAATGGGACGTCTGGCGGGTCTTCTGGCGACAATCCCTGCACATCTGAGGCCAGGGATGCTTCTTGCAGTCACTGTTGCTGGCTGTAATCGATTTCGTAGGTGTGTTGTTCGAATCCAGTTGTCTTGTCGATTATTGGTTACGCGTGGCCTGCCACTCCGAGGATAGTCTCTGACTGCATTCGTCTGTTGCCAACGTTACCATAAACACCAAAGGGTGTTTCCGTGGACGTTAAATTGTCTTCCAAACATAACCGTTGACTCGATCCTGCTTCAAGCATACCAATTGCTCGCAGACGCTCAATTTCGGACAGGTGTGGCATTGTTGTTTTTCTGAGTGGTTGTTGTCAGCACGATGCTAAACAATGCATATGGAATCCCGTTAACGCACATGTTTTATACCCATTCTTGGGTACTGAAATGCATGGGGCTTGCATAAAAGTCAACTTTTGCATAGAATGCATGCTTTTCTGTAGCATTTCCTTTTTTGTGACTTGATTCCATACATGTACTACAATATTGAAAACCAAACTTTACTTGTTTGAAAAATACACTAAAAAATTGGTGTCACAGAAACTTTTGTTCTTGTGTATAGATTGACATTAACATTTGGGTGTTAACTTCTTCAGTATTTACTTATTGTTTCTTTAGGTTTCATTGTTTGGTAGTAAGACTGTTGAAAAACACCTTCATATTGTTTCATATTTCTTGTGTTTTTTTCACATTTCCTGTTCCTTTCCAAAATAGTTTTCATCAACATTTCCTCCAATCAAAGCTGTTGTTTATATAGATGTTAGGGAATCGCATTGATTGTAAACAAGGTGAAATTAGCATATTACACCTGCCCTCTTCCTAATCATATATTACTACATTTTAGAAGGCTTATAGGCTTATTATCTCTGTCATGGACCATAACCCTCCAGAAAAATTGCATCGATTTCTGCACATTTGGAGCTCTAGAAAGTACCTCCGCCACTACCATTTTAACACCTGCTCTGTGCTGTATCTCAAAGTTATAATTTTCGAATGCTACACGCCATTTGGCGTTTCATCACGTAGGACAGAGGTTTATGGTCACTGATAAATGTAAACTTGTTCCCGTCCATGTAGATTCAGAACTTGTCAAAAGCCCAAACAACTGCCAAATATTTCTTTTCTGTGGTTGAAGAGATAGACAGGAGTTAAAGTTCTTCATGCATATTCAATAACTCTCCCTTTTTGAGATGTTGCTAACTTGCTTGCATCCGTTTCTATCACAAATTTCTTGAATTCTGGATAAACTGTTGCATTTGTTAATCGCTATAAAACGAAAATATCTGGATGAAAACAAGGAGGAGTTTCTATATGTTATCTTTCCTTCTACCTGTAGTGACACTGACAAACATACCTAAACATACATGAATTATGTGGACTATAGTGTAATCAAGGGTGTCACAAGCATCGGGTATAGGACAAGCTTATTGAAATCATATCTCTTCTCTCAATTGATACCTCTCTCCGTCAAGATCTGACAAACCTTTCATTGGCGGTTACGTCTGTTGTGCTACGTCCGTTAAACCCTGAGCAGACTGACCGTTCAGTCAAACGAAGGATGCGAGGGATTGCTTTCAGATGACGGCTTTCTTAATCGACGGGGCTTCAATATCCAAGAGACGACCTTGGACAGTGCCAGTGGTGTCTGGTGTATGTGAATAAACGATAGCAGAAAAAAAAACGTGTGTTGCGGATTGTAAGGGTGAGTGAGTGAGTTGGGTTTAACGCCGCTTTTAACAGTATCCAAGTTATATCGCGGCGTGTCAGCTTAATGTGGGAGGAAAGCCCGAAGTGATGCAGGTCTGAGACGTTTACCACTTCGGTGAAACCAACGAGCACGGGTATGGTGCTGACAAACCTAGAAACATAATCAGGGCGAACCGGGATTCGAACCCACAATCATAGGTTTCTGGCGTGACCAAGGGACGCAACTCTGCACAGCGAATCGCGGCGCCTTAGACGACTGGGCCACCCGTGCCCCCGCGGATTGTAAAAGGGGACTGAAACGCCAGGGTGAATTTTTTTTTTTTTTTCAAATATCACAACATAGTGCCGCCATTATTCTCCATTCGGAACTGCCCGTTTACGTTCTGTGCGACTTAGACCTTTGACACTCACCTCACCCCAACTCTTTGTCGTATGATCTGTTTACATGTTTCTGTTTACAATAAAATGCCGGATCGGGTGGTCAGGCTTGGTGACTTGGTTGATGCATGTCATCGTATCCCAATTTCATAGATCGAATGCTCATGGTGTCAATCACTGGATTCTCTCTTTCAGACTCGATTATTTACAGACCGCCGTCATATAGCTGGAATATTGCTGAGTGCGGCGTTAAAACAAGTAACAAAGTGATAAAATGATACACTTATGCACTCCTATATTGTAGCGGCCTTCACCCAAACGTGTGATAAACATTGACCTCCTGGTTGTTGCTAAGCGCCAAGCACTTCCTTTCAATGAATAGATAGCTATATGATCATATGGGTATAACAATATTTCAACACAATGCTTTCTCATAAGTAGACCCCCTTGAGCTTTCATAGCAGCGGTGGAGAACATTTTGGACAGCCAAGACGAATTTCTTCGAAACTGGGATACAATCCCTCTGTTGGCAAAAGTGTATTTGGAAAAGAATTAAGCTTAAAAGAATCATTTTAATGTCTTTAGGTCTTTTCTTTGTGAGGCTCAGAACACACCAATCAACTTTCGTATAGAATACAGGCTACGATCTCGATGTGGTAAAAATGACTAAAAAAATTCTATAAATTTCTGAAACGTGTTTCTTTACTTACAAGCTGTAGAATCTCTGCACTTGTACACAACAGACGTAATTCAAAATTAACATAGCATGTTATTTAAACAAAACAAATAAATGCGCTATCGCGTCACTGGATCTATTGTTTCATTATCGGGCCGGTGATTTAGCCTTGTGGTTAAAGCGTTTGCTGATCACGCTGTGATATTCCTGGACACACACACACTCACCGAGTATGGACCAGATAAATCATGTAAGTGCTCGCTGTTGTTGTTTGTTGGTTTGTTGTTTATCGCCGCATTCAGCAATATCCCAGATATACGACGACGGTCTGTAAATAATCGAGTCTGGACCAGATACGATGACATGCATCAACCAATTTTTTTTTAAGTCAGCGAGCCTTACGGCAAGCATGGCTTGCTTACAAGACTATTCTAACCCGGATCTATACGGATTCGCTGTAGTTGAAAACCTTTTATCAAACTTACTTGAACTGCCACACGGGACGAGCCTTGCGTCTCTTATTGAAGAGGGTTGTGAGATGATTTATAAAATGACTAATCTCCTAATTGTTAGCCATGGTAGGCCAAAAGATAAATACAACATTTTTCATTAACATAAGCCCACATATGAATCTGTTCGTCAAATTTGGGCGGATGAATCAGGAGTGACAGAATTATTGCCAATTATAAAATGAGTGACCGACCCTGTTTCAACCAATACAAGCGCCAAACCCCCTCCATGATCATGATCATGATCATAGTGAGTGAGTGAGTGAGTTTGGTTTTACGCCGCTTTTAGCAATATTCCAGCAATATCACGGCGGGGGACACCAGAAATGGGCTTCACACATTGTACCCGTGTCGGGAATCGAACCCGGGTCTTCGGCGTGACGAGCGAACGCTTTAACCACTCGGCTACCCGACCGCCCCGATCATGATCATAATCATAATCATAAGAATACTTTTCAACTCAGTCTTTTCTTGTGAATATGTCATGGTGTCATTCAAGAGTAGAAGAGGAATAGAAAATACAAAAGAGGTTTTACATTGCAGTTTGAACATTATCAAAAAATAGATAGCATTTACCATGTAACCATTGTGCGCATATAATGTATCAGTGTTCTTATTCCGATTTCATGATCTTTTTCCATTGGATAAAGTTTTTCACATAAATATTGTCTCTCACAGGTGAGAAAAAGGCGTGTCCATCCTGAATGACGTAGAATGGTTACATGCCGGTCAGCCAATAGCATTTTGTTGAAACCGTTTCATGGACTATATAAACTTTCAATTTTTCTTCTAAGAGCACTTTGATTTTATTTCTCTCTTAACTCATCCTTGCCCTGAATATCTAACCAAACCAACATGACACAGATGAATGATACGTTCACTGTGACGGTCATTAACCTACTCCCTTGCCAACTCTCCTCAAGGATAAGGGATGACATGAGGACACAGTTCCAGGTGTTGTACCAGGCCAGAATACAGGAGACACTGCAGGATCGAGGCATCTACAGCACGGGGACTATAGACGTCTCAGTGGACTACAAGATGGTCACATATAATCCTTCGGACAACGATGGAACAACCCGACGGGGGATCATCGAAGACGGTGATGCCTTTATCATACTCTTTGACTTGGCAGCGCTTGATGCAGCAACACAACTACGCAAGGAGATACAGAGTGAAGACCGCCGCAAATTCATACCCGTCGTCCTGAAAACTGTCAAACCAGAGCACACTGGGATGTGTACGCTTCCTGACGGTAATGAATCTCATCCGGGTCCCACTTCTTCCCTACTGGTGGATGCCTTCGAGGACCTTTCCAGTGTTGTGGAATCTGAGGTAGGTTTTATTGTTCCTCCAAAGAGAGCAAGAACTTACACAAGGCTGTCGACGTTTCAGAGACTACGAAAAAACATAACTCGAAAACTTTCCTTGTTTTGAAGAATGAACTGCTGTTTCACTAGGATGGGATTTGAGATGAAATTGGGTTTAACGTCGTGTCCAAGAGTGTTGCACTGATAAAGTATGCATTCGCGCGCGCGCGCGCGTGCGTGCGTGCGTGCGTGCGTGTGTGTGCTTGTACTAGTCCGGACTGATGCCGATTTTGAGATACCATGCCGCAGTTTAACATGAATACCCCACTCAGACAAAACATACTGACTCCGAGCCGACCACTCCTTGTTTTAGCCCCTTAATGCCGAGCGCCAGGCAGGGTAACAACAAGTACCATCTTTTAACATATTTTGGTATGACGTGGCCGGGGATCGAAGCCCCGACATTCCGCTCTCCCGGCGGACGCTCTACCACTAGACCACGGAGGCGGTCCACTCGGATGGGACAGATATTCGACACCGGCGTCGCTGTACGTCGCCTGATACCATGACTGAAGTTAATGAGGCTACGTCAGGACACTGAGAACGCCGACTAGTTCACACAGCGTCATGATCTGTGATTGAAACAGTAACAACTGCTTGATTTATTTGTGTCACCAAGAGAAAGTGACTTATTACATCAGGCGACATAAGCAGACCTAATGAATATCATATGTTGGCCTTTCCTCACCTAGATATGTATTAATATTTATCAACAAACGTTCTAGCTCCATGTAATTTAGCACATCATGTATATAATAAATGCCTTATGTCATGCCTTGTGACTCTCTTCCTCTGTTATAATTAGTACTATTTAATATACTAAAACAGAAACTGTGCATAGCAAACAGTGAATACAGTAAATGAACAGTAGAAATGTATTCAAAATCAATGATATTGCATGAAACAAAATGTGACTCGTCGGTGAACATCACACGTGTCCACGAGGACAGAGGCTGCCTGATATGTTGTCTGTAGACGTGCCCGGCGATGACGTGATGTCATAATGAATTTCATAATGAATTTCCTTCAGAATGCGGGAGTCAACGTCATGGACTGGCCGTCAAGGTCTCCCGACCTCAATCCCATCGAACACGTCTGGGATGTTCTTGGCAGAAGTCTGCGCACTCTCCAGAACCAACCACATAATTTGCGAGATCTTGGTACCATTTTGCAGCAACAATGGCGTCGTCTTCCCAATCATGTGTTCACAAGCATCACAAGGTCCATGCGGAGGCGTTGTGTGGCAGTTGTCAACGCACATGGTGGCCATACACGCTACTGAACTTGTGTGCCATCAGATTCTCGTGCTTGGGACTTATGATTTAAACTGTTGATGTTATTACCGAATACCGTAGGTGCCTGGAACAAGTTATGGTTACCACTGTTAATTAAAATCCTTCTTTGGACATGTATGATTAAAAATTACCTTCTCTGATACATTTGTCCGTTGTATATCATATATGGGATTACTTTTTAAAATGTGAAGTTTTTAATTTGACTCAGTATATATCTGGCCTTGAACAAAATGTTGATTTTGAGGCACTGCAGCACTAGCTGCCTAATCAGTGACATGATTCTGGGTGCCTTTGAAGACTGTTATTGATGATTGACACTACAGCTTGGTTATCACAAAAGAAAATTACTTCCCTGTTAGCAAAGGCTGTCCCCCACAGACAAACTGACAGCACAATCGGAAACAACTCCAGCAGTGTCATGTCACGAGTCGAGCCGGCATCCACCCACCACCGGGACCAGAGCCCGTTTGCCCAGTTCCCGTTATAGTATGCGTCGAACCCCACAGTGCTGGCTGCGTCAGTAAACAGCTGCAGACATGTATTGTCAGCCCACTTTTGATTCTGAAAAACCGACACACCGTTAAATTCCCCCCAAAACCCTAGCCAAACCTCTAGGTCCCCCCGAACTCCCCGCGCGATGCGAACGCGGTGTGCTTGATGACTTACCTTTGTATAGGCATCAATCAGTCTGCGGCAAAACGGTCTACCCATGGGTATTGCCCGGCACATGAAATATAGCTTACCCACCAGAGACTGCAAAGCTTTACGGGTAATGTCCCGTTATACCCCGCTACGTAGCAGAAAGACTCACACTTCCGATTCAATGAAAGTCACATGACATCGCTTGGTTGGTTGGTTTGTTGTTTAACGCCGCACTCAGCAATATTCCAGCTATATGACGGCGGTCTGTAAATAATCGAGTCTGGACCAGACAATCCAGTGATTGACATCATGGGCATCGATCCACGTAATTGGGATACGATGACATGCATCAAACAAGTCTGCGAGCCTGACGACCCGATCCCGTTAACCTCAGCTCAATCGAAAGCTGTTTTCTATCAATTTTGAATTTATTGTAATTCTTTTACAATGTCATATTATAACATGTCGGTAAGATAAATTCTTCGTAGCAGTATCACTCGGGGTACATGTGGTTTTATGCGCCCAACGTTAGGTTTTATAACCTCGTGGGGAATGTTTCATTTAATGGAATGTACATAATTTATGAATACGGACATGGATACTTCGCACCAGTCACTTCATCGAAAATTTTCTTAGCTGGTTATCTAACACAAAACTTCAGTTTGATCATTGCATAAGTGACATGCGTCTATATAGGACCCAAAGTATACTAATAGGAAATAAAGGTGATGCGAACGCCTAAATATTTAAATTATATTACAAATTGACTGTACAATGTCTCCAATTATTTTATTATGATAAAGAATTTCAAACATCACCTAGTGACTGAAAATAATAGGTTCAAAAGAAAAGATAAGTCAATGATTATATTTTTCATTTTTTGGCTTCTAATCCTAGCAATATAAGCATGTTGTAATGTTTTTAAGCCCTTTTAAACATTTTAAACAATTTTTAGTCAGCCTGTCAAATAAATGGTCAGATGTTACATTAATTTGTAAAATGAATGAAATATTTAAGCATATATTTGCATAACTGAATCACATTTTACACGATGACTATAACATACAAACGGTCATTCTTGCAGATTTTGGTAAATATTATAGACCTACAGTTTCCAGTGGGAACTTGACTTTTATAGTCAATTAACTCCCTTGCCTCGGGAAGATGGGTATATCTACCATGTTTGCTGACAGATATGTGATTGATCTTTGAGACATGTTGGCAGATCTAGTCTATTTATATACGCACTTAGTGTCGGTACTTGTCGAACAAGGTATTGTTGAAGGGTATGTCTATATTTACGCTGACAAGCTACGCTATTCAAGTTAGCAAAACTTTCTCATTCATAAACGTCTCTCGTCTTTCTATAGAGCATGAGGTTTTGTTTACCTTAGCTGGGTGGGTCATGTGCTGTAAACGTTCTCATGACAACGGCGAATGAGGGCACGCGAAACAGGTGCGTGCGCAGCTAGAAACAACATGGCGGTCGATGACCACAGCAAACGAAAATGTGAGAGAAAGTTGGGGTAACTTTCCTTCGGCGCTAAGCCGATTTGGATCATCTACAGGTATGATAGTTTGCCAACGTAAGTGATTATTCGGTATATCCCTGGTTCATGTTTGAACGAGTTTTCTTTTCTGGAAAACACACATTGTTTTTTAATTCGAAAATAAGATTTCTGAAAGTTGTCTGCTGTCCAGGAGATATTAGATAAGATAGAAGACTCGTCTGCGTTCCCCGCACCGATTCTCGATGACCGATAGCCAGAATTAATTGCTGTCATTTTTCTTCAATTTTCAGATTAAAATTAGAAAGATTAAAATATGTATACTTTGAATAATGTTCAATCTGTATGGGAGAAATATTCTTCTGAAGTTCAAAATAGTCTAGATAAATGCCAAAATATTCTAGTCTGGCATTGGTGAACATTGACAGGCATTTAGAAGTTGGAAAAACTTGTACAGTCCCTACATGACACTTATTTTTATGGATAACAACTTCTTATTATTCAAATTCGTTTTTAAAACTAAACACACTTTACTTTACTTATTTCCAATTAAGTAGATATAGTAATATAAAAAAAATGGTGCGTTGGTGTCATTATTAGTTTCCAAACAAGGAATCAATCATGAGAAATATTTGATTTATTATTTTCAAATTACGTTTATCATTTTTATTCATTTTAATTTAGAATCTAATAATGAATAGAAAATTTTGTTTATCTCACTCAATTGAGATATGTTATTAAGTACTCTTTTTGCAGAAACTATGACTCAGTGGTTTTCAGAGTAGGAATATAGAAAGAAAATACATAATATAGAATTACTAGACTTCTATTTAATAGCCTTTTCTCAGAGAAATATCAGTTTGTTATTTGACAAGGAAATACAGATATCCTCTATATATTGCATATTACAATCTGTTAACAGGCGGATTTATAGTGTTTCTAGTGCAATGCATTAAATTGGTTTCCCAGTAGGCCTAGATGTGTGTGTGAGTATTGGAAATATTTGTTCTTACGTTTTGACATTTTTTCATTGATATTTACAAGAAGGATACTGAGAAAGAAAGACCTAAGTCTTTTGGTCATATTTTTTTATTATTCTAGTTCATAATAATTCTTTTTTCATTTGTCAATTTCTCATTTAAACCTATGACAAACATGAGAAGTCTATTGCACCTATTCATAAAGTTGTAAACAAATGTAAGGTTAAAAGAAACAACATCAAATGTGCATTGTTCTACATAGGTTTGATGCCAGTGTTGATTCGCTTTTGGTACATCCTTGTCATGCTTAGAGACACACTAAATCAAATATATTACTCTTCATTGATGGAAATGTTTTCCCAATCATTAGTTCTCAATTTATCATATTGATATAATATGTTTAAGATATTTCTTACTTCCCTGATTATTTTGTCAAATTATCTCAAGACCCAAGTCCTAAATAATGTCCAAATGAAATGGGCTGATTCAAAGGTAGTCCAAATGTTATTAATTCTGTTACCCAAAACAGATATTTCCTTGAAATATGAAATATTCATTTGTTTACAATTTCCAGGTACATTATATTGTAACACATTGTTTTCTTTGACATAAAAGGGTGAAATTAGGAGTTGAAATGTATATGATATTAGCTGTCAACAGAAAACCTGAAGTAGTGTTAGAAATTGGAACTAGTCCTATATCTGCTATGGTACTAGTATTTGAATATAGTGACCCCTTGGCCTAAATCTTCAAGTCTTGACTTTCATCTTTTATTTTGAAAAAAAATATCTTAAGAACATTTTGGATGATAATCAGCCTATGTCCTATAGAGTGAACCAATCTGTACCATGGAAGTCACGTCAGTCTTGTGGAACTGTACAAATTACTGCTTGACAAATGTTTTATTTCCATTCTATTTGGGCATGAGCATGTTGAAGAAAATGTTTTGATTCTCTTTTCCCAATTATTTTCAAATGTTTTCATTATGTTTCAGAATTTACTTTGTGACATTTGAGAGACAAGAAAGATGTAAGTGACAAAAGAGACAGTACTTTGTCACCATGTCATCAGCATTAGGAATATGGAAATGTCATGAGTGTAGCATGACATTTACCAGCCCTGGGCTGCTTGCAAAACACAAGAGTAAGTTTTGCCCAGGGAACACAGTAAGCCGGACTACAAGGATACTAGACTTTTCTCCCAGGCCAGAGTCCCCAGAGGTGAGTGATGTTATTACATTTAATATTGATGGTTAAGAAGTAAAAACTGGAAAAGTGAAAGAATTTGTTTGCCTTATGTCATTATGACCGTAATGATTGTTCAAAAATAATTTTAATTTTGTCATGAGATTTGTGGAATATCTTATGACTATATCATATGATATACATGATAAGGCAATTTTAAATTTATTATTATTATTATTATTTAAAAAGTTAGATTTTTTTCTATAAATGATGTTAAACACAGCCAAACTTAAGATGTACATTTAGAATTTGATAAAACTTATGTGGAAGTATGCAGAGACATGTCAAAACCAATCTGTTCATTTCCAAACCATCAGTAATATCCTTTTCCATGAACCAAGAATATTCTAGAAGGCAGAAAACATCAAAGACAAAGCCAAGAAGGCTGGTCACACCTTCTTCATTGATTTGTCTCCATAGGTGAATAAATCATTTGGCATCAACAATGGAAATGATTGAAGACTGAATTTTCTATGCTGGGTTTCTTTTATTACACATTCAGTTCCATTGTGGCTGTGTCTGGCATGTAAATATTCTGATTAGCCCCCTGGGAGGGCATTTTTTGGAATGCATACACATTGGGTCAAGTAGATCAGGCCCACGCACTGTAGGAAAATGTAGTGAAAAGGTGGCATGAAATTGCTTGGTTTTCTCAGGTTTTATATATGGTTCAGGGAAGCTGTACATACGATCAAACAAAGAAATGTGGTTGACCATTAAAGGTGCACTATACCATTGTATACCAAAATGCAGCCTAGGTGTATAGACTTGTAAGGCATATATTGTGAAAATGACTGCCAATTCATCTAAGCCTAGTCCTCCTTTAATTGGAATGATGTTACACTGTATTTTAATTACACATTTACAGGCATTGATCAAGGATGTCTAGCAAAGTGCCTCTAGCAGGCCAGTTAGGAAGATACTATTCTTTTGTTCAAAATTTGGATATTTTGTTTGGTTTAGATATAGGAGTATATTAAGCTTGTATTCAAAGAAGTAATGTAAAATTTAGTATTCAAGCCTTTTACAGATAATTTTTGTTCTGTTATCTGTAAATAAAAAGTCAGCTTTTCAAAGATGAAATATAAACAAGGTTCTATTATGAACTATGAATTGAGAAATTTCTAATTATATTTTGGGAATTGTTACTGACTTTTGCTGCAGAACTGGATACGATTATCACTCTCAGCAAATACCTAAATATATCCTTGAATTTAATGTGGTATTGCATTGTTTATATTATTTATGCTAGTTTTGAGTGGCATAAAGAATTTAATATTATTTGATGTATATTGCCTGTAGAAACATTATAACATGAATAAGTCGAGATCAATGTTTCTTTCGTGTTTTATTGTTGCACCTTCACTAAATGTTTGGAAAAGTAAAAGGAACTCAAATAAATCATCCAGCTTTAAAATATGCTTCTTTCAAATGTCTTCTTGGTAGAGTTCTTTAATTTCAATAACCTTTAGCAAGAAACATGTGATCACACACTCAAACTCTTAATCGTTAGGCAATTTAAATATGACATCCTTTCATTAACTTTACAATCACTTAAATCAATTTACAGTTTTTATCTTTTACCTCCTGTATCCTAACATCAATAAAACAAGAAAAATAGTTGATCTGGCCTAACATCAATAAAACAAGAAAAATAGTTGATCTGGCCTAAGTGCAAAGTGTTGGTTATTTTACTTTTTCTGTGCATTTACTGACTTGTATATTTAAGTAAGTTTTATCATGTTTAATAGTTACAGAAACAAACTTGTTCAATAGGGGAAAAGGTAAGTTTTATTGTCATGTTAATTTGTGTGCTTATTCGGTTTGAATGTTTGTCACATTTTCAGTTGGTCTTGCTATCATGTTCTGATAATTCTTTGGTATCATTATAACACTAAAACATTAAGCTAAATGTCCAATGTCTTGGAAATATTTTTGAAAAATATGATGAATCATTGCAATATTGTGTCATATAATATATATTGGTCCTTAAACATTTGCATAATATTAGCTTTTTTGTACCAAGTTTGTGTGCAACCATGTTAGCTGCAATCCTGTTTCATGCATATCCTGGTATCTCCTGCTTCCTGATGTCTTTATCCCATTTTCCTCTGTGGATCTGTGTTGGTTTTTTTATGATTTATGACAATTGTGATTATTCATGCTACTTAACTCAAATCTTCATCTTGCTTGATTCCTTGGTTGGAGATTTAATTAAAGTCATAATTTATACTATTATTGTTCAAAATATATATACGCAAAAGTTGTTTTGCTGAGTATATATCATAACTCCTGTATCTAAGTAATATTGACGAGAGTTAAAACCTTTCAACATAAATGTATATTTGAACATCATAATCATGATACTAATAAATTTAATACAATTCATTTATTGAACGCTGGAGTGAAATGAATGAAGCACTTCTTTAATTACAAGTCTAGCATGTGAATCAATGTGCCTTGGTGCTAATGCTGTAGTTCATTTCATCTACTTCTTGTTATTTCAGTTTCAACTGGTTCAAAATAAAATCACTTTTATATGCGTGTTCTTTGTTTTGTGTCGCCTTTGTTCTATGCATGTCTGTTTTTTGTTCTTTGCATTTCCCATCCCTGTGTTCAAATATTTAACAAAAACAGTTTTGCAAGTTTGCCCATTGATTTCTAATTACATGCATTCAGAATGGAAACACCATAGTGGCTCAGAAACTGGTGAGATATTCCAAGCCTTCCTTCATTATGTTCATGTACTTCCTGTGGTAATACAACATACCCATATATATTTTCTGGTCCTCTTGAAGAGTAAATTATAATTTATTACAAAGCCATGTCTGAAAAAGCTGCCTCCCCACACCCTGTGGCTGGTAACATTTCAGGATAGGTGAAATTTATTTATGAGTAAAGAGATATGTATCTTCCCGAGTCAAGGGTGTTAACTGACTGCAAAAGTCCAGTTCCCACCCTTGACAAACTATGCTGGTTTTCGTGGCTCGAGTTTAGGGCCACCAGGGGCCACATCTCTTGCAGTTGCTTGAAACAAAATGGCGGCGTCCAGTCAAGACGATCTGATCGATAATCAAGTACTATGTTGTAATAAAACAGGCCTCACTTCAAGAAGTGCATCAAATCATTTGAGCACCTTGATAAAAAATATGAAACATGAAAAGATTTGGAAAATATGTGACGGAACACATGCTTTGCAAATCCTGCTGTCCATGTTTACGAAACCAGATGTCTAGTTAATAGATTTTGATTAGACTATGCATAGATTGGCTAGTCCTGCCAAATATTTTAACTCCAGAATTCAAGCGTAGTTTGCCAAGGGTGGAAACGACTTTTACAGTCAGTTAACTCCCTTGCCTCGGAAAGATGAGAGATATGATACTTTGTCACATATATGAGTGTAAGTCCACAGAAATGGACTGCTGTGAACATATCCACTCATTTATTGATGGAATATTAACTGATGCTCAATGCATTGTTACTACAAAAAGGCAAACTATTCCAAAATGGTTGCTTTGAATGAGGATTCCACATCTAAGTCAGTTCAGTTTGTTATCAGTAATCCTTAGTCATACTTCACTGAAGATGCAATAAAGTATAGTGGAGATATTTGAAGATATGTTAACTGCAGATAGATTTATAGTTTTTTAAAATAATTTATGGGTTCAAACTTAACATAAGTCTACTCGTCCGAGACGAGTAAAGTTCAGGCAGGATATTACCTTGTGGACTATCCGTTCTACCATTACGTAGATCATGTGTTACCCTGAAATTCTCTTTAAGTCCTACAAGATAGTAACAATGCATATTGGCATACTTCTAATGGGTTGCTAAATAGCTGAATATTGAAGGGACACTGTAACCACTATTTATTTTCAAAATGTTGATATATGTACATGGTTTTTTATTATTTTTAATGATGATGGGCACAAACCCTGAGATTTTCCCACAAAACCGTTAAAACCAATGGTTAAAATCAAATTGCAGAAGGGCGCATGGAACCTCATTAATGTAGAAGGCCTAAGAAATTATGCCTACATGATGTGTCAGCAAAATTTATAAGTACATGTATGTACATATGGGAGAACAAAAAATATTTTTTCTCCAACAAAATTCCCCATCTGCTAGTAAATTCTTTAAAACACTTTGCTATCAAATTACCATGTGTATAACCACAAATCTAAAATATGATTTATACTATAAACATGTGAAATGTGACTATATGTTACAACACAAAGGAAACAGTTATTGCTATCTGCCTTTTGCATTTTGTAAGCCCACACCTATGAACATGATGAAAACTATATTGCAGTCAGTTGAAAATATTCTTATTGCAACACATCCTTATATGCATTCATAAAATAATTCTTACTTCTAAAATATTCAAAGTATGTATTTCAATAGGACGAGGGTATATTCTTGTTTTCATTTAAGAGAAATTCTGTTCCTCTTGATATGTGCACAGGGCATTTCAAGACGGATCATGTTCATTTCACCAGATCATCGTCTATGTCAGTTTTATTCAGTGTTTTGTACCTTACTGCTATGTACTCTCTAGCATTCTATATCAGCATGCTGTTGTCAAGCAGTCTATCCCCAATGTTATTGTCCTTCCCTGCTTAGCTATACCTACCCTTCAAGACCATAGAAAGCTTTTATTCTATCATGGCCAAGTGCCTATCTATTTATGCATTGTCAACATATACCAGGCCTTTTCTATGGCATGTTGTACAGACCATTGAGAGTTGTGGCTGTGAAAGACGACTCAAGTTTTAAATTGGTAGCTGTGTTGAAAATACCTGGTTACAAATCAAAACATGACCAGGTATTATTTGTTTGGGGAGGTGGTTTTTGTCTAGAACATAAAAGATGAATTTGCGAGTGGGTTTTTATTGCAAGTCAAATTGATTGCTCACATAATGTGTCCTTTGATATTTATTCTTCACCCTCTGTGGGTTCTCTATGCAAGAAGACTGATCAAACCTGTCACAGGAGTTGTTTAGATAGAAATGACCGTTGCCAATAGTCACGCCTCACAAGGATAAGTCATTTAGGGCTCGCCTTCTGGTCAGAGAGAGGCTGAGAAGATTTGATCCAAATGTTACGAGAATATTCTGTTTAAGTTTGAAGGACATTTCAAGACAGTTTATGTTTCATTTTTGGACTTGTTTACTTTTATCTCTGAACCTTAATCACTAATTTTGTGTGAAGTCAATTCTGTTCCTGGGAGGATCTTTATCCTTTGGCAATATGAATTTACGAAATTTTCACATATTTTCCAAAATGAAAGACCTAAAACTGTCAAGCCCTATGCCTCCAGCTTGGCTTCGGGGCAGTATAAACCAACAAGATCATAATAGTCTTGTCGTGGCAACTTTTCATAAGAACTTAACAAATCTCTGAAAAATTTAATTTCAAGGCAGCAATTAAATTTTTCTAAAATGCCTAACCGCAAAAAGGTAAGCGAACTCCAGGCTCTAAAGGATCGGCGATCTCGTATGCGAGAGGTCCGGGATCTGGAGGAGCGGGTGCTCCTGGACAAGCTGGACAACACGGAACGTAAACTTAATGCTGGAGTGGGAAAACACAACAAAGGAAGACTTCATTTATCTCATCATAAAGATGTACGGCAGCTTCAGATCGATGTAAGTATGCACTTGATTATTTCATAAACTTACAAAGTTGAATGCACTGTTACAGAAGTTGCCGAAATATACCTGTTATTATGGATGAAACTTTAACAAGTCTGTTCACTTTAAAATAATGTCTGCATTATATTTGTTTCTTGGTGAATCACAAGATTTTTCAGTCCAGACATTAATACTGAAGGGGATATTGGAAATTAGCCCCAAATATTTCAGTAAAAGATTTTTAATGGGCAGTATGTCTGTTTGGAATCACAGGTTTAGCATTATAGTCGTTGGTTAGTCAAGACAAGACCCATCATCATGAATTTTACAAAATGGAAGATGTCTATGTTCTAAATCATTACTTCAAACTCTTCTCAACCAGATGTTCATTGTACTCGTTAAAGTGTCATTAAACTTCAATTCTCTCAGTCACGCACTCAGGCAAGATTATGTAAAATACACATGACTTTCATGACATTTAAGCTTAAAGGTTACACACAACCAAATGTTTTCCCATAGACTTCTATGGTAACGTTATATTTTTTTTTTAAATAACTAAGCATTCAACAGCTATTACCTGTACGTGTGTGCACAGTTTGGCCTTAGAGCAGCAATAAAAAAATAAAAAATGACTAGCTTAGCCAGCTCCTTTTCCGAGTACAGGAAGCTAAACACACCACCCCCAGTTTCGCACCAAATGTCACCTACTTGAAAATAGCTGTGGTCACATTCAGCATAAGTCATCATGTTGAAAAAGACAGTACTAAATATAGAAAAACATGGTCAGTTTTAATAACTGGATGGATGTACATTTGAAAGACATAAACATCTTACAGAATATCCTCCAATCACAGCCTGCAGATATCTCTTGATCTGCACTGAAGGCTCCCTACGAAAACCACACTGTCCAAACTGGTTCTGATTTGGTGTAGTAGAACCTAAAAGATCTTTTATAGCAATATCAGATTAATCTAGATTCTATAATTAGTGGTTTATCATGTTTATGAGTGCAATGCCACTCCTTTAATTGGTCTGGGTGTTTGATGTATTATTATTGAGAAAATCCATCAACTATATGCATGACAAATTTAACATCGTGCATTTGTGAAAACTGAGATTGTACCCCACCTGAACAGATTATCTCTTACTATATCAAGGAATTTCATTTCATGGTGTTGTGATGCTGCTAAATGACACTTCTAATGCAGCCAGTAATGTTATAGTATACAATGATATACAATCTTATTCATAATTATGATAGTCTACATCACAATTTATTATTATTGATGAGTGCAAAAAACTTTTGAGTCTACCATGTATAGTAGCCCAGACTTTTGGCATTATTTTCAGTAGCTATAAGTGTGAGTATATGTATTTATACAAGCTGATGTTACTTGACCATAAGGAGCAGTGGGGTAGCCTAGTAGTTAAAGCATTCACTGATCACACAGAAGGCCTGGGTTTGATTCTTAACATGGGTACAGTGTGTATCCCATTTCTGGTGTCCCCCGCCGTGATATTGCTAGAATATTGCTAAAAGCGTGTTAAACCATACTCACTACTAGAACATAAGAAAGTTTACTGGACATGGGCTTCAGACTAATGGCTAAAGTCACAAACTGCTAGTGTCTTTTTTTTTTGTCTTATCACCATTAAAATGTTTTGCTAATGTCACCTGAACTTTGTTATTCATTTTAGAGTATTTCATTGTGTTTTTTAAAAAAGTATCCCCAGCATGACTCATATGTGCTAGTTTTTTTGTCATCACAGCTGTCTATTCCAGTCCTTATTTATTCAACCGTGTTATCAATACATTAAATACAGTCAACATGGTGAGATTTGAATGCATGAGTCAACATGATCAGATGATAAATATCAGCTGTTATGAGTGGATTAAATAAAGGGAATATTATCAAACAATGCATGTGATGACATTTTCATGTTCCACAATGATTGTTCAGCATGTGTTCCATTGTATTTCAGTATGAGAGACTCCGAGAACGAGAACATTCATACCCCACCGGCAGACACAGTACTTTTTCCATGAACAGTGACTCTAGCATGAGCATACACCTCCCTGATGAAGTAAGTCCCTGATGCTGTGCAGCCAGCTGGAGTGGCCAGATGCACCATGGAGGCACTTGATCACAGTGCATGTTTTGTCACAGCCTGTTACACAGTTCTTGTTTGTCACTGTTGTTTTATTTTTATTCCTAATCTTTAGGTGCTACTTTTAATGAAAATTGGTTTACAGATCCACAACTCTAAAAAAATAAAAATGGGTACAAAGTCAAATTGGAAAATTTCACTGTATAAAATTGAGACAATTCTATGCTATACAGTAGGACCAATGAGACTGGCTTAGTAAACACTTTACATATGGCAATCAATACATTGCAATGTCTTCTTGGAGATCAAAAATGAAATGTGAAATGTCTTTTGTATTTGTTTCCCAACTGCCGACCAAGATTATTTACAAAATAATATGTAAACCAAGAGGAAAAGTCTGGCCTTACTGTTTCCAGCACTAGCTTGACAAGTTTCTCACTTAAATTTATGGTTATTTGATTTGCTTAACTGACATGGCTTTGAATCTCAAAATATCAGTGGTGTATAGAGTTAAACAGGCACCACACTGACAGACTCTGCCAAATACTTTTGAGTTTACTAGCCGACTTGGCTCTTAGCATGGGGTTTAGTCATCGATCTTACAAGAACGAACAGAATTTTACTAGATTCAGGCTAACGGCTAGTGGCCAAAGTCGCAGACTGCTTAGAAATGGAGCCAGTGCAGCGAACACGGGGATTGTATGCAGTTGACTACAGTTAGCTTTCCTATTAACAATAACAACTGATGCTGCTAGGCATCTCTCTTGACTTGTGAATCATCTGCAACACTTACTAATTGTGTTCACTCAAAGTGTGTTAATTTTATCTTACCCTGACTCATACTTATTTCTCATGATGATACATACATACATACATAAATACATATGTGCACGTGTGCTTAAGTTAACCTGTGTGATTTGGGTTTCATGTTTTGTGTTATATAAATATATTTTGTTGATCACAGATTTGTTTGAATGGTGTTTTGTGTGACATAGATATGCTTTTTTAAAATTTTTGATCACGTGTATCTTGCACATGCCAATACTGTTATGTCCATTTGATATGAGACTTAAGTAGACTTGTAAATTGTGTAAATCACCTTGTAATATACCAGTAATGATACCGGGTATTTGAAAAGCACCCTTGGCATTTTCTATGCCTGAAAGTCCACTTTTAACTAAGTCTGTGTAAGTTATTCCTGAATTTGACTATGGGTATTAATAAGCAAGCACAAATGTTGCTTTCAATTTTTTCTCTCTTTTTTTCTTTTTTATCAGTGCACATTTAACTTTCATATAATAGATGTTATGTTACTGCACAGTTTGACAAGACTGATATTGCCAACTTTGCCACTAGAATTAATAGGTTGCTCCAAAATATAGTCATAGTTTTTAAACAGATAAATTAATTGTTGTACTAGTTGGGATTACTTCGTGGTGTCTAAAGCTGCTGGTTATTTGATTTCAAAGAAATGTTATATCCAGCTTTTTTTTACCTTCAAGGGGGGGGGGGCGGTGGTTAAAGCGTTCGCACGTCATGCCGAAGTCCCGTGTTCGATTCCCCACATGGGTACAATGTGTGAAGCCCATTTCTGGTGTCCCCCGCCACCGTGATATTGCTGGAATATTGCTAAAGGCGCGTGAAACCATACTCACTCACTCACTCTACCTTCATGGTTTAATGGTTACTATACCTCAGTCTCTCAGTGAAATATGTGTGTGCTGTGTTCGAAATGAAGTGGGAACTCCAGTTTAATGCTGCAGTATTTATATGGAGGAACCTCCAAATCTTTAGAGTTTGAGGTTAGTGTTATGACAAGGACACTTCGACTTTCATGCTTAACTTCGAACTTTGTTTTATGTAGGGTGACATCCCGAGGCGGAACCCTGACCCAGAGCTGGCTCAACTAGCAGCAAGCCATGGCCGTCAGATGGAGATGCTGCAGGGACGTAACAAGGACCTTGAGAGACAGAGGGAGGGTGGGTACTGATCAGCTGGAATATTTATATAGTGGTTCCAGTAACTGTTTGATGTAGCACCAGATGCTAGTTGGAAGGTGGTTAAAATGCCGATGAGGAGGCCAGTTACAGATGTAACTTTAATTGACCATCTCCCTACTGTGACCCTGGGAACATGGCAAGATTTAAAAGTCACACTGGAGTTTGTTGTGGAATGATATATTGATGTACTGTTACTCATCAATACCATTTTTATTTTACTATGAGCATTGATGCAGATCTTAAAATCTCAAAGAAATTGATTAATATACAGATGTCAATATTAGTACAAGTCAAGCTTAAGCTCGTACTTTTGCAGTATTTACCACTCAATTTGTGACAAAAAATATCCAACAGTTAAATTAATTATGAGGGTCTATTCAACATGAAATCCTTACTTTAACCTTAGTAGTTAAAGAAAGGAATGCTTGCTGGTACAGTTGTAGTAATATAAATGTGTTCCAATTTCTCCTGTTGAATGTTGACTACAACAAGGCACAAAAGAAGAACACAACAGCATCAACCAGCTAAACTATACACAATTAGGTTTCAAATATATGTCGCAGAATAGTTTCCATGTATCTCAAAATATTAAATGAAATTTAAACTGGCATTACCCATCCCAAGCATTGTAGAAAACTGTTTCTTTCAATACCTACAGAAATCCGGCGTCGATTAGAAGAGCTTGGACGGAAACCAGTGAGAGAAGAAGACCCATCAAACTCACTGCTGGATGAACTTAGGGAACAGGAGCTACGCAACCAGAGATTGCTCGAAGAGCTGCGCAGACAACTTGCTGAAGCCAGGCAGCCCATCAACATCATGTATGTACCATCAGGCAGTTTGAGGAGCTGTCACTCTTATACACTTTCTCTTTCCTAACACTGTCAGCTGATAACTTGATAAATGTTGTTTGTTTGTTGTTTAATGCCGCACTCAGCAATATTCCAGCTATATGATGGCGGTCTATAAATAATCAAGTCTGGACCAGACAATCCAGTGATTGACATCATGAGCATCGATCTACACAATTGGGATATAATGACATGCATCAACCAAGTCAGCGAGCCTGACCACCTGATCCCGTTGGTCTCCTCTTACAACAAGCATAGTTGCCTCTTATGGCAAGCATAGGTTGCTGAAGACCTATTTTCTCTACCCAGATCAAGGGTCACTTGATAAATGTAAGTTTCTTCAGACTTGGGTACAGTGAACACAATGATCCTATCCTTCATATCTCACTTCCTCATTCTGTAAGCATCTACAGTGAAACCTTGTTTATCCGGACCCCGTTAGTTAAGGAAAAAATCTTTCCAGACAATTTCTGTAGGGAACCTCAACGTTAAATCAAAGGATATTATCTGTTAACATGGTTAGTCATGGTTATTTCAATGAGAACGAGACAGTCCAGATAGATGAGGTTTCACTGTATTCTCTTCAGCATACTGTCTCTTACAGCGACATAAACATGTTGTCCCGCAATGAGAAACTTACGTCAGACTTGCTAGATAGATTTTATAAGATGATGAGAAAGGAAAGAGATGAGAAGTATGAAAAGATTCTGTCCAGAGTTGAGGTAGGTGTACAGCCATCTCGAGAATTCTGGATCGAGAAAGAGCCGTCATCTGACATGTCCTCATCCTTGCAAGAAAAAGCATCTGGAACAGAGGAAACTGATTCACTGAAATGTATCACAAACGTAGCCAATCAGCATGAATCAGATATGAACACTTGGACTGTTTCTCTCCCTGGGTCAAATACGAGGCAAAAGACACATCCTGGTTCAGTCCAGGGAATGACACATCCAGAAGCTGCCCAAATGTCACACCCACACGGTGACCAGAAACAGCCATTTGTGCCAGCGTTAGGATGGAGGGAATGTTTGACGGCTTTTAATCAAAGAGGGCAGAGTGGCGTTCCCCATGATGTGACCAGTTATGGTAATGAATGTGTGATGTGCAAGGGAAGGAATATGGCAGGACAGTTTCAACCTGGATTCAAGGGTTACAGAGACAATCAAATACACAGAATGTGAGATTGACAATTCAGACAGTTATTGTCATTATTGCTCCTTATTATTGATGGCAATCATTGTTTAGCTATCTTTCCATGTTCGTTGTTCCTTCTTTTTTTCTGCTTAGTTCTCTTTGTTTTGTGTTGACTTTTCCACTTCACAATTTAATTGAAGTTCTTCTTGCATTTGTCATGTGTTGGTGTTCTAGGGATGGAAAGAGTCATAATTCAGTGTTTCATCATCCAGATATCTGAAACTCTTTCAGCCTAAAGACAAATTGTCCTTGATAATCCAAATTCTTGGAATGTGATGGAAGTGTAGATACCTACATCTATAAAGTAATGACTGATTACGGACACTGATATGATAAATGTTTCTATGGACTTAAAATAGCTCATGATATACTTTGCTTATCATGCTTAATGTTTTTTCAATCTTTGCTTCAGAGCTGAAGAAAGGTACGAGCAGAAACAGAAGCAGCCTTTCACATACCCTATCTACTATGGCAGTTCCTTGGTGGCGGAAATCAGGTATGCTGCAATGTTTTAACTGTAAATCTGTGTCATCATCTACTTCGATCCCAATCCATGTCAATCCACTCTGTGACCATATCATACAACCTGACTCATACATCTGTTTTGATACCCAGCTTACATCCTTAACAATATCATGTTCACATCTACATTCTCACCTCATCTTCATCCCACCATTGCTCTATGTGCCCTTGATGTAAGTGTTGTGATTCTGAAGGACATGTCTGTTGTTCCAGTGCAATCAGACAGGCATACATCCAGAATGGTGGCCAAGATCCTGAGGTCTTGGCTCAGCTGGCTCAGATGTTGGCAGAGGCTCAGGCTATAGAAGATCAGCTACGCAATGCTCCCAAACAAACAAAGGTTGTCAAAGGTAGGATAGTAAGATGGAGTTATAGTTACATCTTTTTTAATAAGTTTCAGCCATTTCTTATAAATAATTTCTTAAATTTGTCTTTGAGTCATGAGTTATTCTGCAACAATTAAATCATATGACTTGTTTATAAAGTACTGCCAAAGAGAGAGCACAATGCTAAGTTTATTTGTCTTCATTGCTTCCAGAAAAGAAGACCAGCAATGAGTACATGCACAGCATGATGGCCCTGGAGATGGAGAATGAGAGGATGCAGAGGGAGTTGATGCTGTTGCAGGAGCAGAACATGCTGGCACGCAACCGCCGCAAGGATGATCGTGAAGGTAGGAGCACCTATCTGTGGAGCAGACTGCGCAGCTTTGTCCGACAACCATCTGTGTCCACGAGATACCTTTCCATGCTCAACAACAGTGATGATGATGATGCATTTAGATCTATGACTTCTTTCAGCTCACGTAGGCCTCACACTTCTTTAGGGCTGTACGGTTTAGGTGCTAGCTTTCCTTTCGGTTCTATCTATGGGTATTCTTCCCTGTCGCCTCTTTACCATGACTATGATGATGATTATTACCCAATTAGTCGCATCAGCACATACAGAAGTCCACTCAGGACAATGATGAGGTTTTCCAAAAAGACAACCACAACTGTTGAAGAAGAGGAACCAGAGAAGCCAAAGATTATCTTGCCCTTCTCTGTTTATCCTCGAATCTGGAAAAAGCCTAAGCAGAGAGGTATGGTTGAGAACGTGGTGTCTGGGTTCCAGCCGGGGGAGCGAGTGATGAAGGTGTATTCCAGTCAAGAAGTTGATGATGCTGGTCCGGTGATCCCACAGGCGATTCATAGTTTCAGGAGTACAGATGGGCGTGTGAATACCGTCTACACACAACACACCCCAAGAGATGGCAACACAACCAGCAGGTCATATTCTGTCAATGGGAGGCCTTTCTGGAGCTCTGCTGGGCCTGTGTTATCTGGCAGTCAGCACTTCACCTATCAAAGTCCTCATAATGGTTTCACTAAAACCTTTGCCTACACACCAAACTACAGATACCAGAATCTGTTACCACTCACTACTGGTAGAAGTAGCTACTCAAGTGGTGCACTCACCAGCAGTATTCCGTCAGAAAGTCGGTACACTAAAGTCTACCAACTCCCCAGGTCTCGGAGCGACTTTCAAACCACTCTTTCAACAAGTCGGTACCGGGACAGTAGCCCCTTGTCAACAAGTCGCTATTTGGACAGCAACCCTTTGTTAACAAGTCGCTACTTGGACAGTAAATCCTTGTCAACAAGTCACAACATTGACAGGTACCCCTTGTCAACAATTCACAACATTGACAGGTACCCCTTGTCAACAAGTCACAACATTGACAGGTACCCCTTGTCAAGTCACAACATTGACAGGTACCCCTTGTCATCAAGTGGATACATGGAGAGTTATCCTCTGTCAAATCGCTACATCTCACAGTCATGGTCTCACACACCTTCATCTGTTGGTAACCCAACATTGGTGTATCGAGGAGAACATATCCCTTTGGATAAGCCTAACTCCTACTCAACTGTCTACCAGAATGCTAACTCCTCTGTAAGAGTGATTCCTGTGGACAGAGACCGTAAGACTAACTCAGATGAGAACAAAGAAAACAAGCCAAAAGGTAAACGGTTTAACTTCAGTTTCAGAAAGAATGACAAATCAAAAGAAGAAGAAAAGAAAAAAGATGCCAAATCTGGAGATCCTTTCCAAACCAATCCTCAGCTAGCTGCCAGATTCTATGCAGCAGGTACTGCTCTGCAGGCCATCTCCCGGTTCAGCAACAGATCAGCAGATGGCCAGACAGGTAGCACTCCAGCCTCTGGCCGGCCGGTGTTCCAGCCTCCTATCATTCCCCGCACAGCTGCTGATCAAGCTTCTGACCCCATGGCCACTGATCCCAACCTAGCTGGTCGACTACAGTCAGCAGCTGTATCACTGCATCAGCTCAGGGAGAAGTATGCTCGGCAACAAGCCGAGGTGGCAGCGGAGGCAGAAGAGGCTGAGAGGAAAGCTGAGGAGAAGGAAAAGGCAAAGCAACAGCACAATGAGATGATGAAGAAGATGACTGATGCACATATAGAGTCCAATCAGAGAACTGTTCGTTTCATGACTGACATGAGCCAACAAGAACAGGATTACTTGGACGAACGAGCAAAGTCACGAGCCAAATCCAGGGCTGAGTCTCACTCATCTTGGGCTGCCTTTTATGAATCGAACCCAACATACTATAGAGGCCGAGACAGCTTCCAGCCTCCATCCAAATCCTACAAGCCTCCCCCTGAGGAGGGAAAGGAAAAGGCTAAATCCAAGTCCAAGTCCAAAACTGACAAAGGAGACAAAACAGAAAAGAAACCCAACAAAAAAAAATGATACTGACATGATGTTGGCCATATTGCCTGTCAGTCAGGGGAGATATTGGTACCGGTATATGTGTTTTGTCATTCACGTCAACACTGCAACTTATTTCTCCCAGTTTCTTGATCTCTTGTGGCTCCTTCAGCCAAGGCTATCCCATTGATATTAACGCTGATGCACATGGAATCTAAGCACCTTCACATATTTATTTCACCCATCACTCATATTGTCACATGGCACAGGATTGGCATGCCATATATGCTTCCTTACTTCACAACTAGGATCTGTCACATCACAGGTACCTGTCACTCATAATACCATCAGTGACATAATACCTGTCCGTCGTAATACAATATGTCACATGTCACAGGGTTGACATGCAACGATATATGTTTCCCTATTGCACAACTAGAATCTGTCACAACATGTCAGTTGTAATACGATGTCACATGTCACATGTCACAGAGTTGACATGCCATGGTATATGCATCCCTGTTGCACTGTGCACTGTCACATCACAGGTCAATTGTCACTCACAACTGACACTCGTTATACCATATGTCACATGTCACAGAGTTGACATGACATGACATATGCTTCCCTATTGCACAGCTAGGATCTGTCACATCACAAGTTGCCTTTTACTGGTAATGCTGTCACTTGTCACTCATAATGCCGTCACACGTCACTCGTAATACCATTTGTCACAGGGTTTGACATTGGTTATCTCTGTTTGTTGGAAAACATTTGGTTATAGTTCAAGAATACCCTTTCATTAGCTTTCTTTTATTAATGCTTTTGAATGCTAAAGTTTCATATGTGTATTGGTATATTGTCTAATAATAGCATCGCTATTTAATTTGTAGCATGTCCAGAGCTAGAGAATATTTTGATATGATTCATCAATAACATGAGTTTAATTTACTAACCACATAACATTTCTGAGCTAGGATTTATTGGCAAACAGTGAGGAATTGATGAAATGTAAAGCTGGTTGTATGCTTCAGATTTTATTTAAAACAAATTTTCACCTCTACTTTCGAGTTACTGTCTTTTTTAAATGAATGGATTTCAAGTTGACCTCATTGTTTGCTGTTGTATATTGCGCTATTGACAACTGATCTGTTTGGCTATACTGCTGGAGGTAGCTAGTGTAACCCTGCTTGACATGTGTTTATTTCAGGTGACTATACCATCCGGTACACCCATAGCCACAGCCCCCTCACTTCCAGATATTGCCCTTACTGTCAGTACTGTTAATGACGTAGATGAGCCACTTCAACACCTAGGACAATCTCTCCTGGCATAGATGTACATGATCTATTAGTGACATTCAGTCATTTATTCTATTGCTAACTTGATTATGTATGCATTTGTTAAACTAGTAACTGGTTTTCAAGGCTTTTTAAATAACCGATATTTCTTTGGAAATATCTTTTGGTTTTAAAAATATTGATAGATCTATTTTAGAACAAAAACTCTAAGAAAAATACCGCTTGTCTATATATAGTACAGTAATAATGGTTTTTAATGTGTTATGACCTTTTACAAATGTTGGATATGCACTAAATTTGAGATTTATGTTGCATTAATATTTTACCAAGGTAAAGTTTGAAAAATGTTTAACATCTCATTTGAGCTCAAGATTAATAAAGAAACTTTAAAGCTAGATAAACCTCAAATAAATAAAATGATTTTACAAGTAACTGATTCCAGTAACTTATCTGATATAACAAAAATTATATTTATAGGATGATATGCCCCATTATATATGAGTTATTTCTAATCCAACACCTTCGATGCCATGTTAGTCTTATTTATTTTTGTATTTTGAATTCCCTGTGTAACAAGAATCAGAAGCTGTGATAGTAGTTTCTTCTAGTCATTGTTATCGTGTATATGCATGGCCACACCAGACTCTTGAATTACCGATATATAACCTAAAACAAATTAAAATGAAAAAATAAATGTATACTAAAACAAAAACAATTCTTTTCCCCCAAAACAGTTCCTATCTGAAATGTGGCAGGATATGTCAACAGCTTATTTTACACACTGAAACAATGTCTACTTTTATATGAATTGTTCAGATATCAGAATGTCATGTGACAAAATACAGTTGTTTTATTGCTGTATTTTATTTTAAATTATAAACATTTCTCTCTGGAATGAAATCTGTATACCAAGAAGGAAAGTGTGTCATCCTCAAAGAGCAGGCATTTCGGGTACATAAACTGCATATAACCCCTTGCTAAAAAGATATTATCTTTTGATTCAGGAATTGCTGAAAAATGTTCAAACTTTCAATAGTGCCACTCCAATTTGATATCTTAGACATGATAAAACAATGACTGAAACTAAGTTCCATGTCAAAGTTTATCAGCTGTTAATCCATTTACATTTTAGCCTATGTGTTAGTCCTGCTATTGCAATCCTGGGTGCTGTTCTACAAAGCGATCTTAGCTCTAAAGGGGATCGTAAATCTAATATCTTAGCATACACTTATGACAGTGGTAGCGCTAAGGTTGTTTTGAACAACGACACCCTGAAATATTTATCACATCTTTAACTAGTTGTGGTTCTAAATGATTTGGTACATGTTTTAAAATACCAGTGTTTGAATATTATTTATATGCAAGTAATTTTACAAGTTACAAGTTTATCTTTTTTCAGGGTCATGAAGTTTATGGATTAGAATAGCCTTGCTTGTAGAGGATGTTCTTAACATTAACTTAAAGCTCCTCTAATTAGTGCTAGTCAGTATTTTAACCAGGGTCATATTTGTGATATAAAATAAGCTCGCCTCACATTAGCTTTTCTGAGGTATTTCATCAGATCATGCCATTAGTTTTTAACACTTTTCTATAGTATTTAGTGAATGCAACCCAAGTGCTAGATATGCTTGTCTTCATAGATTTTGAGAACTTTACATTT